TCAGTAGTTAATGTGAAAATGCTTTGAGCTGTTGATGTGGCTGCTGAAATTATGCAACTGTTGAGAGAAATAGCAGACAATCAAAGCTCAGTGGTTTGGTGTGGAAGAATTTTCCTAAGACTTACTGTACTCTTGCTTAACTAACTCCAAGATTTTCCAGAAAAAAAGAAATGCTTACTAAGCAGTTACTAAGATTTAAAAAGTTACTGTAGGTTTTTTCACTAATACACACTACATATAACTGAGCTAAATTTAGAGCTTAGTGGAGAATAAAGCTCTTTTGTGACTTAGTCAAACAAATGTAAGAATTTTGAATTAAATCTTTTCCTAATCATAATCAATAACTATTATTTTACATACAGGAATCAGCTGCAGAGGGTTTGTTGTAGTCAGGGGTTGTGCAGAGAACAATTAGAATCAGGACATGGAGTTTATAATATTATTTTTATAATGGTCACCGTGAGTTAACACAAGACAATGCAGGAAATCTATCCGCAACACCAAAGACATAGAATATTTAGTCAAGGGCCTAAATCCCACAGCAATATCCCACACATGAGTCCAGATAAAAACCCAGAGCTCATGACAATGCCTCCCATGGGTCCAACTGGAGGTCCAGAGCCCACAAGAAGGACTCACGCCAGTCTCTTTTATGGATCCGTGCCGGGAAGGCCCAAAGGTCAGTGGGGGAAGCCAAAAAGTCCATGCCAGCAGGATGAAGGAGCCGTGCTGGTAGGATGAGGGTTCTATGCTGGAGCCGAGAAATCACACTCACAACAAAGACCAGGGCTGTCCTGAAAGGCACCACAGCCATCCTCAGCAACACGGAGGCCCCAAGCTCCACCAACAACAAGCATAGTCGGGTACATGCCAGGAAGCCAGCGTGACGAGTTGGTCCTGGAGACCAAGCAGCACACATCTTCCTCTCCAGAGTGAGGAAGCAATGCTCGATGTGAGGACCAGAGCTTCTCCAGGAGAACCAACAGCTCAAACAGCAACACATAGGAGAACCCACAATGCCTCCATGCAACAACGCATTAACACCTCAACGCCTCAACACCTCCCTTCTTCTCCACCTATTTATGCTGGCAACTTTCCTCAGGTGGAGCATCTTCACTCAATGCCATGCTGATGTAATCCAGCTGGCATTAAGTTGACTACCAGTTCTTAATCCATAACAGGGTTAACTACACTAGACAGCACTATGTAAATTGACTATAAACATTATAAAAAATGTGAGGAACACTTTGATAATATTGATGAATTTGGCATTGCTTTTTGATTTACATGATGGCATTTTGTATTTGTTACTTATAACAAATTTACACAAGAGTCAGTATATTTACGTGGACAGCTGTGGTTTAAAAATGAATATGTTTCTATTTCAAAGTCAAATTGCTTCTTAAAAAAGATAAACTGATATGTAGTATTCAGGAAATTCTTTTTTTTTTTTTTTTTTTTTTTGGTCTTTTTAATTTTTATCGGTACCAGGGATCCACTCACCACTGCCTGCTTGCAAGGCAGGTGCTTATGCCGCTGAGCTAAATCCCCAGCCCCTATTCAGGAAATTCTTGATGCACACATGAAAAAAGATAAACTAGTTTGTTAATGTGGCTGGGAATATTAAAAAAAATTGTTCAGTTATTGGAAAGCTGAGTACAGAATATCTTGAATACATGAGGCTACCATGCTTTTCTTATCCTTAGCCATCATGATAGGGAAGCCCTGTTCCCACACCCTGGATGGGAGGTACCTGACTGGGCCCTAAATCGCCCCTTCACACACCCACACCTGTGACTTCTCTGCAGTAGAGATCCCCACTCTTCTTGGTGCCCATTTCACATTTCCTTTGCCTAATGTGACAATGATAGAAATCTCACTGTGTGGCCTCAACTTCCTGGACTCCAGCAATCCTCCCGCCACAGCTTCGGAAGTAGCTGGGGACTCTAAGTGTTCACTCTCACGCCTGGTTCTCCAAGGTTAAATTCCCATGGCGATTTACAGAGAGCCAGGCCAGCTCCTCCCTTTCCACTGCCACCACCCCGCTAACAGCCTCCTTTGCTCATTCTGAGGTAGAAGAAATAAAAACTACGGAGAAAGACAAAGAAGTAAGGTTGTAAGATTATACTTAAAAATAAAACTAACTGCAGCTTCAAGTCACAAAAGTTAAGCCTTTTTCCCCCCCAGGAAACTCACACCCACACGCACATTCACGCGCACGCGCGCACACACACACACACACACACCCTAAAGGTCCTTCACAGGAAGGGCAAGTCCAGGCTCCTCCATCCTCAGGAAGCAGTGACACTGGGAGGCAGCGGATCTCAACCCTAAATACATGTGTCCCCACAGACAGTAAAAACAGTCTCCCAGATCACCCATATTGAATTACCTAATAAGATGCACCCAGTGTACCCCATCTGAGTGCTTGCATGTGGCTTGAGTGCACCCTACAATCTCTAATGGCTCTTTTATCGACACATCCTGAAAATTCTTTTTCTGGGATGGGAGTCAGTGAACCTGCAAACTTATTTCAGAAAGGTGGGAAAGGTTCTTTAGTTCGGCCTTAGGACCTCTCAGCCAGCCTAGTGACAACCTCAGGACACAGCACTATAGGCTTAAGCCCTAGTATGCTGCCTCTGAGCACCACCTGCTGGTGTGGGTCCTGGCTTCAGTGACAATAGAAATGAAAACTGAGACATTCAGCACAAACCTACAGGAAAATGAAAAGTAACACCAAGCCAGCCCCCTAACAGAAGAATCAGACAGGACAGGAAAACAGCTTCCATCTGAGAAACTGAAAGGGATGCAACCCTAAGGAGTTCAGTCAGACTGGCCACCGCAGTTTTATGGGGTGGTGTGGCGGGCTGGGTTCTGGTTGATCATGATCTCAGCCCTGGTTTCCTTACTCCAAGGGAAGCGCATGCTTGAGGCTCATTTGGTCCCACAAGGTGATCATCTATGCTTGACAGGTGACCTCACCATGGGGTGGACTGTGAAGCTCTGCTGTTCCTGGAAGCCCAGGTGACTACAGGTTTAGGACCACAGCTGGACACTTGAAGGCATTGCTGTAGAGCAGTGATGGCAAACCTTTTAGGCTTTATATGATAGAGGCCAGGGATATAGTTCAGTGGTGCAAGTGCCTGCCTGGGCAAGTCCAAGGTCCTGAGTTTAATTCCCGATACCAAAAAACCCCAACTTTCTATGATAACAAACAGCATGATCTCACAGGAATGCCATAGATTTACCACCACTGCTCTAGAGGGATCCTAAAATACAGATTTTAAGCCAGGGATTTAGCTCAGTGGCCAAGTACCTGCCTGGCAAGCATGAAATTGTGAGTTCATTCAATCCGCGGTACCAAAAAAAAAAAAAAAAAGAAACACAGATTTTAAAAGCTGGTGACTGGATAATCCTGCAAACTCTAAAAATTTACTGTCTTGTGCCCTCAGGGTTGAAGCAGAAAGAAGTTAGGTGAGTTGAGGGCTAATCAACTCTTCCTGGCTGGTTTGCTTGCATGCAGAGCTGGGCAGAGAGCAGACCCAAAGTTTTAAGATAATAAAGGAGACATAAAATGAAGGCAGAGATGAGCAGCCCCATCTTGCTTCTAGTTATCTCTGAGGCATCTGCAGGTCCAGCTTCCAGATCACTGACCACCTTGGAAGAGAACACAGGTGACCCTTTAATGTCTACTAGGTTAAGGACCTAGGACTTTGTCGTCTGTCCCTATAGTGGTCTCTGGGTCCCAAGGATGAAACATAAGGAACAGTCAGGTTCAGACTGGATCTTGGACAGCACGGTCAGCTCTGTAGAGAAACCTTGTTTCTCACAGGGCAGGGAGAGCAGGGTGTGACTCCTCAATGCCTGTAGTGATGCCGGGGCTTCTGTATTTGTGGGGAGAATTCCCTGACATAAAGGTTTCAGGAGCTGGCGATTGCCTTCACCTGGTTAGAACCTAGGGCCTTAACTGGGTAGTGGGGCAGCCTCACTCCTAGGTGGTGGTGTTGGTGGCTGGGAGGAACTTGGCCCAGGGGGAGGAGGGATGAAGAGCAGGAGCTCTGGGTCTCCTGGTGAGCTGACAGCATGGCCAGGGTCAGGGTCATGGCTGGGAGAGGGGGAGGAGCGGCAGAGGCTGGAGGGGGCCCAGGAGGAGGGGCTGGAGCTGGGAGGGCGGTGCCACGATTGGGGGAGGAACAGGACAAGCGTGACAGCCGGCCAAGGTCTCAGTTGGGAAGGCTGGGAGACCCTGAAGCCACAGGGAAGGAGGTAAGGAGTGAGAGCAGAGGAAGGGTGGGTGTTAGAAGGACCCAAGCCACACATATAAAACCCTTGCTTCAAGGTGACAGCCCTGGGGACTTTTTCACAGAAGGCCTCACTTTCTGCATAGATGCCTGCCTTTTTTTTTTTTTTTTTTTTTTTTTTTTTGGTGCCACAAACTCATGACCTTGCATTTGCTAAGCAGGCACTTACCCAGCTGAGCTAAACCCCCTGGCCCCCAAGAGATGCCTTTCTGAAAAGTCCCAAGACTATTTGTCTGGGCAGGGCTCTCTGGGCAACTGGGAGGGAGGCAGTGGTGCAGGACCCAAAAAGAAGGCAAAGGAGGGAGGTAGGGCCTGGCAGCAGCTGCAGAGAGTGGGAGTGGGATGGGAGGGAGGGTATTTTTGAGTACAACAGAGCTGATGGCAGCACCAGCCAGGGTGAGGAGGGTTAAAGCATCCTCAGCCCACCCAGCCTCCGCCTTCCTGCCTGTTTATTCCCCCCAGGGACATTGGCCTCCAGCTATCTCCCTCCCTCCCCCACTGCTGGCCTGGGCCTGGGATGGGGTGCTGGCTGGGGAGCAGAGATTCTGACTGAGGGCTGGGCAGGGGGGTGAGGGCAGCAGTGTGGGAATGGACTAGAAAAGGGGCTGCTGGTGGGGAACTCCGCAGGCAGCGGTGGGGTTGGGGGGGGCAGTCACAGGGGTGATTCCGGGAAAGGCTGTTTCCTGTCCCCCCCTGCAGGAGGCAGCGGCTCCCAGCTGTTGGGAAGAACCAAGGACCACACGTCTTCATCGTCTGCAGGGCCAAAGCATGTGGCAGCTGCTGACCCTGCTGGCCCTGTGGCTGGGCATGGAGGGTGTGGGTGGAGTTGAGCTCACCACAGTGCAGCGCAGGGGTCTGCAGGTGGCCCTGGAGGAGTTCCACAAACACCCGCCTGTGCAGTGGGCCTTCCAGGAGACCAGTGTGGACAGTGCCGAGGACACAGTGAGTGGCTGTGGACACATCTGGTTGGGAGGCCAAGGGCTACCCCAAGATCAGCAAAATCCCAAGAAGCTGGCAGGAGAAAGGCCACCAGCTGGGCCACCTTCTCAGCTATGCTGGCTCATGGTGCACAGTTGGGGGCAGGGCTGGGTCACAGAAGCCAGCTCAGAGCAAAGGCCTCCTGTCTTCCACAGCCCTTCCCAGCGGGCACCTTTGTAAGGCTGGAATTCAGGCTCCAACAGACAGGCTGCCGGAAGAAGGACTGGAAGAAACCAGAGTGCAAAGTCAAGCCCAATGGGGTGAGCATGTGGAACTGGGCTAGGGCTGCTTGTGGACAGAGCTGGGAGGCCTAGGGACAAGCCCTGGGGAAGGCACCCTATTGTGAGGAGCCTCCCTGGCAGTGGACGGGGCTCCTGTGAAAACCATGGCCTGGCCTAGGTGAGCAAGGAAAGGACTTGCCTTCATCTGAGCGAGGCTCCTGCTGGGCCTCAGGTTCCTTGTAGCAAAAACCTTGGTGTGGGTCTCTCTAGTGCCTGCTCCCAGCCGTGGCTGCCTCACAGCAGGGCTTCACAGCAATCAGAGCACAGCCGCTGTTATGGCTGAGGGGTGCAGCCATCGGGGTTCCAGTTCCCGCTCTGGGAGCACCAACCCTGGGCTCGGTGGGTTTCCTCCATCTGCAGGACTGGATTTCATCAGTGATTTTCAAACCTAGTACACTGGAACCCCTGTATTCAAGCCAGATTTTACAAGACAATGTCAACAAGCAGAATACAACACAGTGGAGAGATTCCACTGGAAGGCAGGCGGAGTGCCTCTAGCCTGGACTGTTGCCTTTACACACTGATGCTTATGCGTGTGCTTATGCACACACCACAGGCTCGTATCCTCGTGGCATACACAACTGCACATGTACATGCATACATCAGGAAGGATACCTGCCTCTGTGAGCACTAAAGTGCCATGGTGTGAAACTCTGAAAAATTTTTAAAGTATTTTGACAAGGTCTTGCTAGGTAGTTCAGACTGGCCTTAAACTCACTGTGGTGCCCAGGCTGGCCTCAAACTTGTAGCCTGTCTCCCAAGTGCTGGGATTGCAGGGGTGTGCTACCAGACGGGTGTGCTCTGCCAACCAAACTGGCCTGCATGATCCCATGTCCCCCAGGCCACAGCCTGCCAGGGAAACAGGTCCCCACTATGGGTAGCCCCCAGCTCCACCTTCACAGTGCTGAGCGCCTCCCTCACCATACTCCTTCTCCCCAGAGGAAGCGAAAATGCCTGGCTTGCATCAAACTGGACTCTGAACATAAAGTTCTGAGCCGGATGGTCCACTGCCCCATAGAGACACAAGGCCAGGTAAGCAGACAGAGAGGTTGGGAAGGCAGCTGGAGAGAGCTAGCAGGACCTTGGATGAGGGGGAGGAGCAAGAAGGGTCTATAGGCATGGTGGGCATTCCCTAGAGATGCGGGCACTTTCTGGGCACTGCTGCCCTCCTGACAGTGCCTGACCAATTACTGGCATCAGCAGGAGCCCCTGGAGTCCCAATGCATCAAGGTGCAACGGGCTGGCGAGGACTCCCATAGCTTCTACTTCCCTGGACAGTTTGCATTCTCCAAGGCGCTGCCCCCAAGCTGAGCCCTGGACTGGTAGGTGACTGAGGGCAGGGATGGCCCTTGGGATGGAGACTGGGCTGTTGCTGGACTGCGGGTGGCAGGGATGAAGAGATGGACTAGAGCCTGGCAGAAAGCTGAGACTGAGACAAGATGGCACCCAAATCTCAGGTTTGCTCTTTTCTCTAGAATCTGGGCTGGCTTCCTGGACAGCAACAGTGGCCCATCCTCCCAGGCAGAAGACCCACTGCACCCAGAGCCAATAAAACTGTTCTATAAGCCTATCTCCTGTGCCCCTCATGTTGCCCTAGGTACTCAGCTCAACCTGTAGGAAGCCACGTGAAAAAGGGCAGTGGGGGTGTGTGACTGACAAGCACATATAAGGCAAGAGGAACTCTTATGCAGGCTGAGGCAGAACACCACAGACCAGCATAGACAAACAAATTCACAGAAGTTTAATAGACTGGGGTAAGCATGTAGGGTCGGCTCCAGGGAAGCACAGGCTGGGCAGAGTGGACTACTGTCCTCTGCACAGGCAGGTGTGGAAGGTCGATGTGCCCTAGTACCAGCCATGCCTGGGCTCTGCAGGGCTGGCTGGCTTGCTACTCCAGCCCTCCTCACCATACCGTGAGCAGAAGTAACCCTGTGCGCCAAGTCTCAGGCTGACAGCCAAGAGTGGCAGCTGCTGTGATCCTGGGCTCAGCACCCCTTTCCTCTCAGTGTATGTGCCAGCTGCCCGTGAGCACAACTCTACTAGAGGCTGCTTGAGAGCTCTGTCCTGCCCCATGTGGAGCAAGGATGGGGGAGGGTAGAGGAGGGCGTGGCTCTCAGGATAGGGATAGATGAACCCACAGCTGAGCTTGCAGGGTCAGTGGCCAGTGTGAGGGGTCAGCATGCAGAAGAGGAAAGGAACTGCAGGCATTGAGGCCACAGGGCCTATTCAGAAGACAAAAGAAGAGCCAGAGCCTTTGGGGCTAAGAGCCTGCTCAGCCCGGGCCAGACTGTCACTGGCCTGGCGGTCCAGGTCTTGGCACTCCTGCAGTGTGTCCTGGAACTGTCTGCAGGCCTCCTCCAGGATAGAACTGCTCCGGGGAGGCCAGGACTCCCAGTACCCAGGCTCCACCCAGGGCTGGGCCTCTATGGCTCTGGGGCCAGGGCTGGAGCTGGGGTGCAGGGAGCTGTCCAGGTCCCGGCACAGCTGATAGAGCTCACTGCCACGGCCACTCACGCGCTCCCCATCGATGACTTTCAGGCCGGGCAGCAGCTCCTTGACCGCAGCCCAGTAGGATGAGCTGGCACACAGTGGGTTGCTGAGCCGGGCCAAAGAGTCCCGGAGGCGCAGGTACTCCAGGTTCTGCAGCCCAGCCAGGCACTGCAGCTGGCCGGGTGTGGCTAGTAGGTTGCCCGCAGCGTTGAGACTCTGCAGGTTCTCACAGGTGGCCAGAGGCTCCAGCCCAGTTAGCCGATTATTGGAGACATTGAGCACGGTCAGCTGGCGCAAGGAGGCCAGGGGGCCCAGCTGGGTCAGCATATTGCCCGACAGGTCCAGCCACTCGAGGCCCAGGCACTCTCCCAAGCAGCCCAGGTCCGTCAGCCCAAGGCCTTGCAACTTCAGTAGCAGGATGGACTCTAGGGCGAACTCACCCGTGTAGGACTTCAGCAGCTGGGGCGTAATTCGTGGCCCAGCTGCCTCTCCTGGTTTCTTGTCTGGAGGCTCCATATGAAACCAGTTGGTTTGGATGGCTTGGGCCCTGGAAGGGCTGTCACAGGGGTGTGGGTGTCACTGGAGGTCAGCCGCTGCTCCCCTAAAACAGGCACCTTTGGGTATTCTCAGGCCAGTGCCAAGAGGCCTCGCTCTGGTTCCTGCCTGGAAGGCCCTCGGGTCCCTGAGGAGAGACAGCTGAGTCAGGTGGGCCTTTCTCAGGCCTGATGCCTACCCAAAGGCCTGTACTGCCAGAGCCAGCACCCAGGACATCAAGGCCTGAGACACAGGAGGGCACAGGCCCTTGCCTGAGGGGAGTGGCCCTGGCTGGTCCTGGTAGTGACAGCCATGCTGCTTGCAACACAGGGCCAACTTGGCCAGTTCTGTCCAACCTGACTCTGTCAAGTCAGGAGAGGGGACACAAATCCATCCTTACCAACCTCATCGAGGCACACATCTTTAAAAGGTAAGATTTATTTCTATACAGACAACAAGCCACCACCATCACAAATGTCCTTTGCTTCCTTACTAGGATAAAGGTGTCTATGCAAAGCCTAAGAACAGCACCCTGCTCTACTTCACTTACTCAAAAAATGTTTTCTAAACTGGGTGTGGTGATGCACCCTATAATCCCAGCACTCTGGGAAGCTGAGGCAGGAAGGCCTAAATTTGAGCACAGCCGGGGTAAGTTAGTAATTTAGGAAGATGGTGTTTCAAAAAAAAAAAAAAGAAAGAAAAATGCAGAAAGGAGGCTGGGAATGCAGCTCAGTGTGAAGGCTCCGGTTTCAGTCTTGAGTACTACACCACAAAAAGACAACTAAAGCTCTCTATTTTTCTAAATTTAATGTGGTTTCTAGAGAGCATCTTGACTGCAACCACAGGCCCTAAGCTTTTAGTATCAGGCAAGAAAGGCAATGGAAGTTAAGGCCAGGGAAGCCATGGTGTCAGTAGGCACAGCTGGTTCCCACTCCCTGCTGCCCACTCTCACCAGCACTTTGCTTTGGCATCAACTGATCAGAGATTAGCTGGTCACTGTGTCAGACCATTCACACTGGTCACTGTGTGCCAGGCAGCTGAGAGCCACCTGCAATACGATGTCACTTTATGAATGACAAACTGGTGGCGGCCAATGCTGAGGACATATCCAGAGGGAGGAGCAGGGGTACCTCAGCTGGCTATCAGGGGTGGAGGAAGTCGTGTGAGGCCCCAGGATTGTGAGGTCAGGGTATGAAGGGGGGTGGGCACGATAGTGATGCTGTCCAGAGGGCCAAGGCTTAAGCAAAGAGGACAGTAAGAGCGCAATTCCATTCCAAGGGCAGCTTCCCAGCCTGGGGGCTAAGCCAGGCAGGCAGGCGGGCATGTGCACATATGACACACGGAAAGGCTCTCAGGACCACTGTCTTGCTGCTTACAGAACCTGCAGGCACAGGGGCTGGTGATTTTAAAGTCCTATTTCACATGATTGACACTTTTATTTTTCCTCCAAGGAAACCAACTAGTCTTCCAGATTCACCCACCCTGCCAGCAATGACCTAAGGGTCCACCAAGGACCCACCAAGGAGTTGGGGGGCTTTGAGTGGATCATGCACACACCTCCCACACCCTGTCCTAACTGAGAGACTGACAATAACCAGAGCGTGGAGCAGGGTGTCACAGAACTGCCTAGCTCACAGGGCAGAGGGTGCTAGCAAGCACCAGCCACACCAGTTCTGTGCCACAAACACCAGCGAGACACAGATCCAATCCAAATGAGGGCATGGGGAACAGGTGGATGGACATGGCCAGGTGGCTGGCAAGGCTCCCTTCTTAGACCAGATACAGAGGGGACAAGAAGGGACAAGAAGAGATGAGGGGCTGGAGAAGTGGCTCAGTGGCACAGTGCCTGCCTAGTGTGCACAAGACCAAGTCTGACCCTCAGGAGGGTACAGAAAGACACTCTACCCTGCAGTGAGTGCAAATGATTGTGACTGTGGCTGCGCAGGAGTGCCAAACTGATGAAACCCAGACATTCTTAGCAGAGATGGCAGCTGGAACTCGAGGAGAGTATGGACTCACAGGCAAAGCTACTGGGAACACAAGCCATGTGATGCACCTGTGGGGTCTCCCCAGGAGGACCCCACCCATGATCAGGGGGAAACAGTTCAGAGATGCGTGCACAATGAGAGAGCAGGACCAGAGAACCCACCTGCTGCTGAGCTGCTTGGGCATGGGACACACACAGGCACCAAGGGAGGCGTGAGGCTTTCAAGGACGGATAGGGACACTGGTTAACACCCACTGGGCCTGACCAAGAGCAGGCCTGAGATGGAACACCAGATCAGCAGTCACAGGTGGAGGTGAGGCCAAAGCCAACCACAAAGGGCTGAGGAATGAATGGCCTGACGGACTGGGTCAGTGGTTTCTTTGAGACAGCACTGGAAAGCACCAGGGGGTGGGACACATGGGGATGGTGGCTGTGTACACGTACCACAGTGAGGCTTCAAGAAGTATATAGAGAAAACCAGGGAGCAGAAACACTCAATGGGAGCGGAACATGACTCTTCCTCATCCAAAGGGCCACGCAGGAAGGTAAGCACACACTGGCACCTGCTCCACTAGTGTGGGTCTGTCCTGCCCTTCTGGAGATGCTGCCCCTGGGCTGGGGGTGGATGAATGACAGCAGCAGTGTGTGGTCACAGGAAACCCTGACATTCCTGAGGTCACAGACAGGTGGCCCTAGGCAGGAATGAGCATTCCACAGCAGTGACCGGCCCTGTCCCCGCAAGGGCCCCAGCTGAGCCTGTGTGGTGTGCAGCCAGCCCCCCTACAAAGGAAGGAAATGCACCTTCTTGGCCCAGCCTGAATTCAGGATTCAGTACCATCATACTCAAGAGTCTCGAGGGAAGCTGACTATGATGGAGGGGAATAAGCCTACCCGCAGTGAGCCTCAGTTTACCTTTCTAGGAAATGAGGCTTAGGACATGACACGACAAGAGGTCAGATGGGGACCTCTTTCCCGACCACATCCCTCCTCAGACACTGCACAGACTATTCTGGAAAGTCAGTCTTTGCTGGCCTCTGCCCACCAGACACCAACAGAACCAGCTCAGCTGTAATATCCACAACTGTCTACAGATGTTGCCTAATATCCCTGGAAGGATGAAAGTGTTCCTGATCACAAACACGGTGCGAGTGCAGGACCACAAAGCTCTCAGCCTTTCTTTCACTCCTACCCTCTCCCCCGGGGAGCTGGTGCAGTGGTCACATAGCCCCAGTCACCAACCCAGGATGGTCAGGATGGCATGAACTCGTCTCCCAAAGGAGCCCACAACCACCGTCACCCACCCACTGCCCACTTCTGGTGCTGCAGGAAGCCAGAGGCGAACACTTCAGAAGCCAGTCTGGAGTTTGAACTATGTGACTTCAGCCAGTGAGTGAACACCATGCTTACAAAGCGTTAGTCAAAACTTGCAACTGTTTACTGTTAAAACAAAAACACTGCGTAAGAAATAAGTCATAGGATCTCTAGTGTAAAACAAGGACGAGGTCAGAGCACTGGCTGTGAATGAATGACACGACTACAGTTCATCTTTCCTGCTTTGCATTTTCAGTCCTTTCCCAATGAATTAGTGGGATGACACACCAGATTGACAACCTAGGAGGGGCTGGGGACAGCTTTTTGGGGTCACCATTCAAGTGAGATGGTTTATGAAGCTGAGACTGCACCTTACTACTGATGATCAGTGGCCATCTTGCTGAGTGACCAGGCACCCTCAGGGCTACTTGGACTCAAGTCCTGTGAGATGTGCAGCGCCCAGCCACTGCCTTCCTCTCCTGTCCAACGCCTCTGGTTCCCAGCCCTCAGGCGCCACACTTGGTGCTACGGGAGTGCTGAACAGTACCCTGCCAGCAAGTTCCTTACACATCCTCCCTCTCTTCCAAACATGCATCTTCCCTAACAGTGGCCAGGGGGAAGGAGGGACAGGTGCTGCCAAGTAGAACACGGACCCAGCAGGCTGGGGCTAAGCTCGGCACACTGAAGACTAGGGATCTCTCAGCTCTCTAGGCCAGCTGTTCAGTTCCAGCTCCTGTGGGTTCCCAGCAAGACCGCGCTGTGTGCATGCGTGCAGACACTTCCCCGCCAAGGTGACTACTCTGCCTCAGGCTTCCTCCCTTTCTGGGCAGGCTGTGTTCATTTAGGTAGTACAGGGGTCAAACCAGGGCACTTAACACTGAGCTACAGCACCGGTCCTTTTTATATTTTATTCTGAGGTAAAGTCTTCATTAAACTGCCCAAGCTGGCCTCAGACTTGCAATCCGCCTACCTCAGCCTCCCAAGTAGTTAAGATTACAGGTATGGGCTCCTGGCTAAAGCTGCTTCTTAAAGGAATGCTTCCATGTATCCACAAGGATGATCTGTGCAAGATCCTAAATACCCACTAATATGAAATATTTCATATCAGTTTTAAAGACCATACAGAACAGCTCACAGCCACACAGGAAAACAGTTAAGACCTTCCTCTGCACACTGTTGGATATACATGGATCAGTGAGGAGAAAGTGGGAGCTTATCAAGGACAGAGATGCTGACCCTGTAGTGACAGGTTTCAGAAGGTGACATCTAGGCTACAGCACTGCACTCCATGCAGGGTTTCCCTGAGTAAATCTGTGAACAGCAGACCGTGGCTGTACCTCCGAGCCCTCAAGGTTTGTGGAACCTACTGGTGCGGTCCCAAGTTTGCCCACTCTAGCATGGCAGGTAGGCTATGAGGTCTGCTCCCTCTCAGCCAGGTCACTGCTAGAGATGACAAGGTGCGGTGGGGTGTAGTGAGGAAAGTACTCCAGGTTGGTTTTTAGAAAGAGCAGGTGCTCAATGGCCTCTACTTTGAGTGGGGGCTTCTGTTCTACAATGGTGGGGCTGTCTAGAGAGGCCAAGACACTTTCTGAGAAGGCTCTCGTGGGCGGGCAGGATAGGTAAGTGGTGGCCAGCTGGGCCAAAGCTGGCCAGGCACTGCGCTTCCTTTCCCAATAGGCCAGTGGGTCCTCCTGAGCTCCAATGGTCTCGTTGTCCCGCAGATATTGCCTAACAATGACACTGGCCATGTGGTTCTCTGTGGAGAGAGAGGCCCTGCTGCTCTGTGATACCAGGAGGCCCACACTTTCCAGCTGCTCTAGCAGGCTCTTCTCCCTCTGCACCAGCAAAAAGGGGCCTGGGTCACTCTGCCTGCACAGAGACTCCCTCTGGCCTTTCCGCTCAGCCCTGGCCCTCCTGGTGGTGCTCGAGTGCATGCTCTTACATCTCCCACTGAAGGTAGGCAAGTATTCAGTCACCATGATCTCCTTGACCTTGTATACCAGGACTTGCTTCCAGTGGTCAATGTCAGCCCCCTCGGGCAGGATGGCCTCGACCTTGCCCTTGAAGCGTGGGTCCAGCAGGGTGGCCAGCACAAACTCCTCACGGTAGAAGAGCTCATTGAGCTGATGGTCTGTGGAGAGCTGCAGGGCCAAGCCCTCTGCCAGCCGCAAGGCTGTGCCCACATCCCCAACGCTCTGCTCCTGGAAATGCCTGTGCACCTGCTCCAGGAAGATGTACAGGTAGCGTAGCTGGGGTAGCACCTGGCTCAGGGAAGCCTGAGGCATGCTAGCCTCACGGACTACCATCTGGAAGGGCTGCAGAAGCTTCACCAGGCTGTCTGCCAGGCTCCAGAACACAGTAGACAGGGCAGTGCCAGCCTTGCCCAGCTGCTGACTCTCGGCATATGCTTGCAGGGCAGGCTGCTGCCCTACTAGCCACTCCATCAAGCGGTAGGCTGAGCTCCAGTCGTCTGACAGCTTCTCAAAGGGCTGCTGGGCTGGGAGGCCACACTGCTGCTGGAGCTGGCTAAGCAGACTCCGGGCCTCCACCGACCCTTTGAAATGGCTACAGATGGCCCTGGCCGTGCCCAGGATGATCTGGACGCTATGGTGATGATGCAGAAAATTGCTCACCACAGAGTCAAGGCAGTGGGTGAAACAGGGGATATGGGTGTAACCCTCGGCCCTTACTGCCCACTCCAGGCTGGGGTAGCCACCTGACACCAGGAAACCAGCCTTCAGGGAGCCACGGCCCAGCCATAGGCTAATCTGCTCCAGCAGTTCAGGCTGCACATCCTCAGTGGCTCTCTTGAGGGTCAGGCCCCGGACCCAGAGCACTGCACGCTTCCTCAAGCTTACTGATGCCATAGGTTTGCTGGTCACCCAGTGGGCAGCAACGGCCATGTAGCTCACCACCGAGTCCTGGGCGCATACAGAGGTGGTGAAGTGGACATGGCCACCCTCAGCCCACTGCATCTCCTCAAGCACCTTGTCACCCATGGCCTCATGCAGCGAGGGCAAGGCTTTGTCAGAGAAGAAGGCTGGGGAGGGCAGGTGGTAGCAAGGGTCCACTTGAGCCATGAACCTCCTGAATGGTAGGGAGGACACAAAGGAGAGTGGCAGGGCCAAGCCACACAACAGCTCTGCAATCCTGTGGTTCCAGGCCTGAGCCTGGGGCCAGGTGGGGTCATGTGTGTCACTCAGGCTGTCCTTGACTGACCCAGGGGAAGCAGGCAGTGGCAGCAGGGCTGGGAGTAGCTGCTCGCGTCTGTCTAGGGCCAGTTCCCTATTGCTGTCCTCCAAGGGCAGGGTGTCTGGGGAGTCTCTAGGCTCCCCAAGGCTGAGGGCACCAGCCTTCTTCTCCTGTGCCTGCCCTGCCCCTGCTGGCCACTGACCTGGGCTGCCTGAGACTGCCCTTCTGTCCCACTCCATGTTGTGCTTATTGGTCAGGTGCTGGATGAGACTTGAGCCTCGGGCCCGCCCTTCAGCTTTGTCCCGTCTGACACTGGCGCCACACAGGGTGCAGGTGACACAGTAGGCGTTCTTCAAGTCCCCAGTAAAGAACTGTCTAACATCTGGTGTGGCATGTGAAGGATTCAGGGATCCTGGGGTGGAATCTAAGCCCCAGGTCTCTACTTCTGTATCTCTGATCAATTTGTTCAAGCAAGGGGGCTCCGGGAGGCTTGGCTGGGGCCCCAACTTCTCTATCACACCACGAAGCAGATGCTTTTTCTTCCGTTGTTTGGGGTATCGCAGTTCCTTGACCGGATGTGCTGAGAGGATGTCAGCCTGCCTTGATGCCTCGTTTTCCTTGGGCTGGCTCACCTCCAACCTGTCAGGACTGGTGTTCTGGTGGAAGAGAATCTGGGCTGGAGTTGGGGTGCAACCTGCACTAAGAGACAGGGACCTTGTTTTTTTTCTTGTCTTTATCCCTTCCTCTTTCCGTCCACGTACTTTCGCCTTAGATACTTTTCTCTTCTCAAGCTGCACAGGGGGTTCTGACCCAGGAGCAAGGTGGAGATCATAGGCTCCACAGTGCCCCTTGGGCTTACTTCTTGAAGGGCTGGCCCAGCACTTGGCATGGGAGGCAGAGGACTGAAGATGAGGTTCCCCCAGACAGTGGGCTTTTCTCTTTCCATTGCAGGCAGGGAGGCCAAGAGCACCTTCTACCTGATTCTGTAGGTGAGCTTTGCCAGATGGAGAGACTGGTGTGCCAGGAGGCAAGGGGCAGAAACTGCTCTTCCGCCGAGGTGAGTCGCTTTCCTGCTTTCTTGGGGGCCTCCAGAGTCTGGCTTTCCTCTTATGGTCACTGCTGGCCTTGTCTCTATCAGGCAAATCAAGTTTGACCTCCATCTCTGGTAGGCCTTCTGGGGCAACCCCAAGCGTATGAAAGGTGTTGGTGGCTCTGGTACACAAGTCAGGGCTTGGACAAGCTAGGGTGGTGGCTGGGTTCTTGGGTCTGGTCACTGGGGTGCTGGCACTCACACAAGGCTCCTGGCCCACTGGTCCTGAGGCCCTTTGTCTCTTGGAAGGGTTTTTGATTTTTTCCATTTCCAATGTGCTTGGAAGCTTGGGGCAATGAGAAGATGGATGGAGGCTGGAAGGCAAGATGACAAGTACGGCTCTCAGCAGCCTCGCTAAACTCTGGGGGCACTGTGAAGAAGAGGAAGCCCATACAAGAAGGGCAAGAGACAGGCCCAGAGAGAAGATAAAGCACAACAGGATGGTGTAAACTCAGCCCAGGACAAGACTCCCATAGCCCTTGCTCACCAGAGGTTTCTGTGTCCCTCTTCCAACTGATTTTCCCCTTTTTTCTTTTGGGGTCTCAGAAGGCAGAAGGCACTTGTTGACTTCTCTGTGTGTTGTGGATAGAGGAAGACAGGCAAGGGCCCTATGTTCAGAGATAACGTGCAGAACCAGAGGCACTCTGAGGACTCAGGGGCGTGCTCTCATCACAAGTCCCCCAGAGGCCTCACTGCAGGAGAGGTCAGGAGGGAGAGAGACTCCTGACCTGTGTCCCCAGCACCTGGGCTCTCCTGGCCTACAAGGGCACAGCAAAGGTGCCATGGGCTCAGGGGTTGCTAAGTGAAGCCACCTACGGAGTCCTGAGCTGCAGTCTTTGCTCACACCCTTTGAACTGCCCTCATGAACATCAGCCTCCTACAGAGAACAGGGCTGGTGGCAGCTGTCTGACCCTAATCATCGTAAGCCCTGCACCCCCTCAGACTTCTGTCACAGACTCCCAGAAGGCTGCTCGTAGTCCCTCACCTCCCACTCCTCTAAGGCATACACAAGGCCCCAGGGACTCTGCTAGGCCAAATGGGCTCTGCCCCTGCACTTGAAGCCCTCACCTGCTTCCTCCCTCCGGAATACCCCTACTCTGCCCCACCCCAACACTGCTACTTGCCCTTCAAAGACTCTTTATAGGTCTCTCTGTCTGCTGAAGGTCCCTTCAGGCTGCTCCCTGAGCCCTCTGCTGTTTCTCAAACTTCTTTCCCCAACGCTTCTTGCAGCCAACCCTGTCCTGGTAAGTGGGCTGCCCAGCTGCTGACACCTATCCTACATAGTATCTTTCCTGTACCTTATGTCAAGTTCAAGGCTATGAAGAGACCAGACCTGAAGAAGTCACAAGAGACAGATGAGACAGAGAAAGAATGCAATGAGGCAGGACAAGCCTTGTAAGCCAGGGTTATTTCCCAGGGACAGAGGAAGTTGATTTAATACTCCTAACATGAATATCTGAAATCGGGGCAGCTGTATCTCTTCAAACCAGAAAAGGATGCAATTAAAGAAGATTAAGATAAAAATCCATGGATTTGGACACTAAGTGAGTGACACCCAACATTATGGATCACAGGAGATGCAGGGCTGTCTCTGACTGCCGTCCAGGAGCTCCTTCTGGCAGTGCCCCAGCCCTGCTCTTTCCAGGAGGCTTTGCAGAAGGCAGAGGCAGCAGCACATGCTCGATCTCAGAACCCAGCCAGCCCTTCCACATTACCAGGGGACCGGAAGGCCCACATGAGACTGTGTATGTGAAATGCCAGGTACTCTCCTAGGCCCAGGACTGCTCCCAGTGTCATGCAGCAAGGGACCCCAGCTCTTAGTTTATGACTGAAGATATTGCAACCCAGGCCATCTGTCCAAACCTCTGAAGCAGCTTGCAGTGAAGATACAGGACATGGCATTAAAACCAGGCCATGATAGAGAACACAGAACCATAGAAGGCACAGAAAAGGCACCAGGCGTGGTAACACAGATAATCTCAGTACTCTGATAGGCTGAGGCTTGTGGATCGTTTGCGCCTAGCCTGGGCAATTAAGTGACTTAGCAAAACTCTGTCTCAAAACTTAAAAAAAAAAAAGAGAGATTTGGGGTAAGGCACTGGGGGATTTAGCTCAGGGCATAAATGCCTGCTTGGCAAGTGTGAGGTCACGAGTTCAATCCCCAGCATCAAAAAAACAAAACAACAAAAAAACACAAAAATACCCCAGAGATTGGGGGTAGGGGTGTAGCTCAGTGTAAGGTCCTGCATTTAATACTCAGTATGGGGGGCAGGGCAGGGACTTAATGGAGAAATCTGTCAGAACTGTGGCCAGAGACCTATTAGTTACCAAAGGCACCAGTCCTGTTCTGTTTCCCATTAGCCTCATCCCACAGGACTCTGTAGTTTGCAAATACTCTGGATGCCTCTAACTGTTAAAGAACTTGGATTTTCCCTGTAAGGGGTGGTTTACCTTGGGCTACAGCTTCAGGGCTTTTAATCCTCAACAGCCCCAATGGATGAATCCAGGATCTCAGGAAATTGGCACAACATTAATGCTACCCTCTTCTCTTCCACTGGAGCACATCAGGGTGGAAGTGAGCCAGACGATGGTGACAGACAACCTTGAATAAATAATTCTAAATTGTAATTTGTGTGTGTGTGCATGGAGCTGGAGGAGTGAACCAGGGCTTAAGTATGCTAGGCAGACATTCTACCACAGAGCTAAACCCCAGAAAAACCATCCCCAAACTGCACTACTTTGGGATTCATGACACATCACAAGGTGACAACAGGGGAAGATTAGAACAAGACGTGACAGAGATTCCAGACCAGGAATACTGTAGCCTGAGCAGGTCACAAGTAAGCAGAGTCATCACCAGGTAGAAAGAAGTAGGGATAGGGGCGATGGGTGGGGTCATCTGGAGATCCACACAGGGCAAAGCTGAGACTAAGCAGGTGGCTCTTTTTAAACAAACTACCAGGCAGGCACCTTTGCACAGAAAGCAGAAATGGGCAAAATGTCAGGAGTAGAGAGTGGCTGACAACACTGGGAGGGCACAGGGGCAGCCCTCTGAGATGACTCGGTGGCAAAGGCAGCAGACAGAGAAACCTAAGTCGTGGGAGCAAAAGCAAGGGAAGACACTTTCCAGAAAGAGCTGCTGACAGGGCAAAGGCCACACCTGAGGATGAAGACAAGGTCCACCCCACAGCAATGAGGTGTGACAAGCAGGTATCCTGGTGGGTCAGGTCCAAGACTCCCAAGACGCCAGAATCCACAGATGTTCCAATTCTTTATATCCAATAGCAGTGTTTGGGCACAATGTATACACATCCTCTGCATCCTTTGAATCATCCCTAGATTTCCTGTAACACCGAGGCAACTCAAATACTATGGAAATAGCTGTTATCCCCTATCATTTAGTGAATGAAGACAAAGAAAAACTCTGGGTATGTTTGGAGCGGTTGCCAACTCTTCTTTTCCTGCATCTTCTGGTGGTTGTGGGTTGCAGTGCCTGCAGATGCGAGCCTGACAGGATCTGGCAGCTGCAGAAGGCCACCTACACTTGGGACTGTGGGGTGGAGATGCCTTGAGATGTCTCCAACAGAACAGGCCTGGGGACTGGAATGCGTGTGTGTGAGGCTCAGTACAGAGGAGAAATTCGAAATCAACACTAGGAGATTGCTCAGTGACAAGTCATGTATGGGACTGGCCTCTGGGTTTGGAAGAAATCATTTTTTCTGAGGGAAGGAAGAAGGATGGGTATGATGGCAGGGATGTATGGGCCCCGTGCAGGGTAGAGAGGGAACCAAGGCAGCCTATACTCCAGAACTGATCTGTGGGGGGAGGGGGCACAAGGGAGGAGAAAGGGAGCAGCCTTGGGCAGAGGGCCAGGCAACTTCAGAGAGGAGGAGCCTCAGCATTTACCTGCACCTAGGCTCAATGAATTATACTTTCTCCTGCCCACTCTCTCCAGTCCTTTCTAGCACATGCCCAGAGGGGAAAGGTGACTGTTTCTCTCTCACATCTTTCCCAGTTTTTCTCTTTTTTGTACTGGGAATGAACCCAGAGCCCTTGTACTGAGGTTTTTAAATCTTGTAACAAGGTCTTACTAACTTGCCCACGCTGAACTCAAACTTATGATCCTCCTGCCTCAGTCTCCCAGGATACTACCACACTCTCAAGTCTTACTCTCACAGGCCCAAGTACGCTTCCCTCTTCTCTCACTAGAGCACGGGGAGAGGAAGGAGTGGTGGTTCCTTCACCCAGTTCCCGGGGGACCCTCCCTGGCCTCCCTCCACTGAGACTGAACCCAGGGCCTTCTCACTGAGCTGCAACTCCAGCCTTGTATTTTCATGTCATTCTGAGACAGACTCTCAGGAAATGACTAAATTGCAAGCTGGGCTCCAACTGCTGATCCATCCTCCTGCCTCAGCCTCTCAGGGCAGGAATTAAAGAAATGCGTCACCACAACCGGTTCTCCCAGCGGATTTTAAAACACATGGTTGGCTCTCAAATCTTGGGTTTGTCCTTACCCCCTGCAACTGGAAGTGATGAAAAAGAGGAGAGAAATGTGAGGAAGAAAAAAAAAAAAACAGACCCATGCAACTCTGGCTATTTAGAAAACATGGGGAGCGAAACATGGTGGCGCACACCTGTGATCTCAGTACTTTAGGAGGTTGAGGTAAGAAGTCTGCAAGCTAAAGCCCAGACTGGAGAACTCAGCAATTTAGGCGACCCGGTCTCCAAAAAGAGGTGCTGGGGGTGTAGTCCAGTTCTAAGGCTCTAGGTCCACCTTCCCGCAAGGGGGTGTTTGAAATAATAAGTCAGCATCATCAGAGCTCACGTTAAGCAACAGTGTCATAAAGGAGACCCCACTAGCAGAATGCGCTATGCTTTCCCAGGAGGTCAGGATAGTCTGGGACTCGAAGCAAGCGTGGGATCCAGCGCCGGCCTACACGGGCTGCAATTCGGGGTTTGCTACCCACCGCGGCGCCTGTGCACTGCGTGTGCGGGAACAAAGGCAGCGCCACCTCACAGTCCTGTCGCGGCTGGGGGCTCTGTTTGCTGCAGACTCGGGGCGGTTCCCGGTGCCGAGGAAGCCAAGGCCCAGCGCTGGCGGTCCCGGGGGTTCCCGCCTCTCCGGAGGGACGTGAGGAGGGCAGGTGAGCGACAAGGGCGCCACGCAGAGCCATGTGAGGGCGGCGTGGGTCCAGCAGCCGCTGCCTGCAAAGTAGGGGCCGCCACGCGCCTCCTCAGCTCACCTTAGGCCAGGTGCAGACAACGATCCCACGCAGCGTCTCCGCATCCAGCCCGCCGGGCCTCAGGAGCCAACCGATGGGCAGGGGGAGGGGCCGCTCCCGGAAGTGACGGTGCACGCGCGGGCTGCTGGGGGTTGTGTCTCTGGGTGCATCCGTCCAAAGTTGCAAAACCTGGGGCGAGCCTCAGTGCGCAGGCGCAGGCCGCCGCGCCCGGAAATGAAAGCGCTTCGCGCAGGAAGTGGTGATGATTGGCCGAAGGGGTTTTTGTTGTTTTCTTTTTGGTTCCGTAAGTGGAACTCATGACCTAGCGCTTGCCCGGCAGGCGCTTGGCAGCTGAGCTATATCCCCGGCAGTCTCTTGTTTCCGTTTTGCAATACTGGAACCCAGCCCCTTCGCACTGAGCTATGTCCCAGCCCTTTTTTGATTTTGAGACAGAGTCGAGCAGAATCGCTCAGTTATCCAGCCTGGACTCATTCTGCCTGTCTCAGCTTCCAGGAGTGCTGGGATGACTGGCTACGAGGGGAGGCAGTTTTTGTTATGGGGCTTCCTTGGAGATCTTGGCTCCTTACTGATGGTCCACCTGCTGGAACTGGTACCCACTCATACCTAGCACCCCCAAAAGCCTGGATGCATCTTTCTCCCTGCAGTGTCCCCCTGGAAAAACCAAATGAAAGGCCGAGGGCAACGCTTAGGAGCCCAGTTGTCCCCCCAGTGTTTCTCTGCTTCCTTCGCAGGGAGTAAGTTTGGAAGTCGCTGAGGTCCAGATACTACAGCAGCGGTTGCCGAAAGCGTAAGTGTGTCTTCCGCGGGGACCGGTTCAGGATGAATGAAGACACTTGGTGCTATGACAACTGGTAGGAGCTATGCTGACATCTGGTGGGCAGAGGTCAAAGGTGCTGGTAAATTATCCAGCCTGCGCTGTCATCTTGTCCCTAGAGCCTCAGCACGAGGCCTTGTCAGCTTGTTTAAAATGCACAGGCCAGCCCTATCTGTGAGATTAACCCTGTAGGGTATGGCATGGGACCCATGGTCTTACAGGTGCCCATGCTGCACACTGACCAACACCATGACGATAGCCCAAGTGAGGAAGAGGAAGTGTGATTCTCACCAGCCCCAGCACCTATGTTGCCTGGCTACCCAGGACTCACCCCAATACTGCTCCCAAGGGGAGTCTTGCTCTAGACCCTGAAGTTCTGGCCTGATAGGCCCACCTTTGGGCCCAGAGTGCCATGGGTTCTTGTACTATTTTTTTTAATTTTTATTTTTTAAATTGATAAAATTGTAATATTTATCACGTACAGCATGCTGTCTTGAAATATGTGTACAAGCTTTGGTACATGCCTGTAATCCTAGCCAGCACCCAGGAGGCTGAGGCAGAAAAGATCACTGCCAGTTTGAAGCTGCCCTTGGTACACAGTGAGTTCAAGGCCAGCCTTAAGTAGATAGTGAGATCCTATCTCAAAATAGTATAGCAAAATGGGTGAGTGAAGCTAACATGTATATTATCTCACCTTTTTTTTGTGGTGACAACCACTAAAATCTACTCACTAATATGTTAGCGTTGCAACACCATCACTGTGTCATTCCCTCATGTCTTATTTTTTTGATACCAGGGATTGAACTCACAACCTCACACTTGCCATAGGTGCTTATGCTGCTGAGCTAAATCTCTGGCCCTCCTCGTGTTGCGCGCGTGTGTGTGCACACGTGCATCTTCCTGGCATCTTAGTGGAGTGTTGTGTCCTTTGACATCTGTCTCCCCAGTGAGTAATTCTTAGATTTGTTAACCAGAGTGTGGCTGAGCTCACACAGGACTTTGGCCCATGGCCCTTGCTGTTTTGTTATAAGCTGAGCAAACCTGGTGGCTCCTAATGGATTTTGTCCCTGGAAACCACAAGTTCTAATAAACCGATGGTGGCTTTCAGCACACGGGGAGATTACTGTGAGAGGGGACCTCTGCCATGGGGTTTCATGCCCAATAATTCCAATCATCTTGTTTCTGTGCAAAGCAAACAAAAGCACCCAAGGGTCTCACTCTGGGGCTCTGTGGGGAGAGGAACAGATTTGCCTCTCCCTGGTGAGAACCTTGAGAATGGGTGTTCCTGTCACCAGGGTCTGCCAGATCTCTCTGAGATTATGAAACAGGAAAAGTTCAAGGGCAATGGTGGGGAAGCCTAGAACCACAGCATGTAAAGTTGCAGGGTGCTTCAGTATTTTTCCTGTGATTTGCCTGGAACTTAGCAATTGCTCTATGGTAACTATAGAGCATGACATATCTTTGGAGAACATTTCATCTAGGCACTGCAGCTCTCAAGACTGGGATCGCCTGCCTCAGCCCAAAACCTTGCCCCCAGGGTGACAAGAATTGAACTCTTCCTCTGTGCCTGTGCTGCCCTCTGCAGGCCGTACACTTCGTATGCAGCCTGGTTTTACTTGGTTACTTGCTCATGGGCTTTGTCCAGGACTCAGCGGTTTCCAAGGCTGCGTTTCACTCTGCCATTTGGTATGGCTCAGGGGTACCTATGCTCGGCCACTGCCCGTTTGTAGAGATCTCAGGTGTTGGAAGCCTTCCTCTGAAATGTCCTCAGCTGGAGCATGGGGCCTTTTCTCCTAGTCTTTGAGGGGACAGAATCCCAGTCAGTGAGCAGATAGAGCTGACCCCGTGTCTCTTTAATGTTCATCAACCCTTTGTCATTTTGTACTTCCTGATCTGACCTGAACCCGTCATTCACCTCCCTGCTGTCACCCTGATTCTCCTTGTCAAATATCCTCTCAACCTCTGAAAATCCTCCAAGGGAGCTCAACTCTTTTCCTCACCATCAGTAGTTACTAAGATTGTTTGGTAGCCTTAACTGCGCCCCAGCTTTTTCTATCCTTGACCAAACCTGCTGGCACCTGCGCAGTTCTGCTTGGGAAAGCCCAGGATGCAAATCAGTTTTCCCCAAGGAATTGGGAGGTCCGGACAGGTCAGAGTGCAGTGGACAGCAGCTCTCAGCCCTCCCAGCCTTCCAGGACTGGCTGTGCTGATGTTTATGACCTTGAGTACAGTGGCACCTCAGTACTCTTCATTAACTTGTCCCTGGAAGTAAGACAAGTTCCAAATAAATTGCTTTAGCTAAAAAGGCAATCAACATCCACAAGTTCTATCTGGTGCATGGAGTACCAAACAAAGAACATGATTGGATGAAATTTCCCCTACCAAAAAAAAGCTTCCAGTACCAAATTGGAATTTGAAAGCAATGAGTAGTAAGGTCTGACTGTGCCTTTGTGTGCAGGACAAAGCTTTTTGTACTGGTTTCAGATTCACTTGTTTGGTCTGAATGGCCCAATCTGGACCTCAGAGAAAGCAACTACCCTAGATCCCCGCCTCTCTCCCCATAGCTCCCCACCTATGTCTCCAGGACCCGTGAAAATGTCTATTTCCTTCTCTGTCTCCTCATCATTGAAGAGCCTCTCCACCATAAAGGTTCCAAATTAAATAAAAGCAATGGCTGCACCAGAAGAAGAGCCGGGAAACCACAGGGCCAGCCTGGAGCAGTCCAAAGTGCCCAGGTGCAGGAAGCAGCTCTGCAGGACTTCACCTCCAGGAAAGAGGCTGCCTGTGCTTCCATGGGGAATCTAGCAACACACATGTCGCGGAAGTGTCAAGACACCCCAACAACGCAACACCAACAATCCAGCATCCAGAGAACAGGAAATGGGTGGAGGGAAGCAGCCCTCTGCAAGGAACTATCTCTGTGCCCAAGCCCAGGTCAAAAAGGATCCTGAACATCCCAGACCTGAGGTGCCAGTTTTGGACACATAGCACTTTTTAGCCTTTTATGAGCTGGGCATGGTGGCACACACCTGTGATCCTAGCACTCTGGGCAGCAGAGGCAGGAGGACTGTAACTTCAAGTACAGCCTAGGGAGCTTAATGAGACACATTCTCAAAATTTTAAAAAAAGGACAGGGGATGTAGCTTAGTGTGAAGGCCCTTGGTTCAATCCCCAGGACCACAAAAACCAAAAACTAAATGCTTTGTGGCTCCCTACTGCTCCATGGATCAACCTAAGCCCCTCAACCAGGTCCAGGTCATCAGCCATTGGTCCTATCTCACTTCTCCCCAGTTTCACTCCAATGCAGCAGACATCAACCCTTGGAGGTCTAGAATGAGGCCACTTCAGACATGGGACCTGCTTTATTGCATGACTGGGAGCTGCCCCTCCATCATCTAGGACACAGAGTGGTCATCCAGGTTCCATTTAGCCATCTTCCTCCTGTTCTTGGGCCAAACTCAGGACATATAGCAAGACCCAGGTCTCAGGAAATCGTGGTCCTCAGAGTTTATCTCTTGGAAATGTAGCTTCAAAGGCATCAGCTGCAAGTACCCTTTCCTGTCCCCGATCCACCCACGAAGAACTGGAAATCAGATGGCAGCTAGCAGATTGAACTGAGGCCAGGGTTTGCCCACCAAACGGTTATTTATTAGATATGGATCAGTTTTTTCAGTACCAGGCATGCTTGCCACCTCCACCCCACAGAAAGGTTGTGGAGGGGAGGAGAAAGAGGGATGAGGGGAGGGGCTGTGTCCATGCACAACCACAAGCCGAGTGGCCAGCAGTCCAGAGCTGAGAAATCTAGGTCAGACACATCAGCTGCTCCAAAACGAAGGCCACCACAAATGCAAGGGGCACTAAATAAATATTTAGTAGGGCCAGGAACCAGGCAAGGTGGGTGAACTCTCCTAACAGCTCTCGGTACTTGGGCAAGAATTGCTGTCCCTGTTCTGTCTCCTGGAGGAGCACAGGCACAGGCTGGAGGGTCCCAGGTTCCCTGGTATGACCTGTACTGCTCTCTCTCTCTGTGTCCCCCACACAGTGCCTTGCTGGGAATAGGCCCAGCCTTGGGAGCCAACGGGCCCTAGTGCCCCAGTACCACTCAGTGTCACCTGCCTCTCATCCTCCAGCTCTGGTCACTTAGATGCTGCTCTGTGGGGTTTTGAGGAATATGTTTCCCAACCAGGATAGGAGGGGGACAGCCACACGCAGCTTGACAGGCTCCAAGGAGGGGTCAGAACTTGACAGGTCCAAGGAGGGATAGAAAGAAGGCAGGACAGAATATTCCCAAAGAGACACAATTGCTCTGGCAAGTCATCAAGGGTCCTCACAGCTACAAAGATCAAGAGCTAGGTTTTGGGGCCGGGTTTATAGCTCAGTGGCACAGTGCCTGCCTAGCAAGCACAAGGTTCTGAGTTTGATTACACACACACACACACACACACACACACACACACACACACACAAATCTAGGTTTCAGTCTTAGCCCAAAGCACTAATGATGTATGAGTGTTTCTCTGAGACATTTTTTCAGAAATTTCACATCTCATCTTGACAGCAATGGGCACCTCACAGCTAGTGGGGACAGACCTTACCCTGGGGTCATGGCCAAGGACCCTGCCTTCACCTGTGCCACACCTCTGAGATGGATCCTACCTGGACCAGCTGTTCCCAGGACCTGCTTGGGCAGGAAAGAGAGGAAACCCCAGGGATATCCTGGCTCCAGCCTGGCTCTGGGCTCAGGGCTTTCAGACCCAATTGACCAAGAGGAGAGGGTATCCTGGAACCCACTGGGCCCTGGGCATGTGGACTCTGAGGTGCAAACACAGGGGAACACAGAGGAACCAGGACAGCTGTGGGGAAGGTGAGATGAAAGTCACCAGAGAAGTCGAGCCAGGGTCACTCAGAACACTGGTACACCTGAAAGGCATATGGCATTATGGTTACCGTTTTGTTGTGGGGACCCGTATCCCCTCCCTGGAAACCCACCTCAGCCCTGCCCTGGTCACTCAGCAAACCCTCACTGTCCCTCTCTTCAGGCTGCTGTCACCCAGCACAGATTCAGTTTCCCTGCCACCCTGTAGCTTGGGAATCACAATCCCACAGTGACCTGTGTGTGACATGCTTCTGGAAGAAGCCTTGTGAGGGCACAGACAAAGGTACCCTGGGGGTTGGCATGGTACAGGCAGAGAGCCACACATCAGCCTTTTTGGCTTTGCAAAATACGAAGCCTGAGTCCAACTGAGAGCTATCCCGTGGCTCTGCCTTTTTTTTTGGCACCAGGGATTGAACTCAGAACCTTGTGCTTACCAGATAAGCACTTGAGCTACTGAGCTAAGTCCCTGGCCCAGCTCTGCCTTTCTTTGCTCCCCACCCACCATCCCAATGGTACCTGGGGCCACACGCAGTGCCGGTCACTCCCACAGAAAGCGCACGTACCAGATGGTCTCATTCTTCAGCTGGGGCCCGAACAGGGGGTTCAGTTGGGCCAGGATAGCAATGAGCCAGCTGCCAGGGACAGCAGTGTGAGGGGTATCAGTGGAGTCACAGAAGGAATCCACACCCATGCTAAGGGAGGCCTTGGTCTCTTTTCTGCCTGCTTCTCAGGGAGCACCAGTCAAACTGCAGGTGGCAGGGCCAAGTGTCCTCTGAGCCAAGAAGGGACCCATGAAACTACCTACACCCCAGCAAATGTGAGGCAGTGGCCCATGGTTTGTGGGTGTGGGTTTGATTTGTAAGGTCCCTGAGTTAGGATTAGGGCTGGGATTAGAGGCAGCCTACAAGGTCAGGGCCCACTCCCACCAGAGCCTGTGTATTCTCTGGTCCAGCGCTCCCTGGTCTCTGTGCACCTTGAGCTCCCTAAGTCACACGCTAGCCCCAGACCTCTTTCTTCCTTTATTATTTATTTATTATTGCAGTATTAGGGATTGAACCTCAGGGCCTTTGCACTAAGCTACATCCCTTAGCCCTTTAAGTTTTTTTTTTTTTTAATTTTGAGACAGGGTCTCACTAGATGGCTAAATTGCTTGGGCTCGACACAAACTTGTGATCTTCCTGCCACAGCACCCCCAAAAAGCTGAGATCACAAGCATGTGCCACCAACTTTATAACCATGTTTTAAAGAATGAGCATCCCATCACTTCTTCTGTCTTGCCTGCGTTGTTCTGAATTAAGAGCACCCACATATGCCTATAAAAGTAATGTATAAGACACAGGAAGAGAAAATTCTGCAGGCTTAACATGATTTGAGCTGCAGTGAGAGAGGATGTCCTCAAAACTGGAACTTTGCCAGGCATGGTGGTGCATGCCTAGAATCCCAGCACTCAGGAGGCTGAGGCAGGAGGATCACTGCAAGTTCAAGGCCAATCTGCACCACATAGTGAGTTCAGGGCCAGTCTCAACTACATAGTGAGACTCTGTCTCAGAAAGCCAAACCAAACCAAGACAAAAAACCTGGAATTTGAGCTTCCCTTGATTTGGCAGCCGGGGCGATTTAAACCAAGAGCAATGTAACTGCAGTGTAACTGGGCTGGATGGAGGGGGTGTCTTCCTGTTTTTGTAAAGACCAAACAGTTCCTGGGACCGGTGTAGCTATTAAGGAAATGGAAACTGAGTCCTCTGGAACTGTGCCTTAGAATGGATTTTTTGTATCCCCAAGATACCTTTCCAAGCACAAATGTTTCTCTCTCCAAATGGTTCTAAACTGGCTGCATTCAGTGCCTGGGAACGCTCACCAAAAGATTCCTGCTGGGCACAGTGGCTCCCACCTGTAATTCCTGCAGTCTGGGATCCTGAAGCAGGAGGATCACAAGTTCAAGCCCAACCTGGGCAATTTAGTGTAAGACTCTATCTCAAAGTTAGAAAAAAAAAATTTTTAAAGGAGGCTGGGATGTAGTTCAGTGCAAAGGCCCTGGGTTCAATCCTTAGTATGGCAAACAAACAAACAAAATGAAAAACAAACAAAAAACAGATTCCTAAATGCAAGCGTGACATCTGGGATCTACTGCGTATAGGGTGAAGCCCAAAAGCTAGAGCTAAACAATCTGTCTAGGTTCTTCTGATGCTCAGTCGGGTTGACTAGGCAACTCTTTCATCTCACAGGTGGAATTTGCACCTCTGGGTTAGTATAAAGCTCACACAGCAGACATGTGGGCCACAGAGCCAAAGTCAGGAGGGCGGGCAGAGGACAAAGCTGGCAAAGGCAGTACTCACAAGAGGTAACAGCACACAGCAGTGGCAACCAGCATGGTGATGATCACCCTGCAAAAGAAGAGTACAGGTCAGAAGGCCCGGTCAGGGCTACAGAAACAGCTCTTGGCATCAGTTTTCCATAGACTCTCCTGATGCCCCCTGGACACAGGAGGCTGAGTACTACTCAGGGTGTGCAGTGCCACCTGGAGAAGAGAAGCTCTCAGTGTCACCTCTTGGGGAGGCCCACCCTGCCCACAAAAGTGACAGTGCCAATCCTGCCTTTATCTCCCTTCTCCATCACCCAACATTTCTCCATCTTACTGCAGATGGGAAAAGGTACTGCCCCAACATGGCACAACACTGTGGAGTGACCTCGAGTTCACTGGGCAACAAGGAAAACAATAGCCCAGAACACAGGGCAAGAATCAAGGAGACCATGAGCCATTTCTGAGGCTTGGCGATTGCAAGACAACAGTGTCCACTCGGAAAAGATGGAAGACAGAAGCTTAAACTACATCAGGAGCACCATAAAGAATTCACTAGGGTTGCAAGAGAAGTGAGGCTAAAATGCTTTACGAAGTGGTGTTGTGGGACCCATAAGCCCTGCAGATTTTTAAGAACAAATATGACATGGATCTCTCCAAGCAGCATCTAGCCAAAGCTTACATGCATCCACAGTGGCCTTCGACCTAAAGCACTTCAAGTTTGTGCTGAAGACTTGCTCCCTCTTTCACTATGACTCAGGGCTTGGGCCAGTCCTGGTTGGACACTGCGGGAGAGCATTTTGGACAAAGGGAGACTTATGGAAAAAGGGAGAGCATTTTATAACCAAAAATATGATAAGCAGATGCTAGGGCGTGTGCAGAAATCTGCCTGGGAACCTTCAAAAGTAACACCTGCTGAAAATGATCAAGTGCACAAAATGTGCCATGCACTGACGAGTGTTTTAAGCGCATTACTTGAATAATAACCCACTGAAGCCTTATGAGGCAGGCATTGGCATCATGCCCTTTTATTACGGAGAAACTGAGGCTCAAAGTCACACAGCTGGCGGGGGAGGGGAGGAGTGCACCAGCGCCCACCCCGCTCCTGTCTGGCTGCAGGAGCCAACGCCCCAGCCATCTGCATCTCCACAAAATCCCTGCTCCTAGTTTCAGTGTTTGTCCTTGTGCTTGGGCCTCCTTCCCGTTCCCTCATTGAACGCGACCCATGAGCGGTGACCTTGGGGAAGGCGACCTGGAGAGGCGTCCCCCGAGTGATGCTGGCGGTAGGACAGGGACAGGGAAAGAGGGGTCCGCAGGGAGCTAGGGCCTGCGCGCCTTCCTTACCCGCGGTTAGGTCCCTTTGGCACGAACCAGGGGCCGGCAATGCCGATGAGACCCCAGAACGTGGTGAAGACGATGACCGGAAGGGCAAAGGAGTGCGCCGTCATGGCCGAGGCCGGGATGCCCAGCGGGATGCAGGTAAGAGATGCAGGTGCTGCAGTACAGGTCCCTGTAGCGCAGGGGTCAGAGAGCATGCGCATTGGGAACCAAGCGCTGCTAGGCCAATCTCTGGCCTGGCGCACTGTCACTCAGAGACAGGGGGCGGGGCTTTTGGGGAGTCCACTGGTTGATTGCCTGAGTGAGGTTACGCCCCTCTCAGGAGGCTGGAAGTGCGGCCACAGGCGCAGTGATCGGATCTGAGTTGGCGTTGAATGCTTTCGTGATCCTTCCTTAATCCCCAAGACTCGGGAGTTTAGGACCACTCAGAGTAATCCCTTACCGAGTCACTGTGAGCCAGGCTTCCCTAGAGCGCCCTACGTCTCGCCCACGTTCTCCCCACCCCGGGTGCCTGGGGTCTGGGATCCAATGTTGGGGAGGTGCGCGAGACTGCAGGGGCTTCTGTTAGACTGGGAGCGCAGTGAGAAGGGGTGAGGTTCGGCCAGGTGGGTCTAAATTCATTCAGAGCCCGATGACTGACAGGCGCTTGGGATCAGATCCTTGAGCGAAGCAGCTAAAATCCCTGCTGTTACAGATCAGTGGCTCCAGGAGGCAGCTGCAGGAACGGATGCTGCCCCCATCAGCCTTCCAGGCTTATTCCCTGAATTCAGTGGCTCCACGGCGTGGGAAACGGTGATCCTCGGCGTGATGCAGAAGGAAAATGCACCTGGCCTCTTACCAATTCCTATTTTCCAGAAGTAGGAGCCAGTCACCTGCACCCTCCCTACGTACTGGTTGAGACCACAGTATCCCTGCTTTTAACATATGAGGGGGGTGTGTGCGCGCGCTTTTTTTTTTTTTTTTTTTTAAACAAAGATACCTGGCTTGAGCTTCCATTATATCCGTGCGAGATGGAGGTAGGAAAGCAGGTACATAAAGGGCTTACGTGTAAAGTGCCATCCTGGCTTTCTAAGGGTGTCTAATCCAGTTAAAGAGTGATATGTTGTAAAACCATAATGCTGATCAGACTAGGGTAAGAGTCGCTATCAAAGTAGTCCCTATCCATCTTGAGACTTCAGAGGATGGAGAAATTAGGGAAGATTCCCTAGAGGAGGTGATGTTTTAACTGGATTGCAAAGAATGGTTAGCCTTCCATTAGCCTTCCAGGTAAGGGGATACTTGGCATGCATGAGATGGCATAAAACAGGCTGGTCCTACAGTCCTGCACCAGATCACCACTACAGTTTATGGCTGTAGGTCGAAAAGATCAATGTCTGAAGCAAGCACCTCCCCTCCTTGGTAAGTGGCTGTGGTGTGGCAGACTGCAGCCCTTCCAGGCGGAGAACCACCAGCAGCTCCTGAGATCCACACCATGTTGGAACTTAGGACGTTGGGAAACCAAGCAAGCAGCTCGCCTTCCTGGTAAGTGGCTGCAGTGTGGCAGACTGCGGCCTTTCCAGGGAGGAGAACCACCAGTGTCTTCTGAGATCCACACCATATTGGAACTCATGAAGCTGGGAAACCAAGCAACCAGCCTGCCTCCCTGCTAAGCAATAGTGAACCTACTGGTGCACTGCCTAGAGTCAAACATCCCACTTCCCCTTCTCCTGTCCCCCGTTAGCAAATGGGAACCAGAAATCTGAGCATCTCCTGGGAGGTTGACCATAGCAAATAAGGGGGGTTTCCTTCTACCATCTCTTTGAAGGCAAATACTTTTATTACTGTTTTGCTCTATTCTGATTAATGGTACTGCTCTATTCAATATTCTGTTTTGATAAGTTCTATAATGTTCTGTATTTCATTTTATTTTGATTGAAAGAACTATTGTAAAGATAACAAAATATACTGGTGATACCTATTACTGTTATCGCAGTAACCTGCTGTGAAGTTCTGTACTAATTTCACTGTACAATCTTAGTTGGCTTTATTCTGTCTTGATCTGTTGTATTTTACTACCTTCAAAATAAAATTTTAAAAAAAGATCAATGTCTCTGGACTGTTTCATAAAAACAGTTCTCCGTGTAAACAAGCATAAGTGTGTTTTCTGTTTGTCCCTTGCTCAGTTATAGCAGCTTGGTTTAGGTGACAAAGGGTTCTGCTCTGTCCCCAGTAGGTTCTGAGTTCTCATTTCTGTCCTGGTTTGCATTTGTTGTACGTCATCTGTTGGACCCCTCTTTTGAGGTCTGTGGTGCACAACAGGCTCAAAGCCATACGCTGGCCCCAGTCCAACCCCAGGAGTCTTGTCTGCACTCCAGCTCTGGCTGCTCCCCAGAATGTGACTTAATGATGTGGTGTGCCTGGGCTGCTGCTCCGATTCCAAGGGTAAATGTGCGCCTGATTTAGCAGATCCTTAAAATATAGTTCCTCCTCATCACATGTTGATTTCCTAAAGCTTTGTTTTTAGCTGAAAGAGATCTTAGAGGCTGAAGTAATCCATTCCCTTTGTGGGTGATAAACAGAAGTAAGTTGCCCAAGGCCACACAGTTCTGTAGTAAAAGAACTGGAATCCAGGCCCACATCATGCGCCTGCATCCAGGAGCTTGCATCCAGCCTGAGGACACTGCTTTCCAAGGCACAGTTGTGAGGCCGAGGCCATGTTGTCACGTCCCCTGTCCTTTGGCCCCTGAGGTGTCACCATGTACTCTCAACATGGGGGTTTCTGCCACAGCTCATAGGAGTGCTTTGGGCACATTGGCAAATTTCCCAGGCAATGGAGTCTTTCTGCTAGTAACACCTAAGTTTATCCTTCTATAGATTTGGGCATTAGTGAATTCCTAGGAAGGGCAGAAGCAAAAGGAGCCGCTGAGAAGTGCTCTAAAATGTCCCTGCATCTCCTCAGCAGGAAAAGCAGGAGTGCCAGGTCACTGGGAAGCTATAGCTACCCTCAGAGCCTTAGGAATGACCTAGATGCCTCTACAGACACAATCAACTCTGGATGTCTGTCTTTTGCATGTACTTAGGTTTAGGATGAATGAAGCTATGGCTCTCCATGGTGGCTCCCCACTACAACCAAAGCAGAGATGGTTTGCACATTTGAAGAAAAGCTCTAGGAGGATTCCCATAACCCTAACCCTAATCCTTAGCCAAGTAAGGCTCAAGGCAGTATGTCCTGCACTTGTCCAGAGCATGCAGTGAGCCTTGGTGACCTGTCTGGCTCTAATTGGCCCACAAATCAGCACCCTTCAACCTTCCTGTCCCTGCATCCCCCTCTCTTGTGGGAGTATAACACTCAGGAACTCTTGTGGTCTGTTCAGGCTGTTGGTTCATGTTTACTTGCACAAGGGTACACATTTAGCATTGACACATACCCCAACATGCTTCATCTCACAGGCCCCTAAATGCATAAGTTCTTTCCTGCAAACCTCCACTGTTCCCTCCCTGAATATCTCCAGGAAGAAGGAAGATAAAGGACGGGTGACGATGGTGGTGATGCTGGTGCTGGTACTGGTGGTTTGCAATGCTGGGTATTGAACCCAGGGCCTTCACACTGAGCTACGTCTCCAGCCATTTAAATTTTTTTTTAAATTCTGAGACAAACCTGAGTCACCCAGGCTGGGTTTGAACCTTCGATCCTCCTACCTCGGCCTCCCAGAGTGCTGAGATTACAGGCCTGCATCACCAAGCCCAGCTAAAGGATGGATTTTATGATGAAACTCAGCATGGAGAGATGAAGCAGAAGGGCCATCCTGGAATCTCATAGGTTGGCCTGTTTACCCTGGCTTGTCAAACCTGCAGTCAAGAGCAAAGGGTCAGGTACTACTGTCCACTGACCTTCACACAGGACACTGTGACACTTCCCATCTTGTGGGGAAGCTCCCCACGCTTGCTGTCTGGCAGCAGCTGCAGCAGGGGGTTACTAGCATGGCAATGAGAACCCAAACTCCCTGGCTGAGGAGCTGCAATGACAACAGCCAGAGTGACAGACACTTTTACCAGGACTCCAGGATGACAGTGTCCTCAGACCCACCAGGTCACTTGTCTGAGTTGGGATCTGAGCTACCCTTGGGTCTACCTGTGTCATCCACAGGATGCTGTCCTCACTCAGGTGATCTCACTAGGAATGTGGGATGAGAGTGACACTGAAAATGGTATGTCCTTGTCACTCAAATGACACCTGAGCTCCCTTTAGGAGGCTGAAGATAAACCTATGGAGGCAACTGGAAACCCCACCCAAATGGACCCTTAGGCTTCTGTGAGCTGAGCACCCCAGCATTGCTTCTGGAGGCGCTCAAGTCCTTCAAATTGTGCTGAAGTCACCCAGCCTGTACCAAGTGTGTGACTAGAACTTCAGGAGCCACATGGCCCCTAGCCATCTTTGGGGCAGTAGCTCTTGTAGTGTGACAAGGGCCTTCCATCCATGGGACCACAAATGGCAAGGGATATGAGATGTAAGAGGTGAGCATACCAACAGCATAGGGTTTCCTGCTGCCACATGGACCACGACCACGAGAAACCCTGCAGCTTCGTCTCCCAGGATGGCATCCATGTTGCATGGTATGTGCTTGCTCCCTGCAGATCTTGCAACCCTGAGAGCCCTTCTGCTGAAGCAATGGCAGAAACATGCCCAGAAGAGTCCCTAGCACCTGGCCTGACTGTGACAAAAGACTCAAAGGTGAGGCATCTCCAGGCATCCATTCCCAGGTGCACAGGTAAGTGGCTGTTTGGGTGCCAAGTGTGGCAGGAACTGTGGTCCCAGGCCCCTATGTTCCCAGGGCAGTCAGGGCTGCTGGTGCAGGAAGGACTTTGGGACTGGATGGTCATGCTGACCCTGCCTCAGTATTCCTGGCAGACCCTGCCTCAGTATTCCTGGCATCAGGGACTGGGGCATCTCCAGGAAGGGCCTGGTAGTTGCACGCACACACACACACACACACACACACACACACACACACACACACACGCAGAGATAAGAAAGGCAGGGTTACAGTATACATCGTGAGTCTCGGAGGAGGCAGCTTTGCTGCCTGCTAAGAGAAAAATGCCTCTTCAAAGAGGGACAATCTGGCTGGCCTTCAGCAGCTTAACCTACCTCCTAGTTGTTGCTTAGGGATTTACAGGACAGATCCATGTGTGGAAATAAACTGCTTTATTGAAATAGCAAAAGATTTAGAATCAAACATGGTTATTCTAAACATGTGTACGTCATTGAACCAGGGCAAGTGAAGACATCCCTGTCAAGTCACCCTTGTGAGGACCTGGTGACCTCTGTTCTGTCGTGATCTGTAGACAGCACCCTAGGGACTCTCCTTTGTAGGACAGAAAGCAAAGGTCTGGAGTTGGTCACCCTCACAGATGTCCGGCCTGGACAAGGCAAGGCTCCCTCACCCCCAGAATCTCTAAGTATCTGGTACAATGCTGGTTATGTGGAATGCCTGCCCCCAGGGGCATCAGTAACGAGGGAAGAGGAAGAGCAGATGCCAGGATGACAGCATAGGTGGAGATGATAAGAGAAAGTGCTTTCTTCTTGGGGGACTCTGAGGGCCACCTCCAGAGCCTGAGGGGAGACACCTCCATGACACAGAGGCAGAAAGGAGAAAGACAGCAGCATTAAGTGCTAAGGCTGAGAGTGGATGTCAGGAATCAGGGTGTCTGTAGGATGGGCCGATGCCTGGATGCCAGCATCACAAAGCAAGGATACCCTGCAGACAAGCAGCAAGCAGGGCCCCTGCCCGTCTAGATGAGCCTGAGGCAGGAACAAGAAGCCCTTCGCACAGACATCCCCAGCTTCCCAACTGGCCAAGGAAGCAGAACAGGGACAACAGGTTCCCATCCAGCTCAGCAGCCTGGAATCTACCCAGACTGCACCGCCCTGGGAGGGGAGCACTCTCCCCAGAAGGGAAGGGACAATGGTGAGGGGTCTTGGGACCTACTAGTGCCAGAGGTATCCTATGAAGAGGATGCCCACAAAGTTCTAGGGCAGCTTCTTAGAAACCCTGGCTGCTAAGTGCAGTCCAGGGAGTGAGACTGTGCCCATCTAGGGCAGGGCATAGTTACCAAGCAGCGATGACAGTTCCAAGCAGAGTCCTTAGGGCAGCTTGCAGAGGAAGGGACATGCCTGTCCCACTGATGGTCCATGTGGACAGCACCTCTGCCCACAACAGGACTCAGTAGCAAGCTTCACACTAAGGATTGGGATGGGGCACGAGAGCAGAGGGTGGAGATGGCCTTCTCTCAAGGAATGCAAGGCTCTTGCTACTAAGCTGAGGCATAGGGAGCAGGGAGAGGCACTTAGATTCTCAGCTGCCATGGCTTGGAGAGGGAAACTGAGGCACAGATTAGCACAAAGGACTAATCACAGGCAAACCACTGCCCAGAGCAGAGCCTGGATGGCTCCTGGGCCACCAACTCTGAATTTGACCCACACAATCCTCAGGAAAACACAGCTAAGGATTCCCTTCCAGAGAGTGTGCCAGGTAAGACCCTTCTCAGGTGCAGGCATCTTGAAGGCTCCATAAGCATCCTTCAGAATCTCCAGGACTCCCCGGAGGGTGCAATAGGCCACTTCTGTGCTCCCAGCCCCTTCTTCCTCAGCCCTGTACCTGTGCAGGATGAGACCATGATGGTTACACTGAGCAAATGACAGCACCTTTCTAAACCAGACCTCATCCCAGGACTGTGTGAAAACAACAAGGCAGGCCAATGGGGACAAGGCCAGCTCTGCATCTGTGGCCCTCATGTAGCCCAGCTCTGCTCAATCTGTTCCCCTACAAAGGCCACAAACGCGTCACCTGGAGACACTTTTGATTGTCATGGCTGGGGAAGGTGTGGCTTTCCAGTGGAGAGCTAGTGGGTAAGGCCTGGGATCTGCTATGGCTCCCACAGTGCCTAGGGCCCAGAAGGCAGCTGTCACACACACTGCCTGCCAGTGTCTCTGCTGCCTTCCTCACAGCTGCCAGTTCTACTGTCCCTCAGAAAGGACGGCTTGTCCAAGGGCACACTTGGCACTTCTGTCTCCTCTGCCCCAGAGCTGGACACTAGAGCAGCTCCTTCAACCACGCATGAGGGTGAACTCACCCAAGTTCCTCTTGGCTCCTTTCATCTCACAGGGGAGAGGTACCCCCAGCTGACACTGCAGAGCCACCTGGCTTCCTGTGGAACCTGAATCAGTGCTGAGACCCAGGCATATAGCTAGTTGGGCAACAGAGGGAGACCTGGAGCCAGGCAAGTTGCTGTGTGGCACAAGATGCTCTTTGCACTATGCCTGCTACCCAGAGCCATGATCCCGGTCTCTAGCTGAGCCACCCATGGTATCTGTGGCTGGAAAGTGGCTGGGCACACTGAAGAAGCTCTGAGACCCTGGGATATGGTCTTTGGCTTAGCCCAGCATGGATGGATCAGCTGTTACTCCACCTTCACATCTGGGTTGGAACCTGGTTGTGCACCTACCTGTGTGGGAGCGGGCGGGCACCTGGGTACAGGCATAGACGTGGCTGAAGCGCCGGCCCGAGGAGGTCAGGTACCAGTGCTGGATGGCAGGCTGCGGGTTATACTCCGTGACTGCCACTCCATTCACCGCTGTCATCATGAGTGTGTTGAGCACCTCATTGGAGAGCTTGGTCCTTTCGTCGGTTCTAATCCGGTTCATGGCCTTGAACCCACGCTCACAGCACGAGGAGGAGATAGGCACACAGGCCACCACGGCCATGAGCTTGCTCAGCAAAGGAAAGCGGTGGTGCTGGGCCAGGGCACTTTTACACAGCATGGAGAAGGGGAGGTTCTGGGCGGCCACCTTCAGGCCCAGCCACTCCTCCAGCAGTGCCTCTTCACTATACCCTGCGGGCAGGGAGAGCTCAAAATGCCTGGCAAGGCTCAGAATGTCATCATTCCCGAAGCAGGCCAGTTCCACCCCAGTCGGCCAAGCCATGGTGTCAAACACCTCCATGTTCTTGAGCTGCACGGGGCGGTCTGTGTCAAACCTCTGCCGGAGGTACTCAACTCCCGTCAGTATCATCCTCTCCCTGTCAACCTGAAACCGCTGCTCTGCCATCTCCACCCTGTCCAGGAAGATGCCATGGAGCTGCCCATCCTGGAAGGTGGCGTTGAACTCTTCCTCTTTGGGTCCCGCATGGTGGCGGAGGGCCTCCAGCGCGATATAGGCACGCCCCAGCTCGGAGTTTATCTCTGTGATCAGTACCATCTCTTTCTGGCACACCTCAGCCAGGGACCTGTAGATGCTCAGGAAGTCCAGGAGGAAGTGGCAGAACTTGATGAAATGGAAGCCCTTCATCAGCTTCAGCAGGCCCTGGGCCCTGTGCCCTACTTGGCCCCCGGCCTCCACCACAGTCTGGAGGTGCCGCACCAGGGCGGGCCAGCTCACAATGAGCGCATTCAGTGTGCGCCTCTTGCTGGCCACCCAGCGGACAGCATTGAGGTCCTTCAGACGGACGATTTCCTGCTCCAGGGGCGCTGCACCATCCTGCAGCTCACTCAGCCTCTTGTTGGAGGACTGGTAAAACTTGAAGATGGTCCGGATGTGCCGGTCACACTTCCTTACCAGATCAATTCTCCCGCAAGCATCCACTACAGCCAGGTGCAGCTGGTGGGCCACACAGTGGACAGGCAGCAGCTGTGGAATGATCTCCTGGAACTTCTCCACGAGGCCTCCTTTGCAGCTCAACATGGTGTAACCATTGGTGCCCAGGCCCACCACCCAGCCAGGCCTCCGGAAAGGGATGTCCAGCTCATCCAGGGCTGCGATGATGGTCTCAAAGTACCCATCCACCGTCTCACTGTAGAGTGGGGCCAGGGTGATGTAAGACTCTTTCACCTCCAGCTGCTTAAGGTATCGGATATAAATCCCCACGCAGGCTTGATTGGAGGAGTCCCTGCAGCCGTCCAGCAACACGCTCATGCATGGGGAGCTGCGGATGTCCCCGAGGATGTCCTTCTTCAGGGTCTCTGAGATGTACTTGATGAACTGTGTGCATGCTGTACGGTTTCGGTACTTGCCTAAAATCACAGTCCCACTGCTTTGGAGGAGCTGCAGCATCTTCTCAAAATCATTCAGGGGCCGGGAGTGGTACGCGATGGAGTAGGCAGCATTGAAGAAGTGCTCCATGTTGGCCATGAGCTCGCTGGAGATCTCCGGGACCAGGGTGGTCTGAGGGCTGCTGTCTTTGACTTCCACGGTGTTGACACAGAGCTTGTGTGCCTTACTGACTTCGTGGTACTTTAAAGTCTCCACCTTAAAGGGCCCAGTGTAACCTTGGACTAAACGAGATGATTTGTCATGAAGCGTGGGTCTCTCTTTGCAGACTGAGCAGAACAGCTTGGTCTCAGTGGGGTCGACTACCAGCCATGGGAACTGCCCAAACCATGACCTCTGAATGGAGCGGGGTCTGTAAGTCCTCTGACTCTTTCTAGGCCCACCAACTTCTCCTGCCTGTGTGCTGGAAGAGCAGTTGCAGGCATGTGTCTTCACAGATGGAGGCGGAAGTGACGCAGACTCTGTAGCAGGGGCCTCAGTGTCTGCCTCTCTTACTGCTACCATCCTCTTTTTCCCTTTGAAGACAATTCAATCATGCTTAGCTTTGCTCTGCAGTTTTTCATGAATGAAGACACCACATCCAAAACGTGCCCCTTGTGAAAAGCATGATTCTTACAGATCACTCATGGCTCCCCCTTAAACCTTTCCCTGTCATTACCTGTGAAAGCCAATCTGTCCCCCTCAAGAGTGGTGGCTGTCCTTTGTGGGGTTCTCTGTGGCCTCCCTGCTCTACTTATCCAACTACCCTGGAACCGCGTGATACCAAATGCTAATGAGCTTAGTTAACCACCCTTGAGCAGAGGTATTATTAAATGGGTATCTTTAATCCTCTTCTGAGACTCCATAAAAAATGAGGTCAAACATCTTTAAGTCTTCTAACGTGTCTTAGAAAGCAGGGAGGTGCAGAAGTTTCCTTCAGTAACCAACCAGCCAGGCAGTTATGGACTGAGATGCGTGAAACAGCTACTTCTTAAACCCAGAGTATCATCACTGCATGCCCAGGACAAGGAGTACACAGCTGGTGCTAGTTCCTGGCAGCCAGGGCCCCTACCCACTCCCCCTCCTCCCATCAGCTGTGCCACAGCCCCCTGTACACTTCTGCTCATTGAAGGGTCTCATTTAATTGGCAGTATCCCAGTTTCCCAGATGACTGTATACTTTGTTGGCACGGTTTGTTTTTAACTCCCCGTTGTCTATCCTAGTGCAGGGCCTGGTCCTGGGTAAGTGTGGCTGACCCAATGGCATGTGACTTGCCATAGCACCATGTGCCTACCACGTGTCCTTCAGAACTCAGTGGGTTAAGACTCACCTGGCGGATGACCTTTTCCCCACTTCAACCCATTTGGATCCTTGATCCAGGGCGCAGCTCTCCGCTCCAGTTTCAAGATCAAATCTGGCTTGGCAGCAGCAGGCTCTGTTGCAGGAATGAAGAGTCACACGTTACACTGCTGCAGAACACCAGGTTAAGTGGCCCAGCTCAAGCTAGACCTGGCTCCGAAACATGCAGGGATTCCTGAATTCTATATCGGGCAGAGCGTAGTTGGCTGGGCCTGGCTGAGAGCACTCCTGTCCAGCATGGCAGAGAGGTGGCCTGGGTTGGCCATGCCCTTAGCCAGGATGGATCACTTCCACAGCTCTGTGGGCAGCCCTGGAGCAGGGGCCAGTAAAATGCACCCAGAAACATAGAATGAAACAGATAAAGAAGAAGAGAGCAGGGAAGAAAAGCAAAGCCACATAAGTAGTAAAGGTCATCTCTGGAATAACCTGCTGGCTTTTGGGCAGGTGGCCAACTATGCTTGAAGGGGTTCTAAATACATCTACCACTTGTGATGGATGCTGAAATTTGGCTAAAAGAGATCTTCCCTTCAAATAGGAGTATTATTCAGGGATGCACAAAGAAATCGTTTCCTTTATTTATAATGCAATCCATTACCATTTACTTATATATATGATTCTATCTATATGTCTGTTTACTTTCTTTGGAAGTACAAGCAAATGGTTACTTCTGGGTGCTTCTGCAGAGGATCTGATGGGTGGAGGAGAGGGGTTTATTTTTTACCAGCTTTTGTATCACTTGTATATAATTATTTTGCTATATAGGTATTTGTGTATATTTCCATATATCTACCAGGAATAAAAATATTGTTACAAAAATGGGATAGGTGAAACTTATATCCTTCTTCAGCAGAGGGATAACGGTAAAGGAACCCTAAATGGAAGAGGAAGTGGAATAGAATCACTAATGCATTATTGGAAGAGGACAAGGAGACAGAAGAAAAGCTGACACAGATCACCTGCAGAGGAGGTGACCAGGGGACACAGGCTGTTTTGCAAGACAGAATCCAGAAAGACTTAGAAGCAGGAGGCCCTAGAGTGGGGAAGGTGGAATTAGGGATATGCAGAGTGGGGGACAGGACTAAAGTCCCTGTGGAGACCACCTCACCCAGGAGGAGAGTGGAGACGGAGTCCACAGGAAAGCGCACCAAGAAGTGCTCCAGACTCTCGGACACAGAGGGAAGGGCGAACATGGTGCTAAAACAGATGGGTGAGGTTTATAGACTGAGGGGTGCACTGCTTGGTGCCAAGGATCCTGCTCAGTTTGTCCCCTCCAAGCTAGAGACAAGTTTTCTTTGCTCAAAAGGGATCTTCCCCCAGACAACTTTGGCAGGCTCCCCAAAGAGACATCCGGGTTGCAGCTGGTCTCCTGCAGTATCCCAGACAAGCATAGAACTTTCCATTAGTTCTTTTTTTTTTTTTTTTTTGTCTTTTTTCTTTTTATCGGTACCGGGGATCCCCATTAGTTCTTAAAAGCTTTACTGTGGAATAGGATGAACTTAGGAGAACATGCTGAAGAAAGCTGTCTAACACAAAAGAAAGCAAGCAGCTGTGGGCGCAGTGAAGGCTGAAAAGGGCTCAGAGGGGCTGCTTCTCATCTGAGAGTGCCCCGCCACTGGGGAGACTCTGAGAGAAGAAAAAAAGCCTTGACGCTGAGAACTCTCTAGCTTTTATTTAGAATATCAGTGTAAAAGAAAAATGGAGAAGAGTGGTTTGGGCACAGAGCTGTCTCAAGGCTGGGCAGTTTTTCTTGGGGAGGGGGAATGGCCAGACACAACATGTTTTAATATTCTCAACTTGTTGAACCACTGATTCTCATAGCACCCGTGTGCTGTTTTGCCCGCAGTTTAATGAGGTGTGCTTTGGCCCCATATTTTAACCATTCACTCCTTATAAAGCCTACATGTTTTCGTCCTGATATTTAAACTTTTAATCATCTACTTCTGGCTGGGTCCCCCAGACAGACATGCAGGAAAAGCACTGAAACTAAAAATCTCAGAGAGAGAGAGGCTTCCTAATAACCAGAATAGGGAATATTCATAGGTAAAAAGTCATGAAGGACGGAACACTAAAGTGTCTCTATGCTTGAAATATTAGAGTGCCTAGAAACACTCAACAGGAAAAAAAAAAGAATTTTTTGAAAAGAAAGTTGAGGAAATCACTAAGAAATTAGCACAACACAGACAGAAGCAGAAAACAGTCAGCAAAAACCAGATACAAAAATGAAAAGGCAGAGGCCCAGTCCAAGAAGTCCAATGGCTAACTAACACAGTTTTGGGGGGAAAAAAGAGAAAACTGGAAGAAATAATGTTTATTATAAACAACATTTCCTTAAACTGGAAAATGTGTTTCCTCATACAAGGTAAGTCCAAGATATGCAGAACAAAAAAGTAGCAGCCATATGAATGCATATCATGGAGCACTTCAGAACACTGGGATAGACTGGAAAAGCTTTCAGAGTAGAACCAATAGGCTGTGTTCAGAGATTTAGGAATTTGAAGTCATAAAACTTCTCAATAGCGCCAGTAAAACCTGACAGAGCAATGCTTCCCAAAGCTGAGGAAATTTGGTTCCCATCTAGAATTCCATGTCCATCCAGTTATCAATCAACTGGGCAATGCTTCTTGAAGGTATACAGTGTTCAAGTACCTACAGCTCAGTGCAAACACAAAACCTGTCACTATAAAACGCATGACAACTGAAGTCATCTCTGACTGTTTGGGGAGCCACTTAAGAATTATGAACTGCACTGAGGTTGTAGCTCAGTGGTAGGACTGAAGAACTAGGAATAAGGATAAAGTCTGCAAGGCACAAAGGTTTAGAAAACAATCCAAACCTTAGCTGCAGAGAAAGGAAGGGATATGACATCTGTGATAGCTTCGTTTTTTGGCATTTGCAGCTGTCATGGTGCAAGTGGCTGCTGCAATTCCCAAGTCACATACAGCACCCTGCTCTGCAAGCCTCTGCTGTGATGTACATTACACAAACAGAAGACTCCAACAGAGGGGAGATGAGGGGAGGGGAAGACAAAGGGGAGAGGGAAGTAGGAGAGAAGAGGGAAAAGGGAGGGGAGGGGAAAGGCTGTCTTTCCATCTTGATGCTGCCAAAGAACCCTGACTGCCTGTGGAAGGGTAAAAGAACAAGAAACATGCAGGAGAGGGAGCTATAAGAACCATTACCTTACTCCTAACTAGTTCTCCAAGGCCTAAGCCTAGGGACTTCAAGGCCCAAACCTGTTGACCCATGCTGGCACCTGGCAAGATGCAAGCACTTTGGTACCTCTGCCCAGACAAGAGTGTGGAGCCCACTAGGAGGCCCTCCACCTCCAGTCCTTGCTCAGGTCATCAGGTCATCCCCTTCCTACTGTATCTACTGGTTTTGCCTCCAGTAAAACTGTTCCTCTTTGGGAAGCCTTCCTGATCCCTCCTTCTGCTGCCCAGATTTACGAGGCTGACCTCAGCAGCTACAGGCACTCTGTCTGTCTGTCTGTCTGTCTGTCTGTCTGTCTCTCTCTCTCTCTCTTTCTCTCTCTCTCTCTTGGCAATACTGGGGATCAAACCCAGGGCCTGTGTGCTGAGCTACTTCTCCAGCTCATTTAAAAGTTCTTTTTTAAATTAATGATGGGTCTAGTTAAGTTGCTAAGTTGCCCAGGATGGGTTCACACTTGTGATCTCCTATCTCAGTCTCCCAGAGTTTTGGGATTACAGGCATGTACCACCATGTGGGCCCAGTTCTGCTACTCTTTAATGGAGCTTGTATCTCTGATGGTTTCTCATTCAAACATGTGTCTTGCCCACAAGCCTGCAACCCCAGTGAAAGCAGAAACCCTTGCTAGTGCGTGCCCTTCTGGTATGTACTAGCTGCCTAATAAGTGCCTGCTGGAGGTTGGACATCTGTATAACGTGGTGCTAAAGTAGAGAATCCCCAAAGGAGAGTTCCTTCCCTCAGAGGGCAGTAACAGCAAGGGGACCCCAAGCCACAGCTACTCTCTGGGGTTGGATAGTCAGCTTATGGTGGCACAAAAGGGGGCTTTACCCAGGGATGCCAACAGCTCATAGTTCATCTGCATCACGTCCCGGTACAGCTCCTTCTGCTGTTTGCCCAGCAGGCCCCACTCCTCCCGGGTGAAATACACTGCCACATCCTCAAACATGGCCGGAAGCTCCACAGGCACCTCCAGCTGTCCTTCCTCTGCAGGGGCCTGCAACAGAGAGCAGACACTCACTTCTGGGGTGGCCACATGACACTTCCGGTGGCTGCTGAAGACCCATGTCTCGGACACTCACAGTGGCCCCGACAGTCACTGAGGAATTAATTTCTCCACTAAAAGGCAAAGAATCAAATTTGGGAGAGCCAGAATTATCAGGTAAAATCAAATGGGCCTCAGTCAGAGCCTAGGCTTTCCTGGAAGGGAACAGAAACACACTGGTTAGGACAGGTGTCTAGTTAGAGATCCTGAGTCCTAATAGCAATGTCCTCTACTCATCTACCTGTGCCTGCACAGGCAACTCCCTGCCTCTGTGAGCACCTATGAGGATTTCCCAATGGGATATGAAGGTAACAGTGACAAAAAACTAAGGATGCTCATGATCCTTTGACCTCTACACAGGGTGACACCTGCCTCACTGCTAAAGAATGTGATTGCAAAGGTAAGGCCTGTTTGTTAGCTTCTTAGACTAAAAAATAGCAGGAACAAGAGGAAAGAGATTTGTTGTCTTTCTGGATTCTGGGAGGATTCAAATGTACTAATTTGAGCCTAGTTTCTTCTGATGTTAGCTATGAGGAACTTCGGAGCTCCTCTCTTCAGATTCTGGAAGGAAATACTAATAGTGCTTTAAAGGAAACCTTGCTTGACTGTAACAGTTGAGAAACAGGGAAGGTTCTAGCTACTCACAGGTTCCAACTAACATCATGCTTTTAGAGATCAACTTTCCTGAAAATTATCTGGTTAGAAAATAAACTTTAAGTGAGTGGTAGGTCATTTAAAGAGAGGAAGGAAAGCACCAGGCTAAAGGCTCTGGACTGAGGTCATGGGCTCTGAACTGTCACTGTCTGACTTCTGGGTGGATGTCAAGGCCCCTGAGCAGAGTCCAACATTTACCACACAGCTGTGGACTCTGGACATGTCACTTCAAGTCACCAAGTCTTAGTTTTTTCCAGAACAGTAAGTTGAATAATACCTGCTCTACCCACTCACAGCTCAGGCATATTACATCACACAGCATGTGTGAAAAACTCTGCAGTGTTAAAAAGTGTTACGTGATATCCAAGATAAAACTCTAAAAATACTGATACTTTAAGTGGATCATTTCTCAAGTTCTGCAGCTGCTTTGGATTCTGGATGAAGATTATCTTTCCTTTTATCAGAAGTTAGAACGGCCTATATCACTGATTATATTTTTTATCCACAAAAAGGTGATGATGATCATTGTGCAGTTGTCTGAAACAAGTAATACACTTACAAAGATACCTAATAGATTATGAATTACTCTTTTTCATCATCACTGTGCAATCTAGTTGTTCTCTTGGAAACTTTCCCTTTAAGATAAGCAATCATTATAATGTATTACCTGCCTGCAGAATTCAATACTGTCATTGCATAAAATGTCAACGTTTGCGGAATTGTGGGTGTCACTAGAGATTTCTTTTTGCCTTAAATCTGCAATGCAGTCCAGGTGCACTGTAGGTATTGCTGTGCTTGGCCCAGGGTCCTCCGGTTCAGTTCTTGAACTTGGCAGGAGCTTGGTCATCTTATCAAAGTCTCCCAGAGGCTCTGGCAGGTAGAACATGGGATAATTTTCAGGGAAGAGGTGCTCAGTGCTGGCCAGGACGCCCGCAGGCCCGTCTCTGATGCTCTGGAAACGGGCTGCCCAGATGGGGTCACGGGCAGCCAAGGCATTGACACAGAACATGTGGGCCTTGCTCTTGGCGTGGTACTTGAGAGTCTCTACCTTGAATGGCCCTGTGTAACCTTCTATTAATCTTGACCGTTTGTCCCTGACAGACGGGTATGCTCGGCAGGCAGAGCAAAACAGAGCAGTCTGCTCCTTGTTCATGATCAACCATGGAAATTGTGCAAACCATGACTTCTGGATGGAGCGGGGTTTCTTGCTTCTTCCTGTCCAGTCTTCCTTGACAGTGCCACCCTCTGGACTCCGGTGAGCAAGGCAGGCTTTCTTTGGAGGTGGCAGGTATGGTTCACTGTCCCAGCCAGGACTCTGCACATCCATTTCTTTCATGTAGCCCATCTGGCTTTTTCCTTGAGAGGAAAAGAGACAAATGGAATTTGCTTTGAAATCCTACAGACAGTGCTACTGCAACTCCCGGCAGCTCTGTCTGCTGGATACAGAAGGTGGGAAGTACATGCTCAGTCCAACAAGGATGACATGGCCTCTTTTTTTCTATGACTTGGAAGTATGTCATACTTGGAATTCTCTACTTTCAGTTCCCCAAGGCCCCAGTTTCCCCTGCCTGATACAGAAGAAAATCAAGGAGGTAAGTTTTAAGGGAATCCCGTTTCAAACAAAATGTGAAGGACCTGGCCCTAGGGACATCTTTCTACTTTGACCAATGCCACCTGAAGCAGTGGCGCCATCCTTAGAGGTCTGGGGGACTTATTTGTGAATAAGAACATGGCATCAGGGAACACAAGATTGAACAAGGTCACGTGACATAACTCTTTCCTCTGCAGGAACCTGGTCTGGTGATGGCCTCACTAAGGGACATCTACATCTTGCCCCTTTGGGGCAAGAGAGCTTTGTATGCTGTGGGCTTGACTCCCTTTTTATTTCTTTCTTTCCTTCAGTACTGTGGATTGAACGTAGGCTTCATACTGAGCTATATCCCAGCTTGTTTTTAAATTTTGAGATAGTCATCAAGTTGCTAAATTTTCCAGGCTGGGTTTAAACTTGCAATCTTCCTGCCTCGGCCTACCAGAGTTCTGGGATTATAGGCACGTAATACCACGCCGGGCCCTCAGAGAATTTCTTGTAAGCTGCAGTCTGTCTCTGGATACAGTAGTCTCCCCTTATCTATAGAGCATATATTCCAAGGCCCCACTGGGTTCCTTGGCCATGAAGTGTACCAAGCTCGGTATTACTGTGTTGTTTTTCCTATCCACACATACATGCTATAAAGTTTACCTTACAAATTGGGCACAGTAAGATATTATAAATATTATGTGAATTAAACCCTGTCTTTTATCCTTCTCCCCCTCTTCCTAAATATATGACTGTACTGACAATGGTTACCCAAAACCTTGGAGAGTAACTGTAGATAAAGGGTAGTAGGCATTGTACTTCTGCTGGTGATCCCCATCCAGCACTCAAGAGAAACTCAACTTCCGCTCTCACACTACAACCCTTCACGGAGGCGAAACCTTTCGTGGGCTCAGGAAGGTTTTCTTCTTCAAGCTGAAGCAGATATTTCTTTTACCTTTCACATGAAGTGCAGCTGAGAGGATTCTAGTTTCCCAGAACCACAGCTCATGTATCAACCTAAGCTCAGATGCCCAGTGGCTAATGATCCATCATTCTTTGCTCCGGGCTGATAGACCACTCTGCAAAACTAGAGCCAACCCAAAAGCACAGCTGTGCCAGAGTCGGTAGGCCCAAAATGAAGAACTGGGCAAGGAGAAGCCAAGTGAGATTCTATGGTTCTGATTCCTTAAGGAGCCACAAAGCAGCAGCCCACGGCTGTGATGGTCCATTTGAATAGAACCACAGGAGAACAAACTTCGTGACTCAACTCCTGTAGGATGTATTCACTCCCTCTTGATTCTTCCCAGGAGGAGCTACTTACTTGGTCATCTCACTAATAACAAAGTGCCACTGGCCTGGCTCCAACTAAGCCAACCCAAGAGCGGCTCACGAAGGAAGAAAATCCCTAGAGCTCAGCTACTAGCTTTTCACATATCTCTTCATACCCCATTCATTTGGTGATTATCTACTGCACAAGTACCGTGTGCCAGGTGCTGTTCTAGGTGGGGGAACATGGCAGCAGATCAGACGGTCATGCCTTCTTGGAACTTTTAATACAAATAAACACATGTTCTAGGGTAGAAACTAAAGCCAATGAGCTGAGAGGGGATGGAGTGAGGATGGGGAGGTGTGGTACCCAGGGGAGGTGAGCGGGGCAGGAAGGGCAGCATTTGCTGTGTAAGTGCTCGAAACAGGCAGGGTGGGGATGGGACTTAGAGCCTGGCGCCCTGCCCCCTCCCTCACCACTCACCGGGGTGATGGCCCAGAAGACTCCTCTGGCCGTGGATGCTGCCTATCCATGGCTCAGCCCCTCGCTCAAAGTCCCCAAGCAAGTTGGGGCTGGCCACAGTCGCTCCTGAGTGGGGAACAGAGAAAAGCACTGTGAGGGCCTGGCCTCAGGTCACATGCTAAAGAGGGCTCGGCTGGGCTGTCCCTTCATATCTCGAGGTCACAGGCAGAATAGGAAAGGAGTTGGGTGGTATAGACCAGGGGTTTGGAAACTCAGGGACTCATGAGAACCCTAGGAGGACAGGGGGTGAGATGCTGGGTGAAAGCAATGAGAGATTTTGGCAGGGCTCAAAGCTGTAAAACTGTAGAGGCTCACAACCCCACTGCTGATAGGCAGCTGAGGAAACCAAGGCAGGTGTGGGGCTATGGCGACCCAGAGGACTTGATCCTGCACAAGGGGAACTACACAGGTCTGGAAGGCCACCACCAGGGACATAGGCTCAGCACTGCCACATGTCAAGAGAAGCTGAAAAACCATATTTTTATGTGAAGACTCCCGTAGCCAAATATTGGCAGCTTTATTTATTTACTTAATTTTTTGTGTGATACTGGGGAATCAAACAAATCCAGGCATGCTCTCACTAAGCTACATCCCCAGCCCTTTTTATTTTTGAGACAAGGTTGACCAGGCTGACCTCAAACTTGTGATCCTTCTGCCTCAGCCTCCTGAGTAGGTGAGATTACAGGTCACTGCACCTGGCATTACATAAACATTTTAAAGAAGACAATCAAATGCAGTGAAAGCAAAAGCAATATTGAAAAATCTAGAAAATTCCAAGATTTGAAACATTCCAAGAGGACAGTAAAGATGTACCTATTGAGATGAGATGATTGTAGTGAAAGATGGGGGTTAAATAAGAACTGTGCATCTGATTTGCTTCTTCCTTGTACATTTTAAAAGACACACACACAAAACAGTCTGTGAGCCAAATCTGGACCATGCGCTGTGACTTCCAGCTTCTGTGATTCTCAAACCTTGTTTAGCAAGCACAGGAAGGAAAGGTGGCCTAGATATGTCCTTCCCCACCCAGAAAGCTGAGATTATCACTCTTCCAAGCTTTGATCCTTCTTCATGGGTAAGAAAGGCCTGGAGGTATACAATTAGCAAACACAGGTTGAGGACTTCCCTACAAACCCTGGGACCAGAAGTCTCAGATTTTGGAGTTTTTCAGACTTTAGAATACTATACTTGCAAAGACTTAATGGATGAGCAGCCTTAATTAGAAAATCCAAAATCTGAAATGCTCCCAAATCCCTAACTTTTTGGGTGCAGATGCCTCTCAAGGGTTTTGGGCTTTGATCCAGGTAGGCATGGTGGCACACAATGTAAATCTCAGCACTCTGGGAGGCTCAGCAGGAAGACTGCAAGTTCAAGCCCAGTTTGGTAGCTTAACAATTTAGTGTAATCCTGTCTCAAAAAAAAAAAAAAAAAAAGAAAGAAAGAAAGAAAGAAAGAAAAGAAAAAAAGTTTTGGGTTGTGGGCCATTTCAGATTTTCAGGTTATAGAAGCTAAATTTTTAGAATATGACTATGTGTACACGTGTTGAAACACAGCTACCTCTGTCCTCAGTGTAAAAAGTCTATCACAGAAGAGTGAAGAGGTGTTCAAAAAAAGGAGAGATCAAAAATAACGTATCTACATTTGTACAAAGTTTTAAATTGGTTTTGCATCATTAAATCTCTATCAGAACCCTCAGAAGAAAAAAGTGGAGGCTTAAAAAGGCCAAAGGCTCTCAGGTATCCAGTGTCAGAGCTGCGAGACCAGACCTCCAAATGGAGTTAGAGGCTTTCTGCCACCAATCTCTCCCTCCAGGGTTCTGTGACCTCCAAGCCCCACAGATGATTTCCTAGTAGGCACCCAGGATCTCTCAGGCATCCGGGATCTCCCAAGGCATCCAGGAGCCAGGCTGCAAGGTCAATGGTTGGCCAGCTGTATTTTCCTAGCCTGTTGGCCACTTTAGGGGGAGTGAGAAGGGATGATTTTGCATGCAGTTAAGTTAGGTATGAGATTGAGAAGACTGGCCACATAAAGATTGAAAAGTGTTAGGATTCTGGAAAATTCGCTGGTATGTCCTGCCCCAATTAAGATTGGGGATGCCGATCTGGATGGACTTGATGGAGACATGCAGGAGTCCATACCCAGCGATGCCACCAGCTTGTCAGAGCCACAGAGATCCTTCTGCTGCTGACCCAGCAGCATCCATTCCTCCTGGAGCAAGCATACTGTGATGTCATCAAATGTTACTGGAGCCTGCAAGGAAAAATGACACCTGCTGAATGCCACCTTCACCTACTTAACTTCCATATGAGAGGTAACCACTGAGCATCCCAGCTCTGGGAAGGAGCCAGGCAGGGTAAGTAGAGCCATTGCCAATCTGCACACATGCCCTCCACCCCACCTGTCGAAGCAAGGGAAGATGAACTCTTTCTTCTACACTGCAACAAAACCAAGCAGTGAAGGAGGCTGAGTCAAGGACAGCCAATCCTCTCCCCGTGGGCCCGTCACCTACTGTCCCACATGGTTTTCAGTCACTCATGGTTCTCAATCAGGGCTCAGCAAGGGTGGCAGGTTCAAGTCCAGCCTGGGAAATTTAGCAACATAGTGAAACCATATCAAACTAAAAAAGCTGAGACTGTAGCTTGGTATGAGGTCTTAGGTGTAGTTCCTATTACCCAGGAGGGAAAAAAGAAGAAAAAAGGAAGTCAAATAAGGTGACAGTGTTAAAAAATCTAGGAAAGATGAAAAAGTTGTGACAGCTGGCTCAGGAAATCAAATCCTTAGGTGACAGTGGACAAGGATGAGAAATGACCCAATTTATACCACTAAATTCTCGGAGAATTTAGTGCAGGAAACCTCTGGCCTGGGGTGAGGCAGACAGGCTGGAATAGTAAGGACTGGGACAAAGCTAGTCCCCAGCAAATGGCTCCCCAGAGTCCCTTCTCCAGACCCTCTGAGGTGACAAGCCCTCTGCTTCCATCTGCAGAGCTTTCAACAGCATGTCTGGCCTCTGCTGATAACCTGGCCCACCAGACACCTGAGGGGAGCTCTAACGGGGGCCCAGAAAGATCAAAAGGGATGGGGCCAAAGGCTGAGGGATGGGAGTGAGGCATGGAGAAGAAAACTTAAAAGCAATTATGAGTCCAGTATGGTGGCACATGCATATAATCCCAGCTCTCTGAGAAGCTGAGGCAGGAGAATCACAAATTCAAGCCCAGCCTATGACCAGCCTAGCTTAAAAAATGAAAAGAGGGCTGGGGATGTAGTTTTGTGTGAAAGCCCTGGATTCAGTCCCTGGGGCCAAAAAAAAGCAGCAAGGATAGTTGCTACTTTCCGAAAGAGGGGTATTAAGGTATTAAGGATGTGAAAGTCATAAAACAATCAGAACAAGAAATTAAAAACACCATTCTGCTTATTTTAAAAAAATATATACTGGGGATTGAAATCCAATCATCACCAGCTCCCCCACCTTTGGGACAGGGTCTCCCTAAATCATCAAGTTCCCTAGGTTGAGATTATACTTGCAATCTTCCTACCCCCTCTAACTAGGCTCCCAGAGCGCTGGGATCACAGGTGTGCACCACTATCTCCAGCTCTGTTCACTTTTTAAGTGTATCACAAAAAATGTATCACCTAGTAAAATAAAAAATTATCAACAAAACTAAATTTCCCACCCCAAAGAAAAATACCATTTTGGGAAATAGCAGCATGCCACTTAAAAAACATGAAACACATACTTAACTTCAATAGGTGCTACATATTTTTTAATCAATTACTATTATAAATTGAAAAATAATTTGAGTATTTTTCTTAGGTATCAATACATATTCACTACCAAAGATTTAGATAATAGAGAAAATATTTTAAGGTCACCCACATTTTCACCACTGACTTGCTATTAACACGTACTATATAATCTCCCAGTGTTTTGTGGCACTGTCCTGTGAAATGTATGCTTTAAATAACTGGGGTTCTATGGAAGGCAGCTCCCAGGGTAACTATGCACACCAGGATCAGAGGGTGACATGTGGTAAGTGGGGTAGGCTAAAAACTTGTGGCCAAAGACAACAAGTCTCCCACAAGTACCTACCTTCCTGATAAGCCATGGTGGTGGTAGGGGTGCTGTGGATAAGAAAGGTCACCTTGCCACACGCAGACTGGAGATCTGGATGGTGAAGCTCCAGAAGTGATCACTCCTCTTAAAATACATTTGCTATGGGTGTCTGAAGTATAAAGAAACCCACAAATCTGCTTGAATGAGATGAGCTCTTGGTCTACCAGAGTGCAGGAAGGATCTCTGCAAATTCCTAGTGCTTTCCGCTGCCTACAGGGTAAAGCTCTCACTTCCCAGCCTGGAAGACCTTTGGTCTGAACACAGCAGCCCTTACACACTTTGCTGTGCCTGGAGTCTCTCCAGCCAGCTTAGCAGCTCTGCAATCACCCTACCTTGCGTGTCTTTCCCTTACTGGACTGTCCAGCTTTAGATCCCTGACTGTCATTTCCTCCCACTGTTCAAGTCCCGTGCACTTTCCACCTCTTTCATGAGGGATTTCCCAAGTACCTAACACCAGCACTGCTCCTACCCCTGGTAGGAAGGCTTTATTCACCCTTCTAGGGCCAGGCATTCGGGAAACCAATGCAACTACCTTATTTTATACCTCCTTCACCAGAACCACCCTCTCCCCACCACATTGCACAGAAAGACTTTCATAGACATTTAATTCATTTTCATTTGATATACTTTTATTGTTTGTTTTTATGTGTTTGTTGCATGTTGATCACAGACATAAAAGAAATTAAAATCAAGGAGACTCAAATCTATCAAGTGGTGACAGGCAAGTATGATGCAAGTATAATACAGAGCTTATTTCAAAGAAAAATGATAAGTACTTGAAAATATTTCTTATGAGAAGTCCTTTTATGCCAAAGAATAAATACTCTGTACACATTAGCTGAATACAGCTCAATGGTAGAACATCTTCAAGGCCCTGGTATCACCGATAATTAAGTTAGGTAGAAACATTACAGGCAGGTGGACAGGGCCAGGCCCTGAGGGGGTCAGTCCAGAGGCTGAGAACACAGTGCAACTGTGGCTGGGGTGAATCTGTTGAAGGCCAGGCCTTAAGACAAAGATGGAATGACTAAGCCTACATACTTCCCCAGGGGAAAACTGGTATCACTTGGTCCAATAAAGTCTGGAGCCATCAGTCATCCTGATGGGGACAAGCCAATCCTTCCCTCCCTAAAAAGTTCTCTGTTCTTCCCATGTGCACTTCCTACATGATCTGCTTCTCCATTAGGTTAATATAACCTAAGTGGTTATACTTGTAATCTTATTGGTTGGGCATAGTTTGAGCAAGTTGTACCCACCTTGTAAATTTGCTCTATGAAAATTCCTTTTTTTTTAAATCAAATCATGTGGCTTCAAAAATTCCTTTTAAGAAGTGGGATTATTGGCAACCCACTTTTGAGTTCCCTCTTATTGAGATATCTCATTCAATAATTCTTTTCCTTTGTGACAGAGTTTCACTATGCAGTTTATATGCTGGCCTTGAACTCACTTTGTAGCCCAAGCTGGCCTTGAACCCACAGTGCTCCTCCTGCCTCAGCCTAGTCAGTGCTGGGATTACAGGAATACGCCACTACACCTGGTGACTTTTCCTACTCTTAATCTCCACAGTTCTTTTGAATTCATTCTCTGATTTTGGGGAACACAAACTTGGCATGTCTGACATCTTTCAGGTTGGAAGTTATATTATTTCCCCTATATCATTTGGAGGTCCCACCAAGATAATTAGAAAGGAGATAAAAATATTCATTTTTTAAAAATTTATTTTTGGTACCAGGAATCAAACTCAGGGCCTTGTGCTTGCCAGGCAGATGCTATACTGCTAAGCTATATCCCTGGCCCAAAAGTTTGCTTTTATTTCATGAATTCTGGATTGTGACTTGTTTAGGTAATGAGAACTTGTCATCCTTATTTGTCAGTTGTTAATGCCTTTAATTCTTATGTCTGGTCTTTTTCACACATTAATTTTTGCTAAAATGATAAATTTAAATTGAGACTATGGGAAGGCTATGGTTTCTTTGATGGGACATTTCACTTTTGCAGGCAAGGTCTTGTATTCTTGTTTAATATATGCTGCATTTGGACTACTAATTGCTGAATTCATTAGTGCTTCTTGCCTGACCTATTTGACTTGTTTTGACTGTTACAGTTTATTCTCTTGGGAGCACAAGGGAAAAGTAACGTTAAGAGTGTCCCCTAGTGCACTTTGATACTAACTAAATGTGACTTTATAAAATGTTATAAAATGGGTCTTTATGAAATCTAATTTATATTTACAAAATATGCATGCCTATTAATAAATCATGGGACTTCAACTTCCAGTTAAAAGGCAATAGGCTGGCAGCCATTCTTAGAACTTGGAGGACAGTTTTCACTGGGACAGTCTGGTCTGATCTCCCCCTACCCTCTAAAGGGGAATGTCGAATCTGCTGTGTTTCAGTTTCCTTTCAGGTTTGATCTTCCAATGGTGAGAAAGCAATCTTAGCTCCTGAGATTCTCCACTCTCACTTTTCCAAGCTGAGGGTGATGACTCATGCGCAAATCTTCTCAATAACTTACCATGAGCATGGGGAGGAAAGACTTTCTCTTTGTGATCTTACTTCTGAAATCTTCCTGGTACTTTGTACTTTCTTTTTGGTGGGGAGACATGTTCCTGCTAACAATTAGAAAGGGAGGAACTCTGAACTGTCTCAACCTTCCCTTCCTATCTGTAAGAACTTTTAAGCTGAGCCCACAGAAAATGAGCACTTGCTACCACTGAAGTAGGGAAGTTATTTTAGATGAGGAACACATACCCTGTCTCTAGATCAGATGAAACACTGGAATTTTGCCCATCCAGGAGAACACACGTGGAAGTGATGTCTCTACTTAGTGTTCTGGACACAGTCTCCTGGGTACAGGAAACTGAACCTGAGACTCTGTGGAAAGAATCAATTTCCGGGTGACCTAAGGAGAAACTGTTTCCTAAAGCACATTATTTAAAGGACCAAAGCACATTCAGGTTAAGGGAAACTTCCCAACCTCCAGGCATACTCTCTCCCTTCCTAGGCCTGGCTCTTATTATTTATCATTTAAATATTCTTAGCGTTTATGTATTTTCACTAATCTGTAAGTTGTGGTTGTTGAACAAAGGGAAAAGGTTTTAACCTGTGACTTTCATAAGTGTATTACAGATATAGAGACACAAATTTTAGAGTGAATTTCACATAAAACTTAACCTTGTCTGGCTATTAAGGAAGACTGCCTAAGTGATAAGGTAAACAGCACAAATGTCTTGGACACTTCTTTGCTCTTGGGTTCAATGCAGGATTTTTCTGAGCCATTGCATGCCTCTGTCTATCTCTATCTCTGTCTATCTCTATCGAAAGAGCTGATCTCTTTTGCTCACTGGGAAGTGCTCCAACACTTCCAATTTGTCCCCCACTTTTTTCCCCCTCTCACTCTCTTTCAAATAATTGGAAAGCAGTTGTACAGGTCTCCTGATTATTGGTTTAACTGTGCTAGCAATACTTCCCTCTTTAAATGTGACTGTTACAACTGGAATCAAGCTGTAGCTTGGGCTTTTGGAAACACATGCTGGAGTTAGGTATTCGAGTTTCCAGAGAAGACAAGGATACACAATGGTAAGGGTGGCCAGTCCAACTCAACCTATTTCCTGGTCACTCTCCAGATGACAGCTGCCTGCTCTGGAGCAGATCACCTTGGGGTATGCCTTGAGAGGATATAAAAATCAAGGAGGGATTAAATGGGGTGTCTATTTTCCCCTTGTTGTTTTGCAGATGAGAAACTCAAATGCTGAATTCTCTCTTTTAAAATGTATTCTTAAGCACTAGAAATTGTTAAGACACTCGTATATTGAGAAAGAGTTGTTAATATTTTTTTCTACCTGTGCATGTCCTGCTCATGCTCCTCAGGGACAGATTCCCTTACAGGAGGTGGGTGGAGAACTTGGCCCTACCTGTTTCCCTCAGTGACCTCAAACAAATCAAACAAGATCTGGAGAGTTTTTAGATGAACCTGGTAAGTATATCCAGGTCTGTACTTACCCAGACCTATGAATTAGACTGCAAAGATATAATGTTACTCTTAAATCAAGCATTGACTTCTAATGAGCACTATAGACTGCTATTACACTTGGAGTTGAATATCATATTGTTAATTCTGGAAGGCCAAAAGAGAGACAGCTGGGGAACAGCTGACTCCTACTGGAATCCCTACGTAAGATTCCCACTAGCCTAGCAACCAAGTGGGAGATTAGGATAGGAAACATCTTCAGACATGTATGTATTTTTAAAGGTCTAAGAAGGTCAAGAACTAAGTCCTTCAATTATTTTAAATGGTCAACTACTGGAAAAAGATGAGACCCTCTGGCTTTCTTAGATCATTTACAAGATAAAACACACATGCCTGGCTCCTGATTCAATAGGACATTATTCTTAAAGACAATTTTATTGCCCAGTCTGCTTGAGATATTAAGAAAAAGCTACAAAAGATGGCTTTTACTCACCTGATACTTTAGTGAAAATCACCTCCTTGGCATTTTATCATCTAACCACGAGCAGGCCAAAGGAAGAAAACAAAGAGACCAAGAGAAAGCTGCCTTAGTTTTGGTCTTAAAGGGATACACTCTAAGTCTGATTCCCAGGGCACCAGAAGAGCTTGATGACTAAACCCACTTGCTACTGCTTGGAAAGCCAGGACTCTTTAGGGATTGTGATCAAAACTGTCAAGGACAAGAGGCCCCCAAGCCCTGCCCTGATTGCAAAGGTGACACTGGAAACTGGACTGCCCCTTAGATGGAGGTCCCATCTTACAACCTGGTCCAACAAGACCGAGAGCCCCAGTGCACTCTGTCTTCTCCTTCTGGTCCTGACTATCATCCTCACTGAGGAACCCTGTATAATCATGACTAAAGATAGAAAAGAGGCCAGCCTATTACAGGACACTGGTGCATGCTTCCCAGTCCTTTTTAATTCCAGCCTTCCTTCCAGCTGTCATACTTTAGTGAAAGGAGTCACTAAGAGGTAATTGGCTATTTCTCACAACATTTAGGCAGTCACTGGGATGGCTCTCTTTTCTCATTCCTTTTTTATTATGCCCAAAAGTCTGGTTTCCCTCCTAGGGAGAGATATGTTTTTTTTTTTTTTTTAAAGAACTTAACATATTTACTGGTGAGGAAAACTACAGAATACGGTTATACTGCCATTAAGCTTTTGACTTAGTACCGCTCCCATAAAAACCCCCAAGCATTTTCTAGATGAAATCAACTTTTTCATACATCCAGAAGACATACATAAAGATTAATCAACACACCTTCGGAAGTACATACTATAATTGGATACTAAACAGTATCATAAGGCTATTTCAGTCATACATTGTTTAACAACTGAAAAACATTCTAAGAAATGTGTTAATTTCATTGTCGTGTCCCTATAATACAGTTCTGTAAATGTAGGTGACACAGCCTTCTTCATACTATATATGGTATAGCTACCATCAGAAATGAGTCAATCACTGAATAAAACATTGTACAGCATGTGACTGTATTAGTTCTCTATGGTGTGCAACAAATCACCACAGAATGGATAAGATACAGCATTTTTATATGCTGGAAAGTACTCAGCTATAAAGAAGGATAATCATGAGTCTCTTCTAGGTAAATGAATGCAACTTCTGATCATGCTTGAGTGAAATGGTTCAGACCTAGGTTAACATCATGGTGATAACAAGCTGAAGTATAGTATAACAAGCTGAAGCAGTTGGCATGTCTGTTGGCATGGGCAGCTGTTTTGAAGATAACAAGAGGCATTGTGGTAGCCAATGCTGATTTCCTATTATCTTGTTTTGAAATCCTGTGTCAGAGATATCTTATTTTGTTTGAATACTGTTATGCATGTACTCAGGTCAGGTGTGTTACCTTCCTCTCATAGAGACAGAAATAAATCCTAAAGTATGGGTTACTAAAGATGAAATAGGCAGAGCAATCAGAGCTGCCCTGGTGCAAATATATCTATCTCAAAGATCCTGTTATCTTTCTTTACCAAAGACAATATCCTCTAAGGCCTGAAAAAGGACTATTGCCCGTAATCAACATGAATTTTACTTAACAGCCCTTTTAACACTCTAATCCAGAGTTCAAAAACCCAATGGAGAGTGGAGGATGGTACAGGGGCTTAGACTGCTAAGTGAGGTGGGTAGCGCCAATCTACCTGGTAGTATCTAACCTCTACACATTCCTTTCTCAGATCCTGGAAGATGCCAGTTGATTTTCACTGTTAGATTTAAAGATGCCTTCTTTCATATTCCTTTACATAGTTTCTTTTTGTCTTTGAAAATTCTTAACTTTGACTGTGCTCCCTCAGGAGTTCAGACAGTCCTCAAATTTTGGGGTAAGTGCTTTCCCACAACTTGGCGTGTTCAGAATTTTCCCAAGTCATAGTCCTACAATATACAGATGATATATCATTATGTGCCTCCTCAGAAGAGCTCACTAGCTAAGACATCCATGCTCTGCTAAATTTTCTAGCAGAGGTTACAAGGTCTCTAGGTCTGAGGAAAACTACAGCTTTAAGGTAAAATACTTGAGCTTTATCATATCTAAGGAAACCCAAAGGCTGGGGGAAGAGAATTAAACCAATACTTTCCTCTCCACAGCCCAAGACCCTAAAATAGCTAAGGGGACTCCTAAGAATTACAGGCTTTTGTTACCTTTGGATGGCAGGGTAGGATGAGATTGCATGGCCCCTCTCTTGGCTTATAAAGGAAGCCCAAAAGGCAGATGCCCATATTTTAACCCCGAAATCTTATGCCCAAACTGCATTCCAGAAGCTTAAATAAGCACTTCTAGATGCCCCAGCCCCGAGCTTACTGACAAGACACTGTTTCAGTCTATATGCTGATAAAAGGTAAGGGACCTGCTCCACAGCCTGCAGGGTTTCTGAGTTACAAATCAGACATTATAGCAAAGGGATGGCTGTATGCCTTCGAGGCTGTGGCTGCCATAGCTCTGGTAACAGAGGCATCTAAGCTGACCTTAGGCAAAGATCTCCCTGTGTATACATCTCACAACGCGGCAGGACTTCTTTCTTCCACAGAGAGCCAAGGGCTATCAGACAACTGACTTCTTAAATACCAGGGTATGCTTTCAGAAGAAGCAGCCATTCAAATAAAGACACGTTCTTCCTTTTATACTCCTCCACCTTTCTACCAGAAAAGGAGGAAACTGAGACTAAAAGACATGACTGTGAACAGATAATTCTCCATACGCAACCAGAGAAGACTTGTTGGAGACACCCCTTGCTAACCCCGATTTGATCCTCTTCTGTGATGGCAGTTCCATCATAGAAAATGGGACAAAAAAGGTAGGACAACCAGCAGTGACTCTGTATCAGCCACTTGAAAGTTCCTCACTTGCCCTTGGAACTAGTGTCCAGCTACCAGTGTCCAGCTCTGACAAGGGCTTTACAACTCAATGAAGGACAAAAGCCAATATTCATATTGATTCACTGCTTTCCTAGTGCATGCTCATGCAGCCATACAGAAAGAAAAGAATTCTCTAACAGTCCACAGGTCCCCTATAAAGTATCACAAAGAAATAGATTAACTTTTATCATCTGTCTACATATGCTCCAGAGTAGCAGTAATTCACTAGAGATCATCAAAAAAGGAGGTGGCAAAGTATCTCTGGCTGAGGCAGCCGCAAAAGAAGTTGCTCAAGGGCCCACCCTTCAGATCCCCCTCATCTGGGAAGGGTCCCTTGATCATACTCGACCCAAATATTCTTAGTCAAAAGTCAAATGAGTTGTCTCATTTGCTAATTTCCTGCTAATCAACAGGAAATTATTAAGTCTTTACAACAAACTTTGCACTTGGGGAGAGACAAGACCCATCAGATGACCTCAAAGTTACTCACGAAAAGGGAATTTCTCAGACAGTACAGAGATAGTTAAGACTTGTAAGCTCCGCCAAAAGAACAGTCCTCTTAACTGGGCCACAGCCCCTCCAGATATATAGAGACATGATAAACACCCTGGAAAACACTGGCCACTTAATTTTACTCATATGCCAAAGAGTAAGAGGCTCCAATACCTACTGGTCTAGGCAGATACTTTCACAAACTGTGCTGAAATCTTTCCTTGTAGAACAGAAAAGGCCCAAGGGGGAACTTGTGCAATTGTAAAAGCTAAATGTTATATATATTCCTGATCTTTCTGCTACTATCTCGGATGGCTAGTCAAGATATTAAGCAACAGGTTAATACCATGTCAGATTTTGAAATTCCTTAGACCTTTTCCTTACCCTCTCTGTGGGAGGCTATTATTGGCTCTTCCTGGTAGAAACATTTGTTGGTTATATTCATAATAATCTTTTGATATTATTTAGCCCATGCATACTTAACTGTTTCTATGGCCTTGTCACCTCCAGACTTAAAAGTTGTATAGCTACCCAAGATAAGAACATCTGGACTGAGGGCCATTAGATAGATTTTCTGGGGAGCACCTCTGACTGATTATCACAACTACAACCCTATCACTCAAAAGTAGCCAAAATGGTCATTGTTCCTTGTCCCCTCAGTTAGGGGTACCTCTTCAAAGGGGGAAATGTTATAGACAGCTAAATTAGGTAGAAATATAGGCAGCCAGACAGGGCTAGGCCCTCCAGAGAGTCAGTCCAGAATATGAAAATACATTACTACTGTGGCTGGAAGTGCATCTGATAAAAAGTTGGATTAACCAAGCCTACATCCTTCTCCAGGGGATAATTGGTATCACCTGTCTAATAAAGTCTAGATAGACACCAGTCATCCGGGTGGGTGACCAGGACCATCTGACCCATCCTGTCCTAAAACATTCTTTGTTCTTTGCATGTATATTTGCTGTGTGATTCTGCTTCCCCATTACCTAAATGGCTATAATTTTAATCTTATTGGTTGATCATAGTTTTGACCCATGTTATACCCACTTGTGATTTTGCTCTATAAAACTTTGAGAAGTGGACTAGTTTCAATCCACTTTTATGTTCCCTCTCATCTCTCAGAAGCTATGTCTCCCAATAAATTTTTCTTGCTCTTAACCTCTCTTGTTCCTTAAAATTCATTCTTTGATTTTGGCAAAATGAGCTCAACATATCTGACATCTTATAGGTTGGGAGTTTTATTATTTCCTATGTATCACTGGTTTGATACTCAACTTAACCCTTTCCCATACCAAAAAAGAACAGGATGTCAAGAACATAAAAGGCCTTAATCCCAAGAGGTTCCCATTGCTTCCACATAAATGATCTTACAAGCACAGGGGTCTTTACTGACGCTGCCTGCAGTTTCAGCCACCCTGCACGACTATTTTTAACTACTACTTTCCCCATATCAACTTCCAAACTTCTTGCCCAAAGCCTGAAGCAAATTTCCAGAATATGCTTGGAAGCAATGCCTAAATTCTTTCACGAAGTAGAGAAGCCAGAAACATTAGTGGGCAAGAAATATGCTTGTGGCTTCTGTTTTTCTTTTCAGCCCTTTCTTGGGAAGGAGGAGGCAGGAGGGCTAGAGCTTCAGCCCGCCTCTGATCCCACCCTTTGGCTCCCAGCCTCAAAGCCTTAGAACCACTTGGGCCTCCTCAATAAAAACGTCAATGGCGATAGCTGGGAAACAGGAACCGCTACACTGGGTGGGTCCCCCACCCCGGCATCAGCAGGCGACCCCCCGTCCAGAGGGCCAGAAGGGGCAAAGGCAAAACAGGGAGGAGGATGCCAAGCCCAGAGGGTGCCGGTCCCTCCCGAAGCAGGCACAGGCGGGCGAGCCCTTCCCTGCAAGGCTAGCTCGGCTGCGAGCCCTTGCCCGTTCTGCATAGCCTCGCCCAGCCAGGGTCGGGGATTCGCGGGAGGCGGGGGACGACCCCCGGGCCCTTCCAGTCCTACCTTCCCCGACTCCCTGCGCTCCATGGCCCCGCTTTCGCAGCCCGTGCTGCCCCCTACCCCCGCGGCCTGGCTTGAGGATGCTGCCGCAGCGACCCAAGGGAGACCTGGGCTGCCTGAAGGTAAGGCGCCCAGGTGGGGACGGAGCGCGCCCAGGAATCTGGTTCTTGCGCGTTGGAAGGCAGTAGCGCTCTCTCAGCAAGCAGCGGCGCTGAACTGGCACTAGAGTCCTGCCAGCGAACAGCTTTACGGCAGCCACCTCTCTGACTTCGCGGGGCATCACGGGCAACGTAGTCCAACCTCTTGAAGCTACGACAGGCTGCCAGAATGCGGGGCTCTGATTGGACGCTGGGAAATTCGCTTTCCGCTCTTCCTGACTTCATTCGGAGATGTTACTAGGCAACGTGTTTGCGGGTCTCCTCAGGACTCCCCCCGGCATAGGACCTTGACTGACTTGTGCCAACGTCAGCCTTGAAGGTACTAGGTCTTATTTAATCAAGGAAGGATACACTTTTCTTACTTTTTTATTTTTTTTTGTACTGGGGATTGAACTCACGACCTAGCACTTGCCAGGCAGGCGCTTATGCCGCTGAGCTAAATCCCTGGCATCCTTCGTTTTTATTTTATTTTATTCTTGATTTTTTGAGACAGGGTCTCCCTATACAATTCAGGCTGGCCTTGAGCTTACTGTCTAGCCCAGGCTGGCCTCGAACTCGCGGCAGTCCTCTTTCCTCAGTCACCCAAATGCTGGGATTACAGGCCTGTGCCACCACACCGGGCTCTTACGTTCATTTTTAAAAGCAGCATCATTGCATCAGTCACTTTGCTCCGTTTGGGGAGTATGAAGTTTAATGAGACAGCCCTTACCTTCGAGCCCTTACTCATGGTTTATTAGGGAAAAGAAGCAGAAAGGAACATTACCAAATAGAGGCAAGTGCTGTGAAAGAAGTACAAGACTAGCAAAACCCCATCACCTTAGAGTGAGGTGGCAGGGGGATAGGGGGTGGTTAGTCATAAAGATTTCTTGAGGACACGGTGTCTGAATTGAATTGAGAGGTGGCAATTAGTCAGGTAAAGGAGGTGCTGTGGACTGAATTGTTACCCCCTCCAGATTTATGTTGAATTTTCAACATGGTGGCATTTAGAAGTGGAACCTTTGGAAAGTTAATAGGTTTAAATAAGATCAGGAAGGGAAGTCCTAAGGATAAGATTAGCGCCTTTAAGAGATGAAACAAGACAGAGCTTTCTCTTTCTCCACCAAGTGAGGACACAGTGAGAAAGTAGCCTCCATAAAATGAGAAAATCGCCCAGGTTATAATCTGGTAGCAGTACGAGAGATAAAGTGAGGTATCAGTTTTGTCCAGAGACTTGGATTTTCTAGATATTGTGAGAAGAATTGAAGGTAATAAGAAATCACAGATGTTCTCTCTTGCTAGTCAAGAGAGAACTAAGCACAGGATAATTGATTTAGAAAATAGGACTCATTGCTGGAGGACCATGACAAACACACCCAAGAGGGGTATAAGTAACCAGGTGGGAGCTGAAAGACTAGGAAAATTAAATCAGAGAAGCAAAAGGAGTTTGCAGGAAACAATGGTTTGAAGCTAAATATGCTCAGTGGTAGCCCCTTTCAGGAACCTCATTGGTCTGGGATGACAAGGCCCTAATTTAGGGCCTTACAATTCAAGTTGCAGTAGTCACCTAAGAGTTCCTGTACTATGTCGAACTCCTATTAACTACAGTCTCTTCATTTCTCCCTTAGATTTTATTCCTTTGCCAATAGCTCTAGCTGGATGAGGCTGTCAATATTGGGGTGTCTGAGGCATATGAGGGAGCACTGGGGTAACAGCATTAGCGAGCACCAGAGCAGGAGTGTCTGCCCTGCCTCCAGCCCTCCCTATCCAGGAAGTACAGGCTGAGACAAGGATGTGGTCCTGGAAAGGATCCAGTATGGCAGTGTGGTCAGACTCAACAGAAGCAGAGAAGAAGAAAAACTGATTTAAGAGTACATTTTAGAGACCTTTGCTTTGAGTATTGGGGGCCTGCTTGCCCTTCTGGGAATTGTATAAAATGATGCCCACGACCATCTATCTGAGGCATGGGAGGCTGGGGCATTTATCTCAGCCCTCATCTCCAGTGGTTGAGGATGTTTGCTGTTAATTATATCCCATCCTTGCATTTATACTTCTGGTCATGCTTGTGCAAAGGCCAAGCTGATTCCTTTGTGTCAGAAAAGCCCTGGACAGAAAACAAAAGAAACTTGAAAAGAGAAGAAAATAAAAATGAAGGAAAAAATAAAAGCTCAACATCATTAGTCATTGATATTGAAGAAATACAAATAAAAATGAAATAAAACTGATGCAGGTTAAATATCATATGGTGTCTCATATATGAGAAGCAAAGTGTAAATAAAGAGCAAAATAAAACATAAGCAGAAATGGAGATAATCCTTTTGCATACTGGAAGGTGATCTAGAGATGAAAATGGGAGGGAGGAAGAGCGTAGGGAAATTAAAAATGGTTAAGATGTGATATGCACACGTACCAACTCCCTATGATGAATGTATTCATTTATGTATCACAGACATAGTCATAAGAAGGAAATATAAATCAAAGTCTCAACAAGGTACCATTTTACACCCACTGAATGTTTTTTGTTTTGTTTTGGTTTGGTTTTTGGTACTGGAGATTGAACTCATGACCTCATACTTGCCAGGCAGGAGCTTGTGCCGCTGAGCTAAATCCCCAGCCCTGGTTTGTTTGTTTTTTTAAAGACAAAAACAGGTGTCGGAGAGGATGTGGAAAAATTGAAACCTTTGTAGTTAGTGAGAATGCAAAATGATACAACTGCTTTGGAAATTTCTTAAAAAGTTAAGCATAAACTTACTATAGGGCCTAGCAATTCTGTTCCGAGGTATAAAGTACCCTAAAGAAATGAAAATATGCATCCAGAGAAAGATCTGTACAAAAACATTTATAATAGCTTTATTCATAATAGACAAAAAAAAAGGAACTGGTCTGAGAATGGGCAGACAATGTACAGTACATATACACCACACTTTAGTATTTAGTAACAGAAAGGAACAAGCTAACATGTACTGTATATGAGTGAACCTCAAGATCATCATCTTAATTACATGAAATGCCCAAAAAAGGCAAATCTGCCGACATGGAAAGCTGCTTAGTGGTTGCTAGGGGCTGGAAATGGGAAAGGTTGGCTACACATGGGTGTGAAATGATTGAAATGTTCTAAAATTGAATTGTGGTGATGTGTGTGCAATTCTGTTTACTTTCTATAAAGGTCAGTGAAGTGTAAACAAAATCAGTTTATTTCTGAATATGTGAAGTATATGTCAGTAAGACTCTTGAACAAAGGAGAAGCGGGCCTCAGCCTGAGCATCTCTGAATGTCTCTATCACAGTGCAGACCACGTCCCTCTGGGTGATGAAATGCCCAGGACACTAGAGATGTCCAGCACAAGAAATCTTTAGATTTTACACTCAACCATGTCCGGATCCAGAAGAAGAAACCAAAGTTCAGTTATGGGAAGTGCCCAGCCCAGGTCCTCCAGCCGTGGGGGCCATGTGAATCCATAGTGGATCCCCACAGGTCCCCAGGGATAGAGTCCTTATAGTCCTGGCAGGGCCCTGGCCCACCCTTTATCCCTTTCTCTGCTGGGCCGCAGGACAGAGATTACACACGAAGTGGCTACAATCACTTTATTTGGGACATGCTAATACCAGGCATAGATTTCAAGTTGGGGACAGGTGAGTGAGTGGGTACTAAAGGACCTGATGGGAGTGAAGAGCCCTATGCTCACAGGACAGCAGTGGACACATCCCGCGGAGCCTGTCAGTGCTTTGAGAAATCAGCTCCTGGGGAACAAGTGAGGGGAAGAAGAGCTAGCAAGAGTGGTCCGGCCGGGCGGCGACAGAAGGTCTGCAGTCTGGGCGGCAGAGGAGGTGAGGCAGAGCTGCCCCAGGCGCCCAGCGCCAGCGTGAACTGTCCTGCCTTGCCCCATCTATGGCATCTGCACCTTCCTTTGGTCTCTCCCCCATCTGCTAAGCGAGGTGACCTCATCGGTTCTACACCAGGTACTTCACACTGTGCCTTCCTCACGTCCTTGTCCCAAGCTTGAGCAGAGATGCCAGCCATTAGGTCCCCGGAGCGAGGGTGGGGCTCAACAAGGAAACGGGTGAGTTGGATTTTTTTCTTTTTTTTTTTTTTTGAGTTGGCATTTGAACCAGATATATTCCAAACACCCAAGATTATTTATAATTGGAGAAGAAATAACGTTGAGGAGAACAGATCGGATAGAAAGAATTCAAGGAAGAACGTGGGCAGGGAGCTTTATGTGTTGTCTCACCCTTCAGAGCCAGTCCTGGCCCCAGAGTCCCGCCCAGCCCCCGCCCTGGCCCCGCCCCCACCCTGGGCCCTCCCAAGCCCCACTCCCCAGACCCAATCCCAGGCTTCGCCCACCCGGGTCCCGCCTTCCAGAAAGCCCCGCCTTCCCGTGCCTACTCAAGCCTTGCCCTCCATGTAGCCCGCCCCCGGGATCCCCCAGACCCACCCTGACCCACCCTGGCAAGCGCTGCACTGGCAGCTGTGGATCACCGGCAGCACTGCGGGCTCCGTGCGGCCATCGGGGCAGCGCAGGTGCAGGATCCTCACGGGGCTATCCGGGTCTAGGCGGTAGCTGCAGCAGTCGCACTGGCTCTGCAGGTACGGTTCCTGGGTGGGGGTGGGGGTGAACTGGGGAGGGGCCACGCGAAGTTTTGCCCCTTCTTTTGAGCGCACAGGACTAGATCCCAATGCTCCTGGCTAAGCAGCCTAGCTGGGCCAGGAAAGGAGATGTCACCACTGAGTCCCCTTCCCTGAAAACCCACCTTCTTTACTGTAGCCACCACCCATCTACCCATCTGAATGAATGCCCAGCAACCTGCAAGTTAAATGAAATGCAGGGCATGGGGACACCGCTTCCTCCTTGGGGTCTTACTAACTAGATAAAGGGATATTCATAATACACGAAACTGCGTATTATTATTATTATTATTATTATTATTATTATTTTTTTTTTTTTTTTTTTTTTGCAACTGCGGATAATTAAACCCTGCTGCACCGTTCTGGTCCTAAGTACAGTGTGCTCTCCTTCTGGGGCAAGCCCCTGGGGCCTGTGATTGAGTTTCTCTTGCAGGTCCCACAGAGCACTGGGTTTAATTTCATCTGTGGTCATATTTCTAATTCCCTCTTGAAACAGGTAATATAGTCACACGATGCCATTTACAAACTGTATACAAAAGTTATTTGCTTATATCTTCAACCTACTTTCCTTTCTCTGTTTTAAACATGGCCAGGGTGACTTGGGAAGGAATCCCCATGGGAGCAGCAGTGTGTTGAGGGTTGGAAGTGGCATCTCTGAACCCCATGGAGAAAACACCTTTCTCTTTCCAGGCCTGGAAAACTCAGGTGGGCTGAGGTGGAAGGAATGGTCCTCTGAGAGAGGAGCTCAGGGGCTGGGGCGGGAGCTCTATACAAGAAGATACTGGGAACACAAATCACAGCTCTTCAGGGTCAGGGCTAAAAGATTCGGGGGCCACTGAGACCCTATGAAGATCCTAAAAGAGGAGTGGGGCTCGGAATCTAGGAGAGCAAGCATGGAGACCCTTGGCCTCTGGACCTCTGGTTCGAGGGTACAGCTTGCTAGGAGCCATCCTGGTGCCCTCCTGCCCTTGGCATGGAGGCTCTGCCTTCACAGTTGGCCTCCTCCTCTGTGCCCTTCTCTGTGAGGTACACAGTGGCCTGGCAGCATGCTCTAGGAATGGTCAAGGCCACCGCAGGTACAAGGCTCTAACCATGCATAGCCCAGGCCCGACTGCTAGCCCTGTGGGAGTGGACTGTGTCCCACCTGTCCCCTGGGTTTTGTCCAGGTCCCAGGCTGGCCCTTGTGGGACTGTAAGAAGCCCCAGAGTCACCTCAGTCATGACGTTGGTGCTGGACTGGCAGTGCCCACTGCAGTAGCTCACTTGCACCTGGTCCAGGTGGCAGGGCCCCTTGGTGAGGTTTCGAAGCTCGGTGAGGTGCCGGCAGGAGGCTGGCTGTTTCTCTGTGGGGGTAGAGGTAGGTTCTATGGCAGGAGCTAGGGCAGGGAAAGGGGGAGGCTGTAACTGAACACAAACCAGGGATGGGGGGACATGTAGGGACAGAGCCCAGGATGCTGGAGCATGTGGTCTAGAGTGCCAGCTAGTACGATACAGCCCTGGGGTCTCCATGCCCATCCTCAGGTGGGTAGGTGTGGGGAGGGGGGGCATATGCCAGGCTTAAATGGTGGCTGGGGAGAAGTGTACAGACCAAGGCACCCAGATGACCTCCATACCGGGAGTCTCCTGCCGGCAAATGGGACAGCAGCTCGCTGGCTCCTGCACCAGCGCCTCACCCTGTGGAAGGGGCAGTCCCAGATCCAGTGAGGATGGCCCGGTCACCTCCAACCTCACACTGACTACGGACATCCTAAGACCAGCCTCTGAGGAAGACCCCAGCAAAGAGGCAGAGAGACACCCAAGCAGGTGACAGGGGTTACCTGAGCGCAGGTGAGGCGAGGGCAGAGTTGGGTACAAACACTTGTGCCTCCCAGGCAGCGACATCTGTCACAGCCCTCCTGCCATTCAGACCCGGGCTGGGGGTGGGGCAGGAGAGTCTTCTCTTGGTTTCTCATCATATTCCATGATAACGCCCCCACCCCAGCCCAGGAATACCTGGCTGGAGTGATGGATTAGGACTAGCATAGGCAACAGGAGTCTTAGGAGGGCCAAGGAAAGTTTGGGTAAGGGTAGGTATCCAACCCAAGGCTGGGCATGGTCCATGGGGTGGCCCAGTCCCATCCACTGCAGGAAAGCAGGAGTGTGTTGGGAGGGCAAGAGTGTCATAAAACAATTCAGGAGGTAGGGAGGTCTGGGATCATGAAGGAGTGGGTGACAACAGGAGGACATGGTAATCTCACCAAGTGGAGATGCCCAAGGTGCCAGCACTCGCAGCCGTCTGCGGGGACGCAGGGACCTGCTTGGCTGCGGAAGTATCCTTCCTGGCACACGCAGCCGGGGGCCTGCGCTACACTGCAGTTGCTCTGAGCTGCTATGGCATTTGTCTCCTGGCACGTCCACTCACAGGGCCCCTGCTCCCCTGGGGCCACCTGCTGCCACCTTTCCCCAGGGGGACACTCTGCAGGGAAGACAGTCTGCTCTACTCTTGGCTAGCCCTGGATCTTGCCTCTGTCCCTCACCCCATTGGGCATCCCTCACTCCCTCTTTCCCTTCCCACCCGCTGCATGCCTGTCCCCCACCTTCTCAAATAGCTATGCCAGGCCATGTCTCACCCCTGACCAATGCTGTGCCCCTAAACTCTGCCTTCTCAAGACCAATGTCACATCCCATGGGTGTGGTCTGTTTGTCAGACCGAGAGGTGATCTCTGGTCTCCACCCTTGCCCACCAGGCTGGGAGTGCTGAGGGGCTGGCTATGAATCCACAGAGCGCAGGGCCGAGCACAGGGCAAATGTCCCAGCCCTGGGCTATGCCAGGCTGGCTTCCCATTTCTGCTAATGCCTCTGGGCCTATTTCCTCCTTGGCAGGAGAGTCTTCCACCATCTGGCCTCCTACATTCTTTGCTAAGTGCATGAACCAAGAGCTCAAGGAGTACTGGGCAGAGAGCACTGTATCTCCAGGCAGCGAGGGGCCCTAGCGGGCAGAGGGAAGCTTCCTGAAAGAAGTAGCTTGACCTCGGTAGTAGGCAGAACCCTTCTCCCCCACCCAGGCCAGCCTGACCTTGGATTTGTTGGGGCACAGACAGCCACATCTCACCCGGGCAGTCAGCAAGGGAACAATTGAAGGTGCCACCTTGGCAGACACTAGGGAGACAGAAGAGCCACTCAGAGGCTTCCTGGGCCCTCCTGTTTCTCAGCAACCCTTCTCATCACCTGGGCACTCACCAGCGGGTGCAATTCTGGTGGAGCACAGTCCCTGGGGGCAGCTCCCGAACCAGCTCTTCATCAGTCAGGCTGAGGCCCCAGGGCAGGGAGCGCTGGGTACAGGGGCAGGCAGCAGGGGGCACACATGTGCCACTGTGCAGCAGCTGAGGCAGACAGACTCAGTTCTACTTGGGTCTTCATCTCTTGCCACCTCACCACCTGCCTGCTTCCCCCATGTAGGAGTTGGGACCCAACAGCAGTACCCACCTGCCCCTCAGGGCAGTCACATCCAGGCTGGCAGGGTTGCTGCACACAGACGGCACCAGGCTGCAGGTGCGAGCAGAGCCTTGGGCAGGAGGTGGCACAGGTGCTGAGCACCTGCCCAGGAAGACACTCTGGGAAGCAGAGATGGTGAGGTGGGAGCTGCCAGGGAAGTGCTGTCTCAGACTGCCCCTTCTTCTTGAGCCCTGTTCTGGCACTGGGGCACAACCTGGGTGCAGCGACAATGGAGACAAGGGTAGAGAGACCCCCTGCCTGGGCCCTGGACACACACCTGTGCAGGGCTGCAGGTTACACTCTTGCTGTTGCTCTGTGTCCTGTGCCTGGCATGGTGCTGCCCCGGGATGCTCCTTGCAGTTCCGATGGCGTTCTGAGATGCCCCCACCACAGACAGCTGAGCACCTGCTCCAGGCTGACCAAGGGCCCAGGAGAGGGCACTCAAGACGTGGGCACTCCAGGGACCCATTTACACAGGTGCTGTGGATGAAGGCATGCAGCTGGCCTCAGGCACCGGGTCAGGACGCCCATCACCCTGACACTGCCCATGGCCCAGGCCGCATACCAGTTGTGGCAGTCCAGCTGCACCACCTGAGCTGGGGTTAGCTCCCAGGAGGCATTGGCACTGGGGAGGCCACAGCGGCAGGAGGAGATGGGCACACAGTGCCCATCCTGTATCAGCTGGCCTGGGGGACAGCGGCAGCCTAGGGGCGGGAGAGAGAAGGACAAACAAGTTTTGGCACTCAGGCAAGACAGCCAGGGTGGGTCCTCTGTCAGCCAGAGCAGGTATAAAGCCTGGTCACAGTCTCTCCCCGTGCCTGTGCATGAGGTGCCACTTGTGTGAGCATCCCCCAGTAGTTCTTATGGCACCTATGAGCACCTGCCCTGACATGGCAGGTCCTCACACTGCCTCACAGAAGGCAGGGAAGCGGGCCCAAGTGTTCCCAGAATCCCCGGGCACAGCTACCTGGATGGCAGGGTCCCTGCAGACACTGTACGTGGTCCCAGAGGTCGGCACAGGTACGAGGGCACTGGTTGGCACAGTCAGGGGTGAGCACGGTGCCCCGGGTCTCACAGCTCTGTGCTGCAATCCAGAAGGGAGGAGTCTGTTGGGGACACTGTGGGTCCCAGGTGCCTTACCTGCCACTGCAACTCCCTTCGGGTGCCATTTTCAGTGTTCCAGTTCTAGACCTCATGGATGCTGGGATGTGTTTACCTGGGCAGGACTCCATATTGCAGCTCTCAGTCTGAGCCCATGGACCCCGGCAGGCTCTTGAAAGAGGGCTCCCTGCCTTTCTCCAGCGCAGCCGGAATCCCCCACTGCAGGGCACCAGGCAGGGGCTCCAGGGGCCCCAGGAACTCCACTGACATGGGTCTGGGTAAGACAAACCAGAAGTCAGTGCCAGGGCCCACCTGGCCACTCCCTCCCCTCTACTGCTGGTCCATCTGTGCCCCTCCTCATTACCAAGGCAGGCTTCAGGGTCAGGGCAGAGGCGTTGCTGGCTAAGGGGTGCAGTGCACAGGTGAGGGTCTCCAGCCCAGGGCCACCCTGTCTCAGGGTCCAGACAGAGGCGGTGGCGATACTGCTCTGAAGCCAGCAATGGGGCCGAGGTTGGAGAGAAGCCTGCTGTGTTCAGACGCCAGCGCTCCTCCAGAGCGGCCCTGGAGGCAGAGGCCAGGGTACTTCGGGGCAGGCAGGGTCCACAGGGTGACCACTCCGACCAGTCGCTCAGCGGCAGAAGACCTAAACGGCAGGGTGTTGGTGTCCTTTCCAGGGTCAGGCAGGAGGGACTGGGGGTTGTGACCAGGAAGGGCAAGAAGTAGGAAAGGCTGAGAGAAGTACGGGGGCAGCATAAGGTCTGCCTTATCTGGGGTTATCCGGGTTTCATCACTGAAAGTCGCTTGCCCTGGAAACCCACAGCTCTGAGTAGTGGGGACAGAAGTCATCCAAAGCCACAGTTACCTTTACATCCCTGGCTTGTGCATTGCAGCTCTCCATGTTGGCACTCACTGTGGGTAGGGAGGGCATCAGGGTGGGCTTTGGGAGAGACAAGACTCAGCCCAGAGCCAGCGAAGGGGCTTGGATAGCATAGCCTAAGCTCTGGGTATACTGGGGCAAGGTGAGGGAGCTGCAGGGTCACTGCCTACTGGTGGGGCTGGGTCCCAGGGGCTTAGTTTGGCCTTCTCTGCCTGGGTCAGGCTTCCCCCCACCCTGTAAGGGCTGACTTGCTCCCTGGCCTTCACCTCCCTCCCTTTCCCCACCACTCACCATTCCTTACAACCCAGCTGCAGATGTTCCCCAGGGCTCAAGGTCACCTCACCTCCCTCTCCTGAGGTGAGCCGGCAGTTACACTGCTCTGGGGGAACACAGCTACCTGCCTGCTCCAGCAGCCCCTGGGCAGAAGGAAGGATGGGTCAGGATTGTTTGGAGATCACTGCCACCCCAACATCTTACACCGTGCAGCAGTGCACATGTGTGATGCTGAATAGCCGGCCAGGCCAGCACCATCTGGGAGAGCACTTTTCCCTGAGAGTTCCCCCACTCCAGCTCTCACCTTGGGACAGTAGCAGCCAGGCTGGCAGGGTGGCAGGTCCTGGCAGAGCTGAAGGCTCTGGTGTGTGGCACAGAGCCCAGCACAGGCAGAGCCGCAGGCCTGGAACTCAAAGGGAGGCATGCAGCTGTCCTCTGGGGAAAGGAAGACAGGTTGGTGGGGGGATGGCCCCAATACCCCTGGCCAGAGACAGCACAAGTCTGCCCCTAGGGAATGCCCCTCACATGACATCCCCGGGGCACCCTCCTTAGTGTGCCCCCAGGAAGTGTTAGAACAGTTTGGGCCTCAGAGCGCCTGAAAACTGTGTAGAAGGGGGCACTTTGGGAATTAGCATCCTGGCAGGCATCGCAGGGACTGGCAGATAGGGGTACTGGAAAAGCCTTCCCCAAAGGGCCACTGATGGCCAGGTCCAGGGCTAGTGATGAGGTGTGATCAAAATATAAAATGAAAGCTTAAATTTAAATGCACAATAGAAGACACATTGCCATTGGTCCCCCCAAGGTCCCCTGCCCCCAATTTGAATACACTTGGCCCACTGTTTTTGCCACTTTCCGAAGCCCTTCTGTAAGTCCTCTTTGGTGAATGGCTTTCCTTGCACCTCTGATGGCCTGCACTGATTCAAAACATTTCCCTTTTGTGGGCATCATTTTGATTTTTAGGGAAGAGCCAGAAGTGCACGATGCCAGATCTGGCAAAGACCTGGATGAGGACATGCTGCCACGTTTTCACAAGCCTGCCTTTCTGTTGGATGGCGCTCAGGGCAACATTCACTGCATTTATGATCACACATAAAGACAGGAAGGCACTCCTCCAAAAGTGCTTCAGAAAATGGCAAGAGGATGGGATAAGCATGTTTGAGGTAAGGAGGAGGATTTTGAGGGGAATGAAGGGCAATATATCTTTTACTGTAATATATTTTATAATTTAATATACCCTGTGTGTTTTGCTCAGCCCATCCAAGGGACAGAGCCACTGTGGAGCTGGCTGCTTCCACTTGGGTAAGTTGTGGTGAGCAGCCGAGAGGAGAGATGCTGGGGGACAGTAACTGGGCACAGAGGCAGGAACCAGGGCAGGCACAGGCCACCACCCTGAGGTCCTAGGGTTTGGGGTGTGCATGAAGGTACTGCTGCTGCCCTGACAGCTGCCTGGCTCCTGGCTCCTGGGCCTCACCTGAGCAGTTGCCAATGGAGCATGGCCGAAAGTGGCCATCCAGTCGTGTGCAGAGGGGTCCCTCAGTGGCCCGTCCAGATGCTGGTCCCTGGTGGCGGTAGCGCTGCTGCACAGGCACCTGGCAGGAGCAGCGTGTCCAGCTGCTCCAGCTACTCCACACACACTCCTCTGGGGACAAGGTGGGGACATCAGTGGGGCTTCTTAGGATCCCCCCAGCCTTTGCCCTGCACCCTCCCCTCTCATCCCTGCCCTAGCCAAGACCTTGCACAGGAGAAAGGAGAAAGGAAACCTAGGGTTCAGAAAGGCTGTGTTAGGTAGACACCCCTGACCTAGCAAGAAGGTCAGGCCTCTGAAAGAAAGAGGTGACAGGAGGAGCGGGACAAAGCAGAGTGTCAGGGACAGAAGAAGCCTGGGGCAAACATTAATCTGTGGCCCAATATAGGGAAGTAGGGGAGGAGACTTTGCCTCCCAGGCAGGCTTACCCAGGCAGGGCCCCGGGTAGCAGGCCTGGGTCTCCAGGTGTGTGACTGTGCCGTTGCACATGGAGTCAGCCTTGGCCAGCAGGCAGGAGCAGGAGCCAGAGCGGGAGGTCAGGCCTGGGCCACAAGTATGAGAACAGGGCCCCCATGGGCCCCAGGAGCAGACGTCCAGCAACGGAAGACACGGCTGCTGCCCACAGTACTGGGTCTCAGTGTCAGAGCCCAAGCAGGGTGGCTCACTGCGCTGAGGGACTGACACCATGCAAGTCCGAGTGCGGACCTGGTGTCCACCTCCACAGGAGACAGGGCAGTCCGACCAAGGAGACCACAGTGTCCAGCCACTGGGCGCTGCTGGATGACACAGGTGAAGTTGGAATGGGATGGGTGGGCAGAAGGAAGACACAGAGGGTTGGGTCAGGACCTCCTTGCACGAGGATGGCAGCAGGTTGGTGAAAGGGGCAATACAAGACACAGGGTAGATGGCCTGTAATGTAGGGGCTAGCAGGGTGGACAGACGTCAGGGTCAGGAGGGAACCAGACCTGCACACTTGGTGGTGTCACAGATCACGCCTTCCGGAGTGCAGGAGCTGAGGGAGGAACCTGGATTCAGGGACCCGCTTTCTAGCCGGACAGTCTAGTCACCCCTTCCCTGCCTTGTACATACCACTGATGACACTCTCCCTGAAGCCAGCTGTCCCCTAGGCTTCGGGGGAGGGCACCCTGCAGGCACAAGGGTGGGCATGGTGGTTGTGGGCATGGCTGGCTCTGGGACTGCTCCTCTCGGCACTCTGGGGCCCATGAGCCCGATGTAGAGGACCTGGTAATGGAGCCAGGGAGGTGAGAAGCAGCCCAGGACCCGATTAGGCCTTATACCCCAGGGAGAAACTCAAGGTGTGCCTGGGCCACAAGGGTGGCTAAGGCAAAGCCTGTGACAAAGCTGGGCTGGGACACTGTCCAGCAGTGTCACTGGTAGAGCCAAGCCAGGACCGCTGTATCAGGGACATATACCAGGCAGAGGGGCCCCCAGTGGAGAGAGGATATCTTGCCTCACCCAGCCTCATACCGGAAGCGGCTTTGCTGTCCTCCCAGTCCACATGAATGGCTGCAGTGACTCCAGGCTGACCAGCGGCTCCAGGCACAGTGGGCAGGTGGTGGGCAGGGCAAGGCCGTGCAGGAGAGGCGCCCAGCCTGGCAGGAGCAGTTATTACAGGCATCTTGGTGCAGGCTTCCTGGGGCCCAGCTGCGGCCATCGGCATCTGTGCATTCGCAGTGCCTAAGTGGCACACAGCTGCCATCCTGCTCCAGGGACCCTGCAGCAATGTGGCTCTTGAAGACTGATGCTGGTGGCACTGGGACCACCTGCCATCCCACCGAACTCCCCATGACCTGGAAAGGCCTCTGGCACACACCCTCAGGACACCGACAGCCTCGCTGGCAGACCTGATGATCCTCACACACTACTCCATCCTGCAAGTCTGAGCAGCGGCGCGGGCAGTAGTTGGCACAGTTCACCAGCTCCATGCCTGCTGGGCAGTCCTCCTCTAAGTGGAGGAGGAGGTCTGGCATCAGATTCTGATGCCTACATCCAAGGCCCTCCATTTTCTCAACCAGTCAGGAAAGTAGCAGCCCTTCTCCCTCCACACCCCAGGTGTTGCCCATGTCTTACCACAGGGCAGGGCATTGCAGACCCGTGTGTGATGCCGCTCTCCGGCACAGGAGGCACCCCCATTTTTGGGTGGGGGGCTCAGGCAGCTCCGGGTCCTCAGAGATCGTCCCCCTCCACAGCTTCGGTCACACCAGGACCAGGGGCTCCAGCGTGACCAGCCCCCTGGCACTGTGTTGGAAAGAACAGCTCCATGGGATCGGCTCAGGAAGAGGATCTCACACAACTTGTGAGTCTCAGCCTGGGCCTGGCTGGAGAGATGGATGTGGCATCCTTGGGCAGGCAAGGTGCCTGGGAAGGAGTGGGTTGCTAGGCCTCCCAGGAGCAGCCTGGAGGAAGGGCTGAGGTGGAATCCAATGCTCCCTGTGTGCCTCACCTGGGCAAGCACGCAGGTTGCAGAAGCGGCGCTCCTGGTAGGCTGTAAGGATGTCTGGGCACCAGTGTCCACCAGGCCTGGGGGGATGGTACGCCCGCAGGCGACGCTGCTGGCCCACCCCACAGCTGCGGGAACACGGCTCCCACGGGCCCCAGGGGGTCCAGGAACAGTTCTCTGGCCCACAGCCAGGGCCAGAGCACAGGGACAGCTCTGCAGGACAAAGTGGAACTGGCGCTGGCACAATTGCCCCATCCTCTCCTCCCCCAGCCCTGCCTTCCTGCTCCAGCTGGGCCCACTTGCAGATCCTGGCTCCTGGTCCCGATCTGATACTGACAGCTGCATGTCTTTGGCCTCTGGTCTCAGTATCCCTTTTCCCCATGGCAGATAGCAATCCCTGACTCACAGGGTTGCTGGGGGCGGGGGGGGGGGGACGTTAGGCATAGACACAGCATGATCCCAAAATGCAGTGAATATTTAATTTTTAAGAAAATTACAGTAAAAGACACAATGCCATTAAGCCCCCTCAGAATATTTCCTCTCACTTTAAATGCATTTATCTGGCCGCTTTCTGAAGCAGGTCTGGAAGTCCTCTTTCATAAGTGTCTTTAGTTAGGATTTGGTTCCTGCTTCAAAGCCCTGAATCAGTTCAAAACTTTTCTCTTTTGTGGCCATTTGAACTCTGGGGAAGAGCCTCAAGTTGCACAGCACAAGATCTGTTGAATTAGTGGATGAGATACACCGTGATGTTTTTTGAGCTTGCCTTTGCGTTGGATGGCACTCGATAACAACATTCTCTGTATTGTTGATCACACCTCATAAAGACACTCACAAAAGAACTTCCAGAACTGCTTCAGAAAGTGGCAGGAATGATGGGATAAGAACACTCAAAGCAAGGGGGAGGATTTTGACGGGCATGAATGGCGAGAGTCTTTTACTGTGATTTGTTAATAAAATATTTTCTGTATATCGAGTTCACACCGTGTCTATGCATGAGGACCAAGTGATTTGCTGGGCCTTGGAGGTGCTCCCCATGGCCTGGAATTGGACACTGATTTGAGACCTGAAGTCATCTGTAGAAATCAAGTGGGCTGAGATGGGATGGTACCTGTGCAGGATGGCAGGTTGCAGGGACGCTCCTGTGCTGGCTCCCCAACAGTACAGTTAGCCAGGCAAGGGCGCAGGCGGCTGCGCCATGCAGGGTGAGCAGGGTCAGTGCAGCTGCGGGAGCAGGGGGACCATGGAGACCACAGACCCCAGCCACCTGGAGAGGGAGGGAGGAGGGGCAGAGGTGAAGCTGGGTTGGGGTTGGAGGAGGCTTTCCCTTCCCAAAGGGAGGCCATGTGGGAGAGGTGGGGGGGGTCTGAGGCTACCTGGAAGGGCTGTCACTGGCTCCATTATGGACCCTTCAGCTCCTGTGCCAAAAAAGACACAACTCAAGAATGCTCTCCAAAAAAAAAGGGGAGGGGCTGGGGATTTAGCTCAGCGGCATAAGCGCCTGCCTTGCAAGCAGGCAGTCGTGAGTTCAATCCCCGGTACCGATAAAAAGGAAAAAGACCAAAAAAAAAAAAAAATGCTGTCCAACCTGCAGGCACCTGGACCATGCCTAAGTCTGGCAGTCCAAACAACAGCCAGCTGCTGCTCTCCAGCCCAGCCTTCTCTCAGCTCCAAGGTCTCCTATGGAGACTACAGGACCAGCTCAGCACTCTCCAGCTGGGTCAAGGCCTCTGCTCAAGCCTTTTCTGCTCCCTGGCCTTCCTTCCCTTCTAATACTCTTCCCTCCAAACCTATCAGATTCCACCTCTTCCAGGAAGCCTCTCTAGCTTGTCCTTCTAGAATTTTCTCCCACCCTAATTTCTACAGCACATGTACCTTTCTCCAGGGCCCACCCCATGCTAAAATGGGTTATCTGAGTCGCAAGAGTAGGATCGGGGCTGGGTATTTAGCTCAGCGGCATAAGCGCCTGCTTTGCAAGCAGGCAGTCATGAGTTCGATCCCCAGTACTGATAAAAAAAAGACAAAAAAAAGGTAGGATCTTCGCCTTCCACCACAGCCTCATAGTGTGGTGCACCTGGCTGGCTCTCCAGAAGGGCTGGCTAAACATACTTGAATAGAAGTCAAGAGCTAGGGGGTGGCAGGGAGGAAGACCCAGAGTGGCCACAGCAATGGAGGGGCTGGGGCAGGCAGAACCAGATGAATCAGACCCTGTCACTACTGTCCTGCGTCCCTTACCAGGGCAGTCTGGGTTGTAGCAGTCCTCCAGGTCCTGTCTGGGCCCCAGGCAGTCCTGCCATCCAGGAGCAGGCGTGGGGTGCATGCACTGACGGATGCGGGTGCGGGTCCCCAGCTGACCACAGGAGTGGGAGCATGGGCCCCATGGGCCCCATGAGTCCCAGGCGCTGAAGCCACCCTCAACCTGGGAGCAGTTGTTTGGGGAGCAGGACAGCTTTCCATGCACACAGGAGCTGAGGAAAGAGTACAGACATGAGGGTTCAGCCAGGGAGGGCTGAGGAGGGCCTGAGCACAGGTCTGAGGGCCCCAGAAAGAGGGAAAGGACAGGCCCAGTCTCACTCTCATCCCAGCACAGACCCCACCCTGCACAGCCCCTCACCAGTTGCTGCAGCCGATTTGAAATGTCTGGCCTGGGTCCAACTCAACTCCAGGCCCAAAGTACTGACCCTCCTCTCCCAGAAAGGGTGGGGACATCCCAGACTCAGTGCTGGTGGCTCCCAGCTCGTGCAGCAGCGTGGCTGTCAGCACACAGGGGCACTCCTGGGAGGGGACAGTAAAATTATAACTTCGTGCCTGTGTGCAGTCTCGGAGACTCAGCAGGGGGAGGAAGGGCTCTGGGCCCCATGAGGGCAGTTGTGGCTATAAGTGGGTTGGTGGCCCTTTGATGGACATCAAGGCATCATGGATGCATGTGGACAGGGAGCTGGGCCTGAGGGATCACATGGCACAAGCAGGTGTCACCAGAGGCAACAGGGCTTGGCAGAAGCAGGAAGAGTTCAGCCAGGAAGTGGAGGAGTTGGGATGGCCAAGTTTAAGTCCAGCTCTGCCCATATCTGTGCGATTTTGCTGTCCCTTCCCCTCTCTGGGATCAGTGTCATCATCATCTAAGTCAAGAATGAGGGACCAAACAGTTGCTCAGGTCCATGTGGCTACAGCATTCTGGAGGCCACCAAGATAGGGACAGGGCTCCTTCATTGCCTGCTGGGCTCAGCAGGGCAGAGCTGGTACCTGCAGGCCACCTGCGCTTGCAGCAGGAAATAAGTTAGGGAGCTAGGGCCAGGCAGAGTGAGGTGAGGAGCTGCTTTCTCCACAAGGTATAGGAGAAATGAGAGAAGCAGAGAAGGCCTGCATGGCCTGCAGTGCAGGACAGGAAGTCAAGGCTGGGCTTGGGAACCCCAGTGGGGCAGGTATGGCTGCTGAGACAGCTGCATTTGAGGCACCACACAGGACCGGGGGCAAGCAAGCCCTTGTGGACATTGCTGGGCTGGGAGATGTGCTGGTGGGAGCCAGGCACTGTCAGGGCAGGGCAGGTAGCTCCCACTGTCCATCTGGCCCTCTGGTTTTCCGTGTCCAGTGGCCGCAAGTCCTCAGAGGGTGTGATGGGCTGCTGAGTGTGGGGCAGGGCATGGCTGAGTTCTGACCTGGACACAGGCTGCACGGTGCTGGAAGGTTCCCTCAGGACAGTGGCAGCCCTCTTCACAGCTGTTGGAGAAGCAGGCCACCTGCCCCATGATGTGGGCGCAGGAGAAGGGGCATCCATCACTGGGCTGGCATTCACGGTACAGACGGCCAGCTGGGCAGCCTGCCTCTAAGGCAATACCTGTGTCAGTGCTCGGCTCTTCCTGTCCCCTCTGTGAACACCTCCCTGGGCAGTGTCCTTCCTACAGGCTCTTCTGCATCTCCCATTGGTGAGAGAAGGGGCAGGGTGGCAGAAGGGAAGGAAAGGTCAAAAGGCACCCCTGAGTCAGGACCAAGGCCACCATGGGACTTGAAGCTTTGGCTATGTCCAGTACTGATGCTGGCAGTCTCACCTGTGCAGACCTGGGTGTGGCAGGTACGGCTCTGCCGGGCCAGTCCAGGGCAGGGGGGTCGGGGACAGAGCCGAGAGCGCAGCTGCTCCCCTTCCCCACAGGAAACGCTGCAGTCCTCCCAGGGGCCCCAGAACCCCCACACGCCAATGCCAGGGCAGCTGGGCACCTCCTGGCACTGTAAGATGCCCGCCACACAGGTGCTGGGGACAAGGGAGGGGACTTCAGAGATGCCCTGGCTTATTCTCAGGAGTGTGCTTCTGCCCGGCTCCATCCAAAATCCTGTTTGCTTACCAGTTGTCACACAGCCCAGTCACTACCTCCCCAGGTTCCAGACTCTCCCAAGAGCTGAGCCCAGACGCTGCTGACCGGCTGTGGTTCTCAGGGATCCCTGAAGGGTGCAGGAGTGAGGGCTGGGGAGCTCTGGACAGCTCAGCACCCCCATGAATCCCTCCCTCTCCCTGCACCCTAGCCTTCTTGCACTCCACCCCACAGGCTCGTGTCCTGCAGGCAGGACGTGGAAGGCTATTCCAACTTGGACTAGCCTGGGGTGTGAGGGAAAATGAGGGTAATGTAGGGGTTTGCAGGGGAGTGGGCATTGTAGAACAGGTACAGGGCCAGGCAGGGTGGCAAGGGCTGGAGAGGCACTGACCCATGGCTCCAGGCTGGTACTGGCAGCGGCAGTGGACTGGGAGCACACAGAGCCCGTCCTGGGTGAGCCGGCCCGGGGGACATCCGCAGCTGGGCTGGCACCCCGTGGGGCCAGTCTGGCACATACTGCCTGCGGACAGGTCCCGGCAGGAGTGGGGACAAGGGCGTCCACAGGGCAGAAGATCCTGGCCACCTCCACAGTCTGAGGCAGGAGGGAAGCAGGGAAGATGGGTGCAGGAGGCCTCCTGTGAGGCCCACTGCCCACGTGAAACCTGCCATCCTGCCATGGGGAATGACTTAACGGGAACAAGTGTACAGGGGTTGGAGGTCAGAGTCAGCGTCTCCCTAGATTTATGAGGCTCTTCCGGCTCCTCCAGAGGCTCCCACCTGTGCACTCTGTGGAATTGTCCCAACATGGACGACTCTGCTCATGGGCCCCAGCGCACGGTCTGCCTCCCTCAGAGCTGGGTGGCTGGGTGCACGTTCGCCTCCGATAGGACTGCCCCACACACACATCGCAGGAAGACCATGGTTCCCAAGGGCTCCAGGCTCCATCCACTGTCCAGGAAGACAGAAGCACATGTATCTTAGGAGCTCCAGGAACCCCAGGGAATCAGGGCTGGCACAGACACTGGGGAGCTGGCATAGGCCTTGAGTGGGCAGCTCACCTGGGCATGTGGTGGAGCTGGGGCAGGCCTCCCTCTGTCGCTGAGCCCCTGCCTCCCCAGGGCACAGAGCACCACCGTGCTGAGGAGCAGGGCAGGCACAGGCCCTGGAGCGGGTCCGCACCTGGCCCCTGCAGGGCTGGGAGCACGCTGTCCACTCTGACCACGGGCACCAGCTTCCGGGAACTGCAAGGGGAGTCCAGGTGCTGGGTAATCCTTTTCCCAGGCCTGGCCCCTCAGTGACCTTAGGGCCATTTCTCCTCCCCTCCCTGCTGGCAGGCTCGTACCTGGGCAGGGCAGGTCGGTACAGTTGAGCCTCCCCTCCAAGCAGGTGCTGGGCAACAGGTGCAGACACAGGAGAATGAAGCAGCAGCTCAGGGCCCCCAAGGTCCCCCTTGCAGCCTCCTGACTGCCTTTCTCTTCATCCCCACCAGCATCACAGTCTGTGCCTGTCCTCAGGCTCCAGCGCCCCCTAAGCCTGCTCCCTGCCTCACTCAACTGGCCCCATGGGGATGTCACGGCTGGTGTGACTGGTGTGAGGTCAGTGAGAGCAAATGCTGCCTTATCTGTGGCCCACCCAGCGAAGCACCACTCCTCCCAGGAGCACATGCTAGGCTCTCAGCAGACACATAGGGCTAGCTGCCTCGGTTTCCCCATTTATCAGACAGGGCTCATGGCGTCTGCCCTGTGTTTCTCAGGAGTGGTGGATTTCTAATATTTCCCTCATCTGAGACCTGGATCTCACAGGGATACACACCCAACAGGGCCACTCTCAGGGGATCCCTGCCTGCTGACACCAAGGTACAGCCCGCTCACCAGTGGTTGCAGCCATCAGGCCTGGCCAACTGGGCACCTGGACGGTGCCGCTCCCCAGTCAGCAGGTCCAGGCAGCCACAGTGACTGGGCTTCACACAGATGGTCCCATCAGCACTCAGCACCAGGCCCGGAGGGCAGTAGCAGCCTGGCTGACAGCGCCAAACACAGTGCTACAGGGACAGCGGGGGCGGGGGAGGGGTCTGGTCAGCACCAAGCAGTGCCTTTGGGGTGGAAGTCAGAGCTATATAGTCCTCTGGGGCATACAGAGGAAGGAGGCTAGAGAGGAGGAGGAGGGCAGCAAAGAGGGGAAAACTGTGACCTTCAGCTCAGAGGCTTCCATTTTAAACAGTTTATGCTTGAAGTTTTGTTAAGAAAAGGAGGAAGGGAGCCAGGCATGTGGTGCATGATTGAAATCCTTGTCACATTCAGAAGGCTGAGGCAGGAGGATCACCATGAGTTTGAGGCCAGCCTGGGGTACACAGGGAGTTTAAGACCAGCCTGAACTACATAGCAAGCCCGTATCTCAAAAAACAGAACAAAACAAAACGAAAAAGGCAGGAAAGGGAACAAGCCTTCTTCTTCTCCCCAGACTGTGGCATTGGGGACAGAGACCCACACAGTCAAGGTTTGTACACAGAAATGCTTATGGCATGTAGGGTGATGTAGTGGGGTTGTTTTCCCTTCCTATTTGTGCTATGTTTGGAATAAAAGTTTGACTTTGAGAAGAAGTGCCAGCCTGGCATGTGCTGATCATAGCTGAAGTCTGAGACTCATCTGCCCAGCAGGAGGACAGCCCAGTAGCCCAGCCACAGCCATGATGTGGCCCTTGGGTCAGGGACCAGGCAGTGATGCTGAGGAACCCTACTCACCGTGAGGTCATCGCAGGAGTGGGGGCAGGGAGGGCCACAGGAGCTGTACTCAGTCCCTTCGATGGCTGTGCAGTTGGTCACTGGGAAGGGCACCAGATGGGCTGAGCCCAGTGCTGCTCCCCTACCTTCTCCTCTGCCCCTGGCCCCACCACATCCCTGGAAGGTACCTGGGCATGGCTGAGCCTGGCAGGTTTCCCCCTGCGCCTGAGGCCCCTCGCAGAAAAGTCCCAGGCCCTCAGGTGGCGGCTGGTCACAGGCTCGGGTCCGGCTGTGCAGGCCTCCTCCACAGCTCCGACTGCAGCTGGACCAGGGTCCCCAAGGCCCCCAACCCCCTTCTCCTGAATGACAACAAGAGAAGGCATATTGAAGGGCTTGGTAGGGCCCGGGGCCAGCTTGCAACACCTCCAGGGCATGTGTTGGTCCACGGGGCTGGGGCACTCACGATCACAGGCAGGCAAGAGGCACAGCTCCTCCTCGGCCTCTGGTCCTGGGCAGAGGGGTGTAGGGGCAGCTGAGAGGGGCGCCACGCTGGGGGTGCTGGGACAGAAGTGGTGCCGCTGGCGTCGGGCAGGGCCACAGGAGGCTGAGCATTCACTCCAGGGGGTCCAGGGTGACCATTTGGGCTGGCCTTGGAGTACACAGAGGAGAGAAGGTGAGGAGGTGAGGCGGGGTGACACGATGCACCATGCCCTCCTCCAGTCCACACTGTCCTGACAGCTGTCCTCCAGTCCCAGCTCTTGCTACCACTGACACTGCCAAAAGAGCGGGCAGGGCCGGTCACAGAGGGGACCTTTCTTACCCTCCTCACAAGGCCTGGCTGTGCAGTTGGTGATGACCCCAGAGACACAGGAGCTGTGAAGGCAATGGCAGAGGACTGTGTAGTCTCCCCTGGACCCTCCATCCAAGCCCTAGCTCCAGGACAGGTCTCACCAGCGTCTTTGCAGAGGCAGCCAATTAAAGAGTGGTCACTGAGGGTGGCCCTAACCAAAACTAACACAGACAGGAAGTGAGGCCAGGGATTGAGAGGGTGTGGGCAGGTTCTGCCTTGGAGGGCTGGATGCCTCTTCTGCCACTGAGGAGGCACAGAAGCTCAGCAGGAGCCTCCAGAGTCACCAGGCCTCAATCACTGCTGGACAGGAGTCTCACCAGTTTTCACATGGACTCAGCACAGCACTGTCTGGAGGGTGAAGGCGGCCCCTGTGGGTACAGGGGCAGTCCTGGGCGGGCACACACACACTGTTCTGGAACAGAAAGCTGCCTGTCATCTCTAGTTCCAGTCCCACTCCTCCCAGCCAAAGCCGCACCCAGCCCTGAGGCCCTTCACACCCCACCCCTCCACAAACAGCTCTCCCCAGCCCTCTCCTGCAAGGCGAATGCAGACCCTCAGCTGCGGGGGTATAGGGGGAGGATGCTCCCCAATTTCTGTAAGTAAAGGACCACTTTCTATACCAGAACATAAGACTGAACACCTAAACTGCCAAATGCCCTTAAAATTACTTAAGAAAATATGAAATGTGCAAATTTTTATTGGCATATTGGTGGCACAGACATGTGCCACCACATCCAGTTATAATATGTAATTTGAACAGTTGTGGTGACCCCACCCCCAATCATCATCAACAGAAGAATGGAGAAAGTGATGTAAGCAGGAAGTTTGGATAGAGACCGCTGAAATTTAACCAAAGCAGTCATTGGGCAGCATGTGATTCAAACTCAAGTGTCTGGGTATTTCTTGGCTGGCCGACAGGCACTGCACCTGCCCCACCATCCTGACTCCAGTGAGTAGGACCATCACTGCCCTAGCTGGGATGTGAGAACCTCTACAGATGAGCCCGATTGGGAGGCAGACCTCACTACACCTGTCCCTTACCCCATCCTATGGTGTGGTACGGCAGCAGCCTGGAACCTTCTGTCCAGATCTCTCCACACTCATGGTACCCAGCCCTCCAACTGGAGTGGTACCTCCTGCTCTCCTGGTTCTTCAGGGTCAGGCTTCAGAGCAGGACTTCCTTCTCCAGGAGGCCCTCCACTACTGACCCAGCCTGCTCTACAATGTGCAAAGCTTAATTTATGTCTCAAGTGTTTCTGTCTTCCTTCTGATGGCCTCAAGTCTGGCTTCACCAGACTAAATGCTTCATGAAGGTGGATTCTGTTTTGCCCTTCAATATTACCCAGCCCAAGAATGAGCATATGGGTGTCTGTTCCTTCCTGGTCACCCTGGCTCGAGGTATGAAGAGATCCTGCCTGTTGCCCTGCCCTGCAGAAAGGACACTCACCAGCAGGAGCATGCTGGATGGGCAGTAGCAGCCAGGGTGGCAGGTCTGGTTAGTCCACTGTGGGGAACTGAGCTCCGCACAGGAGGCAGGGCCCTGAGCGCAGGCCTGCCACTGCTGTCCCCTGGGACATACACCAGGCACTGGCCCTGGAGACAAAAATCAGTAGCTCTGTCCCCTTGGCTCCCAACCTGGAGAGGCATCTGCTCTGGGTTTGGCTGGGGTGGTTGTGAGGCTTCACAGGATTAAATGACAGGACTACAGAGAGGAAGTTAACAGTGCCCTAGGTTTGTGGGGACAAGAACTGGGGGATCTCCAGGGCAGTCCTTACCTGCACAGGGCTGTAGGCTGCAGGTGGAGAACTCCACAGGGCTGCGTGGGCCACTGCCTTGGGTGCGGTTCCTATAGCCACCACCACAGGGCACGGAACACTGAGTCCAGGGACCCCATACCCCACCAGGACCTGGGGACGGCACCCAGGTCACTGAAGGCCCTGCCTCCCACAGCTAGACACTAGAGGCAACCTTCCCTGCTCACAGTGCTAGTCATTTCACCCGGGCACTCAACTCCGCTGCAGACTGGCTGCCTCTAGGGAAGGGATCTCTCTGGGAATGGTCTTAGCAGTTCTTGGACACCATCTTAGTGGCATCTCTCAGGCAGGTCCTTTGCATTCCTCACAGAGCCCTGGAGGATGCCATGAGGGTATTCTAGCTCTTGTCTGAGGACACAAATCTGCTCTCACCTTGACATGGCTGAAGACTGCAGAATTCAGCTTCCATGTCAGGGCCCTGGCACTCAGCACCTCCAAAGGCAGCTGGGGGTGCGGTGCCTGTACGGAAGCGTCGCTGAATGCCCACATCACAGCTGCGGCTGCAGAGACTCCATGGGGTCCAGGGGCTCCAGCCACAGGCTACTGCCAGAGCAAAGGGGTAGCATGTGTATATGAGATCAGGTCAAATCACACTAAATCCTCACTCATCCTAGGTACCACCTTGCTCCCAGGGGCTCATTTTGGAAGGGCCCAGGTACCCCTTGTTCCCTGATACTGGCCCCATGTGTGGTACCTGGGCAGGGATCCGAGGTGCATACCATCTCACCAGAGACACAAGTGCTGCAGAGAGAGGATTAGTGAGATCTGCCCTGCCCATCCCTGCCATAATCAATCCCTGCACTATGCACTGGCCTCAGCGGGGGCAGCCAGCCACCATGCCCACTACCCGTTGCCCACAGGTGGAAGTTCAAGATGTAACCAGCAGTCTCTCCATTCACATCTACCCTCAGGGGCTTCACACTGCTCCAGGCACTGGGTGTCTCTTTATCACAAAGCTTCATCAGGGAGACACCTTTTCCTTTCATTTGTTACTGACCATTGTTTGGAAATGACCCAGAGTGACAAGATTAGGAGTGATTTGGAAAGAGCAGGGTTACTGGGTACCCTTCCGTCTCTGTACTTTTTTCCAGTGTATGTTTTAAAGCCTGTCTGTCAAATCCTGGAGGTTACAGGAAAATAATCGAAGAGAAAAGAAAGAAAGGAGTTGGTAGAGGAATAATAAAATAAGGAACTGGGGTGCAGCATAGACTAAAAAAGGAAAAGGTGGTGGGGAAACTGGGTGCAGAGCACCCTCTGCTGGCAGAACCTGGAGCGACTTTGTTTGAGTCTTGTGTGCTTCACCCCTGAGCAGAAACAGAGTGGACCCCTCCGTGATAGCAAGGCAAGAGAAACAGGAAGCAGTCAGGAGGAGAGGTCAAGAGTCCCCTCCAGTCTCAGTCCATCATATATCGCCCCACACATGTGAAAGCCGTCCTGTTCCCTTTGGGAGTCAGTTCCCCAGTACATCCTCTACCCTCCCTACCCCGCACCCTTTGGGACCTACCAGTTGTTACAGGTGTCCAGGTGAGCCACCGCTCCGGGTGCATAGAGCTGCCCATGCAGCTGGCAGGGGCACTGAGTGCGGGGCAGGCAGCTGGTGTTGTACAGAAAGAGGCCAAGGGGGCAGGCACAGCTGGGGGCACAATTGCCCATGCACTCCACCCCAGGGTCCTGTGCTAGGCACAGCCGAGGGCATGGACCTCCCTCCTGGTGACACTGTTCTGCTGAGCGGAACACCATGTCGCTGGGGCACTGAGCTGCATGGCAAGACAGAGGAGGTGTGGGCAGGGGTAGGAGGGAAGAGATGGAGGCGACTAGGGAGGGGATTCTGCCTGCAGTGACTCCGGAGAAGTAACATGGCCCTCCCTGTCCTCCCTGTTCTCCCCTTCCAGGCTTGCTCCAGTGCCTGGAATGTCACCACTGAAGAGTCCTGGCTTTACTCCACCTGATACAATGTGTTTTGTTTTGTTTTGAGACAGGATCTTGAGATTTATTCCAATGTTGCCTAGGCTAGCCTCAAACTCCCAGCAATTCTCTTGCCTCAGCCTCCAGAGTGGTGGGATTATAGGCATACACACCCCAATTAATACAGATATTCTTAAAACTGACCCATTCCGGCGGGTTCGAAGAAGAGCAAGGAGGGAATATGCTTCCTACAATTCTGCCCACAATTTTGGCTTCGCTGGAGGAAGCCACTCTTTGGGCCAGCAGACAGGGGCCTGGTCCTCAGTGGGCAGGGGAGGGGAGAAACTTGGCTCAAGGAACCACCTGCCCTGACATCCAAAGTCCCAGATGTGTGAAGCTGTGGGATATGTGTCAGACCCTGGGAGCAGCAGGGCGTGACCAGCTGGAGGATAGGTCAAAACCTGGTACCTGTGCAGGGCTGTGTGTTGCAGTCCTTGGTTTGACCGTGGGGTCCCTGGCACACGGAGTGTCCAGGAGCCAGACCATTGCAGCTGCGCCCACGGAACTGCACACCTCCACCGCAAGACACTGAGCAGGCGGACCAGGAAGCCCACAGACCCCAGCTGCTTAGCACTGTAGAGAGAGACCAGGTTCCCAGTCACAGCCCTGGCAAAGATGTGGCCGGGAGGAGTCAGAGCTGGGGGGTGTGGGGAGCCCTTAGCCATATCTCCCCAGCAGTCAATCATAGGCTGGTTTCTAGGGGCTGAGGAGAAGCTTAAGGACAATACCCAGGTGTGCTCTCACCCTCTGTCCCCTTCCCTCCGCTCCAGGGCTCATGGGATCCCACCCCACTGAAATGTCTGTCCACACCAGGGTTCATGCCTGGGCACAGAGGGGCGCTGCAGGGCTCCTCCTGAATTGCCTCTCCATGGCAGGCATCCTTGGGGCCAGGGCAGAGCCGGAAACGCCGCTGCCAGCTGGGGCCTCCTCCAGGTACAAGGCAACTCTGGGAGCAGGGGGACCAGGGTGTCCAGGGCGTCCAGCCCAGTGCCTCTGCAGAAGACACAGTGGGCCTATTGCATGACACCAGAGAGGCTAGGAGGCTAGGGAGGGCTTCTGAGAATGACAGGTACCACGCTGGGTTCAGGGGTGGCCTCTGTTCCCTCAGGTGGCTGGGGCCCCTGTACTCCAGTTCACTTCTCACACTTAGGGCAGCAGTAGGAGAGCCTCCTAAAGATGCTTGTTCTTCCACCCTGCTCTGACACCTGGGCCACCAGCATCTTTCTGAGAGTCTGTCTCTCTCTCACCAAAGCCCACCCAGCAAAATCAGCCCAGAGGTTGTCCCCAAATGCAGAAGCTTTGCTGACTCCCCACCCAGGGGACTCAGAGGTCCTCTCCCATCGTGTGGGCCAGGCATAGGGAGGTGGGCTTTTGCCATACCTGTACCACACTCTGTGTAACAGGCCTGCAGCTCCTGACTGTCACCTTCACAGGGGGTACCTCCGAAAGCTGCAGGAGGGTTGGAAGGAGACCTGGGGAGACAGGCAACCCTGGGCACCTTGTCCTCCTGTCTCTCCCCACTCCCCAAGCTTTGACTATCTTCTTCCCTGTTCTTCCACTGTCTTTACCCTGCCCACCTGAACCTGGCCTTTACTCCAAGACCACAGGATTGGTCACAGGGAGCCCAGGGGGACCAGGCTGACCAGCCGCAGGGCTGTGGACAACTACTCGGTTCACACTGCAGTTCACCCTTCTCGCAAACGCTGCAGGGAGGGGGAGGACAAGGAGCTGTTGGGACCAAGAGGCCCACTGCAGGGCCCTCCCGAGCCCAGCACCCTCCCTGCCAGGCACCCTCACCAGCGGCTGCAGTTGTCCATCAGGAAGGACGACCCTGGCTGCTTCAGCTCTTCACCCACAAGGCAGGGGCATTCGGAGAGCGGCAGGCAGTGAGAGTCATGGAGAAGGAGCCCCGGGGGACAGCGGCATCCTGGGGTAAAATGAGGGGAACCTGGGGTCTAAGGACAGTGGCCTGGGTGGGCACCACTCCCTCCCATTGCTCAAGCCTCTCACCCTCCACACACTGCCCAGTGCAGCTTGAGGCCTTGAGGTCCAGGCAGGAGGGTGGGCACAAGGGCACCAGCCCCTCCTGGCATAGCTCCACATTCACATGCACACGGCCTGGCCCGCAGTCTGGAGGGAGACAGGCACCTTGTGGGATGAGCCTAAGGAGGTCCAGAGAGCTGCCCATGCCCAGAACTCTCTTACCTGTGTCACCTGAACAGGGCTGCAAGCCACAGGGCCCCCACTCTTGGGAAGCCCCAGGACAAGCATCACCACCATTCTTGGGTGGAGGGTCCACACAGCTCCTCCGGCGACTCTGGTGGCCACCCCCACAGGAGACACTGCAGGGCCCCCAAGTCTCCCACTCTGCCCATGCCCCAGCCACTGTGAGGGAAGGAAGAGCAGAGGTCCAGCAGAGAGGTTTCAAGGGAATCCATGTTGTCCTGGAGAGGGGACTACAGGGGCGGGAGCCCTCACCCAGCCAGCAGGGCAACACAAATCCCTGCAGCTTCCTCCTCTGTCCAGGATTCCTCTGTCTCCCAGAGGAGGGAACCTAAGGAGGTATTGTTGATGCCTCCCAGGATAAAAGCTCTGTACCCTATGAGGGTCAGTGCCTGTGCAAACCCTGGAGTGCACTCAGTCTGGTGCAGCAGGTGAAAGAATGTGGCCAAGGGGCGATGGAGGGCAGATGGCCAAGGGGAGCCCTCCACCATGGGAAGCTTCTCTCTGGAATACATGGGAAAGTGGGGACCACTCCCTCAGATTCATGAGACAAAAAGGCTGTGAAGTTTTTGGCATGGAACCCAGGGACAAGTCAGCTGATGTCTGAGGTCTATCTCTCTGCCCTCACTGAACTCCACCTGCAGAGGCTCTTCCATCCTCCACCCATTCATCCATCTGTCCATCCATCCATCTATTCAACCATCTACGTATCCATTAATGTACATCCATCTACTCCATCATCCATCCATTCATTCACCTACCCACCCACCCATCCACCCATACTTTACCCACTCATTCATCCATCTATCCTTCATCTACTCATCCACCCACCCATCCTGTATCTACTCCCAGATCACCTTCCTCCACCCTCGATGCCTTCTGATGTGGGATGATCAGTTTTCCCACTTTCCAGCAGAGAGCTAATGGGGCTCACTTCAATGGGTAGTGGGGGCCCAGAGAGGCCTGGGGGACCAACCCCATTCCCTTGGAGGACCTGGCTACCTGGGCAGGCTTGCACAAAGCAGGGCTGGCTGCGCAGCTGGTCCATCAGGCAGCTCCCCCCGGGCAGGGGAGGCCGCAGCTGCTCCCGCCGCTGGAAGGTGAAGCCCAGGCCACAGCTGCGGCTGCAGCCACTCCAGCTAGACCAGGGTGTCAGCACACAGTCCACTGAGGAGACAGGTTGGGGGGACTCAGAAGGGGGTCATGGAGGTGTGGGTCCCTTAGGTGTGTCCCCTGTCTGGGCAGCACATACCACAGTTGTCCTCATCTGAGCCATCCTGGCAGTCGGGGTGCAGATTGCACCGCCACTCAGCGGGCAGACACTCTCCGCTGCTACAGTGCAGCTGGTTTGGCGAGCAGAGTGCCCTCGAACCCGGCAGCCCAGGAAGCACAGTGGCAGGCACTGTGAAGGGCTCTGCACTCACTGCTTACGAAGTACGGGAGAGAAGGGAGCCACGTGAGTGATAAAATGAGTCTCTGAAACCTCAGACCAGGAGTGGGGATGCGCTTGCTGGCCAGACACCTGGCCTCCCCTTTCTCCTAGTGCCTCTGATCCCTTCCACTATTGTGAATGGGGTCTACACAGGCTCTTTGGTGTATACTGATCTCACACAGTCTCTCTACTTGTCAAAGGTTCTTGCAGTGTCCAGAGAAGTCAAAGCACTAGAAAATTGCTCCCTTGAGTACCCTCTTCCTAAATGAGTACTCCTTGGGGTGCCCTTTTCTATGACAGGTTAATGCTTGATTTCTCTTATCTGGAATGCGAGACAAAGCTTCGATCATTATGATCTTCTTTGGATGAATGGGTGGGTGGATGGAGAGATGCATGCATTAATGGATAAATGGTAGGTGGGTGGGTGGATGGATGAGGTTGAATGAATGGATCAATGGATAAATGGATAGATGAGTGAGTACATGAGTGGTGGACAGATGCATATGTGGACAGATAGATAAAGAATGAGTGCATGGGTGGATGGATGGGTAGATGAATGGGTAGATGGATGGATGCAGGGTTGAATGGCTGGATCAATGGATAAATGGGTAGATGAGTAAGTGGATGGATAAATGGATAGTTGGAGGATGGATGGATGGATGGGTGGATGAATGAATGGATCAATGGATGGATGACTTGGTGAGTGAATGGATGGTTGGATGGATGTCAGGTAGATTTATAAAACAGGCTGAGACCCAAGGCCTATTCCATTCCCCTTCTTCACCATCTCTGAAGACATTCACATTCCTAATTGTTTCCCTTTTCAGTTTCTCTCCACTCCCTGCTACCCTGTCCTCTCCCAGATCCTTCCCACATTAGCTAGAAATGGGCACGAGCATATCCATACCTGGAACCCTCTTGCCACCCCTAGTACCTGACACAGACCCTATGCTCACCACAGTGCTGCTCATCAGAGCCATCCAGGCAATCTTCCTTGCCATCGCAGAGCTGTACCCACTCCACACAGCCCAGCACCTTGCAGGCCACCTGCCCAGAATTGCACCGCACAGGTGGGAAGGGCTTGGAGGTGATGCTGTGGCCTGTGGGTCAGTGAATAGATGAATGGATGCAGAGTGGCTGGGTGGGTGGATGAACATTAGCATCCCATAGCCAGCTCACCAGGTGGTCCCCAACCTCTTGCCTCTTAGCATCTGGGGTGGCCCATTTCCTGCCCCTCTTGGAATGATGGAAATGGAGTGAACTGCATCAAGAGACTTGGGTCCTGGGCCTGACTCTACCAACAGTGGCTTTGAGCAATGTGACCTTGATTGACTTCCCAGGACTCTGTGCCCTCCTAGAGAAGCTGGGCTCATGGATTTGCACAAAGAAGGTCTCAGGATCTTACCAGCAGGAGTCACCGGCATCACTGGGTGTATGGGGAGTACAGTCACAGCTGCCATTCCTGGTTGCAAGCTCAAGGCCCCAAGGTGGGGTATGGAGGTGGTGGGTTCCCCAGAACTAGTGTGAGGAGACTCAGAGGCTGCAACAGGACTCCCTGGCCTCTCCTCTGTAGGTGAAAGAGGAAGTGTGTTGATGCTGCCATCTCTCCTTGCCATGAGAGGAAGCAAAACAGACCCTGGAGAGTGCACTCTGAGCTTTAGGTCAAAAGACACCGTAGAAGTCGACCTGGGGACCTCTCCTTGAATGCAGAGCAATTGCTGTAACATTACAAATTGAGTTTTATTTTTATGCATTGGTATTTACAGAGTATCCATGTTAGTCTCTTCTCCCTTCAATTGGCTCTAAGCAATACAAATAAGGCTAACTAAGGTCCTGACAGATAATCTTTGAAGCCAACCTGACAGTTTTGTTTCCTCACATAGCGCTCTCAGTAAAATATTGAGCACAGCAAGATGGCAGAGCCATTCAGCTGCAGGAAGGTCAGCTGGGTACAAGCCTCAAAGTAAGAGGCCGTGACTCTCCAGGGCACAAAAGTTTATGTAGCAGAAACTGAAGCAACAGCCTCCTAAAGCCATGCTACCCTAACTGAGTTATGCAGACCGATCCTTGTGCATATCATTCTCCCTGCGTTTTGCAAAGTTGTTTTTCTCCCCACCTGGCTAGCCAGCTCTCTTACCCACATAGTTCCTGCCATCCTCACTCACCATCACTCATTCTTCAACCCTGCCCTTCTTCACAAGATAATAAGCCCTGGGAAAGGCCTTCAATCAGGGCCTTTGACCATATATCCTCACTTGAATTAGACTTAGGACCCCTTGGCTGCCCTTAACTTAGAATATGTCTTGGTGGGTTACATTGGAGGTAGCAGATTGGAATTGACTTGCTGGGATTCCAATAATGTTTCAATGGGATTACAAATAAAACTTTCTGGATTGTGAGGAGGACTAGAAAAGGGATTACAATACTTGGATTACAATACACAGCATTTGGATTATAATATATAATATTGAGATGTCAATGTCCAAGGGCTGTCAGAGGATCTCAGCCTGAGATGTCACTGCCACATGCTCTGAAATGGGAGGGATTTGGGGGAGGGGCTGGAGCTTGTGCACATACCCCCAGAAGTTGCAGGGTACCTCTGCTTGGGATGCCAATATCCGGTCTCTGCCAGACCCTGCAGAAGGACAGGACTCAGTCACCCACTGTGACCCAGGTACTGAGGGGGCTCTGTGTGGCCTCGCCCACTTCCCCTGACTTTCAGAAGCAGTGGAGGTGGGTTGAGGACTAACTGCTGCCCTGCAGGTGAGCTGGGTGCACACCCCAGGGCACTCATTGGTCCATAAGGGCCTTGGACCCTGATACTGTGCTCTTCCAGGCTCTGAGGGTAGACACTGGGCATCTGCCCCACAGGCCTCTTGTCTCTAAACTCCTCCAGGCTGGCGCCCTGCCCTGTGCTTCTCTGCACCTTTGTCTGTCCTTTGGGTCCCTGGCCCCTACTTGTACCAACTTGTGCCCCAGAAGACTCCCAGGTAAAAGGCCTGTCAGAGCAGCACCAGGAAACACAAGTGCAGGAAATCAGAGAGGAGGGCAGTGACAGCAGCAGCCCTGGTGAGGCAACGAGGCCTGGGTGTTTTCCTGAATCCCTATGCCTGCCCCAGAGCTTCCAACTCACCTCCTGGGGCTCGGTGGAAGAGAGAACTAGGGTCCTGGCTGTGGGATGGACTCTGTGAAGAGAAATCACCAACGAGGTTCAGGGTCTACCAGCCTAAGGGGCCCCATCCAGGAAGGGGTCAGGGGACCCTAGGCTAGGACGGACATCCAGGAAGGACATATCCCACTAAACTGGACAAAGATGAGTTCTAAACAAGGCTGTTCTTTGCTCGTGTGTTGGGATCACCAGAGCAATGTGTGAAGGGGCCCTCATATGGGCCAGCAGAACCAGGCACTGGTGCTGCTGGGCCAGGACCCCATGGTTAGTGCAGATGCTATGGGGAGGTACAGATCCCCAGCGTCCCACAGCCCCATGGCCTGGGGCTCCAGGCATGTAGGGCTCACAGTCCCTGGGGATACCTCCCACACAGCTGTCCCCTCTAAATCCAGGTCATACCCTCCAGTTCCTGCAGGCAGGGGCTCACAGCCCTCCTCATCAGAGCCATCCTTGCAGTCTGCAGCTCCATTGCAGCGCCCCCCACTTGGAGCACACTCCCCGCTGGCACAGTGGAGCCTGGCTCCTGGGCACTGGTTTGCCATTGGGGACACTGTATGTAGGGGAGGATGTTGTTCAGGGTTTCTGCTGTCCCCTCAACCACTCCAGTCCCTACCCAACCCTTAACCCAGCCTTACCTGGCCCACAGCCCAGCAGCTCTGCCCACTGGAAGGTGCGGTGGCTGACTTCACTGTGGTGGCTGGGGTGTGGCCCAACCCTTACGTACCTCGCCTGGACCATCCGGTCAAATGTCCATACTTTGGGGGCCACATTGGCCCAGCTCCCAGGGAAAGGCTGTGGCACAGGGGACCTGCTATGACCCTGACTCTGCAGGGTCTTCTCCCTGCCCATCCAAATCCCTCCACCTTCAGGGCATGGATCCCTCTGGTGGTAGCATCAGGTTCCCCAACATGGTAGAGTCTCCCCTGGCTGAAGCTCCTCCCATTGGACCAGATTGTGCCCAGCACTAGGCCAGGTGCTTCTTAAACTGTGGTCAGCTGCCATTGGGGCTGAGTCTTCTGCCTCATGGGGCTTGTCTCCCTTGGGAAGATGCCAACCCTGGGACATCCGCCCAGTGTGACCACTCCGGTGCTTCCTGACATCCACTTGGCAGAGGTACACAGGCCCTCGACTCTGTGGTTCAGTCCCTGCTACTTACCAGGTGTTCCATGGGCATCTATTGCAGGGACCGTCCTCAGGGAGATTGAAAAGCCCTTGGGGTCAAAGACTATGGGATCCACAAAGGGGCCAAGTAGGTCACTGACCCTTGGGTGTTTGGTACCTTGGGTACAGGCAGAGTGCCAGGCAGGATGGCATGATACTCATGCCAGTGTAGACCATCACTGCTGAACTGGAGGGAGAAGCTGGGGATACGAGCATCAGAGGACTGGGTCCCCTGCACCATGATGCCTGGGAGGAACCAGGGCAAGGACAAGATCAGTGCTGAAGGACACACTCCTGTCCCACCCCCTTCCCTATCCTTCTTCTTCCTCACTGACCAGTGAGGTTCCGAGCCCACAGCAGGTCCAGGTGTAGATAGGGAGGCTGGGGGTGCTGCTCGGCACGAGTGTCCTCCCCAGGGTCTTGGTCTTCCATGGGAGGCCCCAGGAAAGCCATGTAGGTGGGGTGCTCCGGCTGTGGGGATGATGTCCCCAGGCTGCCCTTGGGTAGTTGGACCAGGCCCAGGGGCGCATAGCAGGAATCTGGGTGTGAGAGATAGAGAGAGAGAGAGAGAGAGAGAGAGAGAGAGAGAGATGGCTAGAGGGCATTGTAACGGTGCCAGGGGCATAGTTAGCCTCAGGCTGCTGGGATACAAAAGGCCACAAAAGGGCATTGGCCCAGGGCACAGGGATGAGCGGACTTGGGATAGGATGACTTCTGACCTTCAGGATGACTCCCAGCATTTGGGGAGCAAGGGTCCTCCCCTGGTTCTCTCTCTGCCACCAGGCCCAACCAACTGAGGGTACCATGCCCCTAAGTATCCACTATGACAGCACACCGTCTCACCTCCCAGTGGGGGCAGAACGTAGGTGATCAGAGCAGATCCAATCTGAGAGGTGGAGGCTGGAGCCAGGGCTGCAGTGGCCATGGTGGGTACTGTCTGGTTCTCTCCTGTGTGGGAGACCCAAGAAGGCTCACACCAGTCCTGGCTGAGTACTTTCTGTTCCATGAAATCCCAGGAATAAGCCCCCTGGGAAGGATGCCTCTTTAACCTCATTGTGAACTGGGGGTCTTCATACCCATTGAACATTTAGAGAACACAGATTAAAACTACCAGTCCAGAGTCACTCAGGACCAGGATGGAGCAGGTGTAGCTCCTCACTCAGGGCTCTTGTCACTAACAGTAACCTCTGTGAACATTAGGAAGCAGCTGGCCCTGGGTGGAAGCTGCCCTGCGGGCTGGAGTCCTTCTCCCACTCATCAGATAACTGTGCAGTGTACAACTGTATTTGCCGGCTGGCCCACTCCTAACCTCACCAATCTGTGGGTACATTTTTCGGATGAGGAAGATGGAGTACCCCAGCTTTAATTGTTCCTGCTGTATCCTCTTCCTGCCTTTGGGGCTCCTTGGCCACCTTCCAGACCCACTTACCAGGCAGGGCACAGTGGCAGCATGATTCTCCCACTCCTTCCACCAGGACCCAGCTCTGCAGGACACAGAATTCAGGCCACCTGCCACCTCCGACATTCTCCTCCAGTCCCCCAGAAACTGGCCTCTCCAAACACTCTCCTCCCAGACCCTGCTTACACCAGCTCCTGGGCACCTCACCTGGGGGCAGCTGCCCAGCGGGCAGTAGGGGGAACAGTGCACGGTGCCAGAGTCCAGACACTGGCACACCTCACAGGCACCCCTGCGCCAGCGCTCCCCCACACGCCTCACGTGGCCCTGCTGCTCACAGCCCTGGCATGGCTCCATCTGGCACCTGGTGGCAGAGGGGAAGCTCAGCCTGGGGAGGGGCTTGCCTAGGGTGACTACCCTCCAGAAGTCTGCCCCTTATGGGATGCACGAGCCACAAAGCTGAAGCAGAAGCCTGGAGCCCCCAGGGAGTTCCAGCGTTTAGACAAGAAGGCAGAGAGCAGGCCCCACACTTGGGGTCCGGAGGAGATGCAAGGTGCCCATCCTGGGAAGGGCAGGCAGGAAGCCTCCTGTGTGGGAGGTAGAAGTGCGGGGCCGGGCTCCAGCCGCTACCTGCGGGCCTTGCGGTGGATGCCAAGGCACTGGCGACCTCGGCCAGACTGGCGGGGGTTGTTGGGGCTCCGGAAGGACCACTGGATGCTCTGGCTCCCACAGGGGCCCAGGCACTCAGCCCAGGGGGACCAGGAGGACCAGCCACAGTTCACTGAGGAGGAAATCAGGGCCAGGATGAGAGGTGGGAGCCCCACTGGGACCCCAGGGAAGGGCCATTGCAGGAGGTGCTCACCAGCACAGTCTGGGTTGGGTCTGCAGCGCCGGGGCCGCCCATCCTGGCAGACACAGAGCTGGCAGCCAGCCTTGATTTGCTGCCCAGGCCAGTAGTGGGTACCATCCACCAGGCAGGGGCATTGCTGGGGCCACATGCACTGCCCTTCGTTGCCCAGCACCTGCCCTTCAGGGCACCAGCAACCTGAGGAAGTGGCAGGGTAAGTGTTGATATGTAGCATAGTTGCCTCAGACCATAGGCCCAGAGCCCCCGCACCTGGGCTGCTGCAGGGCTGCTCAGGCGGGCACGTAGCCTGGCTAGAGACATCGTCACAGGTCAGAGGACAGGGGGCACAGGGCCAGAACACCAGCTCCCCAGAGCAGGTGGCGTTGGGGCAGCCATCCTGAGGGCAAGGCTCTGCAAGGGAGCAGAACCAAAATGAAGGTCAGGGGTGGCTGTGTTCCATGGGGTCCCCAATCCCCACCTGGATGCTCTTCCTGTCACTCACTGGTCTCTTGGATGCTGGGAGGGTCCCCAGGCAGCAGGGCACAGGCCCGGCCCCCATTCTGGGGAGGGTGACACTGCCGCTGCCGCATCATGGTGCCCCCACATGACTCAGAGCACGGGGACCAGGGAGACCAGGAGCCCCACACACCGTCCACTGCAAGAGGACGAACCATGAGGGCAAGGAGGGACATGAGGCAGGGCAGGGCCCAGTGGACTCCCCTGTTCCCTCTGTCCCTGTACCTCCCTGGAGTCCCCAACCGTCACCTGGGCAGGCCTTGGCAAAGCAGGCCTGAGACTGGTGCTCAGGGCCCAGGCAGCGCTGCAGCACTGGGAGTCCAGGTGGGGAGCAGTGACGACTTCGGCTTTGTACCCCAGACCCACAGGTCTGACTGCATGGCTCCCACGGGTTCCAGGGTCCCCAGACCCCACAAGCCTGCTCCTCAGGGGAGCGCTCTGCCTTCCCCAGGGCAGTTTCACAGTCAGGCTGCCCATCACACACCTGGGGATGTGACAGGCTCAGGGCTTGATCTGGGCTTAGGGACACATTGACTCTGTCTCCCCCACCCCTGTTCCTACCCTTACCTGCTGGAAGCCAATGCAGATGCCATTGGGGCATGAGTATTCTGGGCAGGGGACCCCTGTCCCATTGTGGTCTCCTGGAGCTGGCAGCCCCCCTGGGGAAAAGAGAAAACTAGTCAGCAAGAAATTGGGGCTACTTCCTGGTTCACCCCTGCCTTGGACCCCCTGGAGAAGAATAGGTCCATATCACACCCCAGCTCATCCTCACCCTGGGGACAGTCAAGGAACCCACTGCAGAGCACTGGGGCTCTAGGCACAGTCAGGGGGCCAGGCCACAGCAGAAGCCGCCAAGCCTGGGTGGATCCTGTGGGCACCAAGGCACCCCTTACTCCTGTGCCCTGAGGTCCCCTCCCCCAGCGGGTGGCAGAGAGGCCAAGGCACAGGAGGAGGGAGGCAAGTGGAGACAACCAAGAAACTGGGGTCCTAACAGGGCCTGCAGACACCTCCTCTTTGGAGAAGTGACAGGCACCTGAATGGCTGATTTTGCCAGGCTCAGGGGTGGCAGGGACCACCCGCCTTCTAGCCGGTTCTTGCCCCAGTATGAGCACAGACAAAAGCCTTTTCTTCTGTCTTCTCCAGGGCAGCAAGGAAAAGCAAAGTCTCAACGTTTCACAGAACACAGAAGTCCTTCAAACTCCTGTCCCCAGACCTGTCCCAGTCTAGATGGCTCCCACGCGTGCCCAGCAAGGAGCAAAGGTGGGGTGTCCTGGGAGGCCATTCTCACCACAGGTCTCTGGACTCTCGTCCCAGCCGTCTGGGCACTGGGGCTCGCCATCGCACAGCTGGCCCAGGGACAAGCAGTGGGAGCTGTCACGGGCACAGAGCACGAGATGCGGCGCACAGGGCTCCGTGCAGCCCAGCTCATCGCTGCCGTCAGCGCAGTCTTCCTCCTGGTCGCAGCGCCAGCCACGGGGGGCGCACTCACCGCTGCTACAAGCGAACTCCGAGGGGCTGCAGGGCGCTGAGGAATGGGGGTGGGGAAGATCTGAGCCACGGGCTTCCCCCCGCCCAGCCTGGCCTTGAGCCTCGCCTGAGGTGCCCACCTCCCTTCATCCCCTCTTAGGGTCCCACTAGTCCTGCGCCCTGCCCCCCACCCCCAGCTGCATTAGACCCTCCAGGTGCTCAGAGGGAGGCAAGAAAACAAGGTTGGGATCTCAGGGCCTCTCAAACACCTCTCCTCCACCACCCCGCCCCATTCCTTCCAGCAATCCGCTCCCACCTTAGCCTCCCAGAATTTCCACTGGAAAAAGCTGGAATTTCCACTTCATTCCTTCTAGTCTCTAGCCCCAGGGCCCTGCCCAATGCAGGCCTCTGAGATGCCCTCCTATATTCCCTCCTTGGGGGGTCAGACCTCCAGCTTTTGTACCCATCTCCTGTGGGAGCCTCACCAGGGCTGGCACTGCCCAGGGGACTTTGAGCACTTTCCAGGGAGCCCGTGAAGGGGCTAGGTATGGTGCCAGAAGGAGGCATGGGCAGAGAAGGCAGGGGGCAGTGTCCAGGCCCCTCGTCAGCTCCATCTGGGCAGTCCCAGACGCCGTCACACAGCTGGAAGGCCCCCACACAGGAGCCATCGAGGCAGGACAGCTCCCCAGGGATGCAGCTCACCTGCCCTGCAGCCAGAAAGAAGGAGCTGGTCCCTGCCCTCATTCTCACTGTCTGGGGTGCTCCCACCCATGCACTCATTCATGCCAGCTTCACCTGTGGGCCCTGGCAGAGGAGTGGAGGGATTGGGGTTCACTAGATGCTGGATCTGGGGTAGTAGGTGGGCTGAGGTTCAGAGCAGAGACTACTCACCCAGGCAGGACTCCTCATCAGCAGCATCCAGACAGTCGGGGTGCCCATCACACAGCAGAGCCAGGGGCAGACAGCGCCCATCAGCACAGGTCATTGCATCAGAGGGGCACAGGCAGCCCTGTTCATCTGTGCCATCTCCACAATTGTCCTGCCCATCACAGAGCAGGGCCAGGGAAACGCAGTGCCCAGAGCGGCAAGACATCTGGCCCTGCTCACAGCCTGGGGTGGCACAGCCTGGCATAGACACTGGGGTCAGAGAGCACCCTTCCTGCCCCTTACCCGCTCAGGTCATTGCTCTTGGCAAAGGAAATGGCAACTCAAGAAGCCACTCTTGGGACACTGCCTCACGCAGGCAAAGACACTTACCCTCCTCATCTGAGCCATCACCACAGTCGTCCTGATTGTCACAAAGCCACTCATGTGGCACACAGTGTCCACTGTCCTGGCATTGAGCCTCTCCTTCTGCACACTGAGGTACCAGCTCCTCACAGAAGGGGCTGTCACCCCCGCAATGCCACTGACTGTCCTGACATGTGCTGAGCACAGTATCCTAGGATCAGTCACAAAAGGGCTTGATGGGCCAGGGGACTAGGCTTCTCCCAGGGGGCCTCACTCACCAGTTTCCACAGTCCTTCTGCAGCACTGTCCCTGGTGGGAAGAAGCTACCATCGAACTCACAGGGACAGGCAGCTGGCTCCACACAGTCTCCTCCTGGGGTCACAGAGCATGGGACTCAGGGCTCAACCTCACTGCAATGGCCTGTGGCACTTTCCCAGTCCCACTGCCCCATGGCCTCTGCCATCTTGACCACACACCATGCAGCAGAGCCCCCGAGGGGCAGAAGCAGCCCTCCACACAGGTGACAGCCTGGCAGTGCCATCCAGGTGCAGGACGGTGATCAGGGCAGGTGGGGGGACACACGGGGCCACAGGCTTCATACACCTGTCCCCCTTCGCACTGTAGGGCTGTGTGGAGAAGAGAGAGGCTGGGATCATAGAGGCACAAGGGCACCAGGAAGCAAGGTGAGCGGGCTGAAGGTGTGACACAGGTGTGTGGCGTGGACACACACCACCCCATGCTGAGCATCCCATGGTGAGTTGGGATGCATCGACCCTACAGGGGTGCTGTTCTTTGTGTGTGTGTGTGTGTCTTTTTCCTTTTTATCGGTACCAGGGATCGAACTCACGACTGCCTGCTTGCAAGGCAGGCGCTTATGCTGCTGAGCTAAATCCCCAGCCCCCAGGGGTGCTGTTCTTGCATGTTTGGTTCATCTAGAAAAATCATCAGGTGGGCACAAAGCACCCTGTATGTGTTTGACCTTGGGCAACATTTAAGGAGGAGGTAGGAGGGCACCCTTCAAGGGATGGAGTGGAGACAGGGCTGGGGGCAGGGTACACTCACGGCAGAGCTCCTGGCTGCGCCAGCGCACATGGTGCCCATGCCTGGAGCACTCATCCGCATAGGTGGCAATGGCCGAGCAGAGACACTCACAGTCACCCCCCGAATCACAGCTGTGGGAGGGAGCCATCAGCCCAGTGCCCCCTTCCTCTTCTCAGCACCCCACATGCCCCACAACCAGTCCTCCTCACCTGCAGGCATCGTACACACACCACTCATAGTGCTGCTGCGGGGGCACCTCTGCGTGGCATCGGGCAAACAGCGGCTGCAGCATCGTCCCACAGTGGGCCCGGGCCCAGGCTGCCCGGTGGGCATTGACCTGCAGCACAGGATACTGTCTGCAGCCCCAGGGCCACCTGCCGGACCCCAGAGCTGCTCTACCTCCTGGCCCTCTGTCCCGCCCATGCTCACAGTGCAGGGATGCAGTAGGTCTCCCGGCTCGGGGCACAAGGGATTGAGGCGCCAGGAGTGGGCTGCCAGCTCAGCTGTGGGCTCCAGGACTCCTTGGCGGCTCCTCAGGTCATTGCTGGCATCACCATCAAAGTCTCCACACAGGCCAGCCACACGACCACGGAAGTTGGGGGAGAGCTGCACCAGTACCCGGGTACCTAGCGGTGGCACAGTCCCAAATGACTCCACTGGCCCTCAGCAGATCAGGGTGGGAAGAAAATCTGAGGTGCATAACACTGTCCTGCATAGGGTCCAACAAGGGTCCTGATTCCCTCCTATTTTGGGGTGTGATGTGTGGTAAATAAAGAGACAGATATTTGGAGGACATGGAACTCCTCTATCAGTTCTATCTGGACAGAAATCCTGAGATTTTTGAGGCCCTACAGCCCTTGCTGGGCCAGGTCCATAATCGGGTATTTTGGTTTCTCTCAACTTACCAACAGTTACATTTCTAACACATCAACTGCTTGTGCTTGGGTGGTGGAATGTTAGGAGATCTATTTTCATTTCTTTTCCCTAAAAGTTGGTATTTTCTAAATGTTTCTTGGATGAGGAGGTATTGCTTTCACTATGAAGGAAAATAGAATTATGAAAACAATTTGGAAACTCTGACCACTTGTGTGGGCTGGGAGGTGGGGGCAGCACCAGGATGGGGTACCCAGTGGAGGGTAGGAGGACAGGGGTCCTGATGTGGTTTTCATGCTGGAAATTGCTCCTGTAGGTGATGCTGGGGTCTCAGCCTTGACCCTGGAGCGAGGCAGGCCTTGGCAGGGATGGTTTAGGGGAGTCCAGCCTGGAGGTGCTATGGTCAGGTGTGGGTCAGGTGCCTGAGGGCCAGGACTGACCTCCATCCCAGAGCAGGCTGAGGCCCAGGCGTGTCGTCAGCAGCAAGAAGAGGCCAGCATGGTGCAGGCCCAAGCCAAGGCCTGAGTAGATCTTGGGGGGTTTTATGGGCAACCCATTCACTGTCACTGCCCGGCCTGTGGAGGAAGAGAGGCATTCAAGGGAGAGGTCTCCTGGGTCCAGCGAGTCCCTCTTAGACTCCCCTGTCAGACATTTTTTTGCTTCTCTACCTCTGTGACCTTGGGCAGGTCACCAGATTTCTCTGGGCCTTGATTTTTGGAGCAATCAAGAATTATGATTCATAGGAGAAGAGCCATCAGTCCCATCACACTAAGGACAACCTGGTCCCCACCACACTGTGAGCTGTGATGCCTCCCCCACCCTTTGGGATGTCAACCAGCCACCTCTGAGCATGTAGATAACAGTGCTCTCCAGACGCACAGTCAGGGCCTTGGTGCAGGTGAGGCCACTGGCCCCACAGGGCAGGTTCTGAGCAGAGACGCTGAAGCGGCCACCAGCCTCTCGCACCAGCAGATACTCACAGGCCCCAGGGAAGGTGAAGGACAGCCCATCAAATGTCACATAGTGGTGGGCGCCCAATGCCTGGCACCACCTGCTGCACCGCTGGCCTGTGCAGTGCCACTGCCGGCCCTGGCACACACTGTGAGCAAGGGATGGAGACAGAATCACTGAGGACAGGATCTTGGGAGCTGCACATAGCCAGTCCAGGCTCAGCAACATAGGCCCTCGGCACAGGGCACCCAGGCCATATGGATGTCCCACCCCTCCAGCCACCCTATCGCTTCTAGCAGAGGGCAACGTGCCATTCAGGGGAACCGGGCAGTCACAGGTCAGGTTACAGGTCCCAGGGCTGGGCATACCAAATATTGCAGTCCTCCTGGATGGTGGCATTAGGCGGGTACCACTGGCCACTATGATGGCAGGGACAGAGGTCAGGAAGCACACAGTGTTCATCCTGGGAAGAGGATGGGGATGCTGTTTTGGGCAGCTGGGAGCAGGGCAGTGCCCTGGTGCAAGGCTGGCCACCCTGGTGCTCCACACAACCCCTCCACAGCCTCACCAGCAGCACAGTGCCCGGGGGACAGACACAGCCATCAGTGTTGCCCGCAGGGCAGGAGTGGTTAGCACTAGGGCTGTCACAGGTGAGGAGGCAGGCGCCGGGGGCATAGACAAGCTCCCAGGGACAGAAGGCCCGCTGTGGGGGGCAGTGGTGAGCCGTGCAGTTCCAGAGGCCCCTCTCCTGGCAGACACTGCCGAGGAGAGAGAGAATCAGAACCAGGCCCAGTGGCCTCTGCCTCCAGGACCCACTGACCTGGCAAGAGCCTCAGGAATCCAGATGCTGGGCCGCTGAGTAGCTCACCCCCAAAGCTTGCCAACAGTGCAGGGAGTTGGCCTGTGCCAGCAGTCCTGGGACAGGACAGTCACCCCAGCTCCGGGGGACCATTCTGGGAGGTCTGGAGGAGGCTAGGGGTATTAAATCACCCCATACCCTACCCAGAGAGGAGAGGGATCTCACCAGAGCCTACCAAACCCGCCAAGCTCGGCTCTCAGCCCTGTCCCCTCAAGCCTGGTCCTACCTTGGTCTCTTAGCAGTAACATGTCCAACCTATCTGAGGCCCAGGTTCCTCATCTGCACAGTGGGAACCCCATCTCCCACCTTCTACTTCATTAAGTGGTCAGAGTACATGAAAGTGCTTGCTGGACTCAAAAGAGCCCTGTCCCGCCAAGGGGAAGGATCTGCTCCCCTTTTGTGCTGTCACCCTGCAGCAGCACAGCCCAACCCATTCTCTCGCAAGACCCCTCTTCATCCCACAGTGCCTCCCCTTACCCCAGAGACGGCCCCACCCTCACCAGTGGTTGCAGTCCTTTAGGGTGACACTGCCAGGGGTATAGCGACGGTCTCCAAGCTGACAGATGCACAAGCTGGGGGTCACACACTGGCCCTCAGGGTCCCACAGCAGCCCTGGGGGGCAGTTACAGCCAGCCACACAGCTGCCCAGCTTGTCACAATCCTCTGGCTCCCCGCAGTGATGACCACATGCTGGGGCACACTCCTGGTACATCTGGCCATCAGGACATGGGACAGCTAGACACAGGAACAGATGCAAATCAGAGGCATAGCCACCTCCTTGGGCCCTATATCCCTTGTGGTTCCACAATAGGAAAAGTCCAGAAATCTACCAAGGTGTGAGGCCCTGACCTTTCCTCCTAGTAGGGGCAGAGGTAGGGATTAGGGGAGAGCAACTGGGCTTTAGGGACTCACGGCAGAGGGTCTGGTTCCTCCAGAGCAGCAGGGCACCCTCCTGGGCACAGCGGCGTGCATAGGCAGAGAGCACTGGGCACCGGCAATCCTTCTCAGGGGCACAGCCACACACAGCTGCCAAGCAACGCAGCTGGAAGGGCTCCCTGTCCACCAGCCTGTGGCATGCCTTTAGGAGAGAGGAAAGGAGTCAGTTTTTCTTCAGAACCCCCCATCCACTTGTTCCCCATTATTGTCTTCCTGTGTCCTGTAGCATACCCTTTGGTCCCTTAGCTGTACAGGTATGGAAAAGACCACCCCCGTTACCTGGAAGGCCGGGCCATGCAGGATGGCACAGGCTGCCTCTGCAAAAGCCAGGCTCTGGGAGTGGGTGCTGCAGGGGGAGAGCAGAGCACTATCCCCTGGAGGGCACCCGCTACCATCTGCCACCTGGAACTTGCTAGCAAAGGCAGCAATGCTGGTCTCCACATCACCAGCCGGTGTCAGGAAGTCGTCCTGCTGGTTCCAGGTGAAGGTGCCACATAGTCCTTGCATCTGGGCCATGGAGGATGTGCAAAGTGGTCAAATCCAGTTAAGTTACAACCCCACCTAGCCCCTTACCCACCTCCTGGCATACCTGGTGGGCATGGCGGGGGTCTAGGGTGATGTAGGCTGCAGGGTCGGCCACTCCCCAGAGGACCTGGGCCCCAGACCAGTGCAGCAGCAGGAAGGTGGAAGAGGCTTGGGAGACATGGAGGCCTGCAGTGCCAGTCCAGGGCACACTCACATCCTGCCCGTCCACCAGCACAGCTCCTGGAATAGTGGCCTGACATGGGGTGGGGCAGCCGGCAGGAGGGGGCATCGCAAAAGGAAAGGCTTTGGATGGGAGCCGAGAGGCTCTGGGTCAGACTGGGACCCTGCAAAGCTCACTCTCTCTGTGTGACCCAAGGACTCAGAATGGGTTGGGGAAGTTGGAGGGACCATGACTCAGAGCGGTCCACCTGGTCTGGGCATGTCCAAGGCCTTTGGACCCTCTTAATTGCATGACTTATTGGTGAGGGCAGAATGAAAGATGGCCTGGAAAATGTCCTCTGGACTGTATGTCTCCCTCAGAGATGGGAGTGTGGGGAAATTTAGGCTGTGATTTTGGCTGCAGGAGTTGTGTCAGGCAGTGTGGAGAACAGATGCTGGATGGTGACTGAGTCCAGCAGGCAAGGGGGAAGGGACAGCAGGCATGGTAGATACCCACGGGAGAGAGCCTTGGCTACCTGAGTGTCGGAGCTGGATGTGGGTGTCCTCCAGGTAGACAGAGAGGGCATGGAGGCAGCTCCCAGAGTTGCAGGCCCCATGCTCCAGCACCATCAGCAACTGCTCCTGAGCATGGTCCTAGAGCAGACAGAGAGGACAGGAGCAGGGCAGCCATTCAGGCTCCTTAAGCAGACCTCTACTGACCTCTACCTTCTCACCTTCTTCCATCTCACTGCAGGAACCACCCACCCACAAAGTTGTGAGCATGTCCTAGCCAGGCAGCCCATGAGGTAAGAGCTTGACTCTTCCCAGGGCTTGTATGCATGGGTGTGTGTCTGTGTGCACACATGTGCAGGTGTTACATGCATGTGCACGTACATGTGATCACATGATTGCATGTGCCCGTATGTGCAGGTATGCATGTGGGGGAGATTTCCCTTTCCACCTGTGGGCATGTATGTTCATCTGTACACATGTGACCCAACTTTATGGGAAAGGTTGGTGGGAGGAGGGATCCTTTGTCCAGTGGCAGTGACGTGTGAAGTGGCCTGTGGCAAATCCAGCCCAGTCTGTGAAAGAGGTCCTATTTCGCAGCTCAGGAGGAGGTGGGGACTGGCTGGAGACATTCTGCATTGCCCTCTCTGGGCTTTTCCTTTAGGGCAATGTATTTTGTTTATTTATTTGGTACATTCCTTACTGTTGCCTCCCCCAGGGACCTCCCAGGAGAGCCCTAATCTGTTAAGACCCTCTTCCCAGAGTTTGTCTTCTGCCCACCTGCACCAGGATGTAGCGGCACCCTGAGCCACCCCGGAAGGAGAAACTCCGTCCATCAAAGGTGAGGTAATGCCCGTCACCGCCTACTGCACATTCAGCAGGGCATGGGGCCTGAGCACAATGCCAGCGGCCACCCTGGCACACACTGTGAACATATGGGGTAGAACAGGGCACTGTGGTATCGGCCCTAACCCAGATAGAGAGACTGAGCTGGCATCTTCCTTTCCTAGCACCTCCACCCTCACCTCCACTGGAAAGAGTAGAGGTTAAGGGCTGTCAGTCATGCCAGGAGAGGTCACAAGCCTTGTGCAGAGCCCCTAAGGAATGACCACTGAGGTGGAGGCAGGTTTTGATCCCCCAGGACAAAATGAGGGATCCAAGGGAATCACATGACTGCCACTCCCAACAAGGCTTGAGGACCCACCATGGGTTGCACCGCTGGTGAACGGTGTCGCCAGGGGCATATCGCTGGCGCCGGTGGTAGCAGGGGCAGCTGGCAGCAGGTACACAGTGGGTGCCATCCCAGAAAAGCCCTGGTGGGCACTCACAGCCGCTCACACAGTCTTCCCCACAGGGCCCCTCCTCACCCTGGCCCACCATGGAGCAGCTGGCTGGGCAGGATGAGATGCAGTCGGAGTAGAGCTGGCCTCCTGGGCACAGGCGCTCTGGGGGTACAGGAGTGGGCTGTGAGGGGCTCCCATGGGCTCCACAGAGCTGGAGACCATGGAAGATAGCCAGAAGGGCCACAGGGGGTGACTGAGCCCTCAGGAAACAGGGCTCACTCAAGGGCCCTTGGTGCATCCCTCAGGATGGCAGGCCAGGCCATACCACAGAAGCCGGGCTTCCTCCAGTGCACGTGAATGTGCTGCCTGGCGCAGGCCTGGGCAAAGTTGGCAAAGGTGGCGCACACAGCCTCCCGCCGGCCATCTTGGCCGCTGCCCGCTGTAGCTCCTGTGCAGTAGGCAAAGAGGCAGGCCTCATGGTACTCATCAGGGGGAACCTGCCAAAAAAGAACAGCAAAGACCTTCCTGCTGGCACCTCCCACCTCTTGCTTTCATCCGGCCCTGACTTAAAATCAAACAGGGTGAATGCTGAAAGCAACCTTAGACATCACACATGACCCTATCTTGTCCCTAGAGATAAAGCCTAGGACAGGGAAGGGGTGGCCAATTGTCAGTGCAATCTTGTGATAGGACCAGGTCACCTAGTTAGCACCTCTCTGACTCCTTGTGAGATTCCTGCCCTCTAGAGTAGGTCGCCACTTCTATGCCATCCATACCTGGGCATGGCATTGGCTGAATGCACCCTCCAGTAGCTGGTGGCACACGTCCTGGGCCTCAGCCCGCAGCTGACCAGGCTGCATACCTGCTTCTGCGCCCTCCATGGGGCCCTCACAGCCCTGGACAGCCTCTACTGCATCCAGACACCCAGGCTGGGGACAAACAGACCAGGCAGACAGCGATGAGTGATGAGGGATATTTGCCACCAGAGTCCTCATTGTTATACTCACCAGCCCACATCCTGGCTGTGAAAGGTAGCAAAATGACAGGGCCAGGTGGATCGAGGAGCTGGGCTATAGTCAGCCAAAGGCAGGAGTTAGAGAAGCTAAAGGACCAGAGCCAGTGGTGACAAGTTCAGTGGCAGCATCCCCTGGATGGTCAGTTCACAGGAATGTAATGGAACTTCCTATGGGATATGGGGTCTGTCCACTCTGCTCCTGAGGTCCTGCCCCTGGACATGGCCTGTATCCTCCAGCCAGGAGCAAAGGCAGGGGGTGTCCAGACAGGCAGCCGGGGCCTAGGATGGCAATCTTACCTCAGAGCCAGGGAGTCTCCAGGAATTTCCAAAGGTGGCAGCCAGCATAGCCAGCCTCCCCCCTGGCTCCATGAAGTCATCTGAGGAGGTGTGGAGCAGAGGGCTGGACCTTGATCTTGTCTCTGCTTCCTCCCTGCTCCAGCCCCCAAGCCGCACCCTACCTACCCTCCTGCCGACCACTGTAGAGTCCACAGAGGCCCTGTGTCCGTCCCTGGAGCTCGTGGTCCACGGAGACTGAGACTGAACTGGACCTGTCCAGCCGCACAACGACTCCCAGGTCCCCAGACAGCACCAACCAGTCCCCCTGCCACTGCAGGCTCAGCCCTGGGAAGAGGCATATTATGGTTTCTGTCTAAATGTCCTCCTATGCAGTCATAGGGCTTTTTCAGAGGTGGCTGAATCTTGAGTGTGTGATGTTGGCATGAAGGGCATCATTCTAGATAGGATTAAGGGTTTGAGTGCTACACTCACCCTCGGGTGGGTGAGTAGCTGGTATACAATATAAGGGACAGAAAGGGGTTTGTCTGGCTCCTTTGTTGCCTTTGCTATCTTGTGGGTGCCATGAACTGTTCTCTTCAGTGATGGCCCCCTGCCAAGACACCCTGCCTTGGAGCCAGCCAAATATGGACTGAAACCTCTACAAACTGTAAGCCAAACAGACCTTTCCTTCTTTAACTTTGTATGTGAGGTATTTTGTCTTAGTGGCAAGAAATATAACTAAGACAGGGCAGTCATCAGGCCACCAGGAGCCACATTCTTTGCCCACCACCATAGGGCTCCAATGGCCTGGGGAGGGAAGAAATCTTGCAGTTCTAAAGAGCTCAGCCCTTGTTTTCCTGAAGTGGAGCTATGCATGCTCTTAAGAGAGTAAGATACAACACATACCACACACACCATACACACATGCACACAACACTACATATAAAGACCACAATATACAACACATATACCATACATATAACACATGCACATGCACCATATGTACACACCATGTATAGAAACACACCATAAAAAGTATCACACATATACACACAACATACACAGCACACACACCATTCATATGCCATACACACTATCACACACATACCTCACACACACCACACACATGTACAAATTACACACAAATATACATATACCACACACAATATCACTCACCTGTCATATATACACATGTGCCACACACATAACTCTATATACACACCATTCAATACATACAGCCTCATACACATATCACATATGCATCACCACACCACACACACTCTCCATGCCCATGTATACAACACTGTACACACAATACACCTCACAGACACCTCATAATATACACATCACCTATACAAATACACATTGCATACATCATATGTACACAGCATACACACAACAAATACACATGCACCACAAACACCACAGAAATGTGTACAGCACACACATATCGCATATATACAAGCACATATTACACTTACACATAGGCACACATTTACATATACCACATATATGCAACACACATACACACATTCACCCTACTGTGATTCCAGCTGTGGTAATACCCCTGTGAGGCAGATGGGGAAACTGAGGCTCAGGAGAGTTAAGCAGTAGGACCTGCCCAAGGTCACATTTGAACCAGGTCTAGCCCCCTCTGGGCTCCTCACCTTCAGGAGTGTCCTAAGGACCATAGTAAGGATATAGCCACTCTGCCCCTCTACTGCCCTGGGTGGGGGAGGCACTCCTTGAAAAGGGACAGGGTCCTCACCATGGAGCAGCCGTGACTCCCCCTCAGGTACTAGCTGCCCCTTCACAGAGACGACACCACCCCGGATCAGCACGTCCTCAGAGCCCATCATCACCCGGACCTGGGGAGGTCCACAACGAGACTTGTCAGTGACTGTCCTTCTCTGTGTCCAGTCCTCTCCTTGGGGCTGCCCCTCTCACCAACTGGCAGTGCCCAGGCTGGGAGCAGTTGTCTCCAGGCCCCAGGTGGACAGCCCAGCTGGAATCAGCAGCACCCGCCAGCAGGTAGGTGCAGTGACCCAGGAAGTGGTAGTGGCGTCCATCAAAGGTACGGTAGTGAAAGCCTGACCAGGTGGCACAGGTGGCTGAGGGCTGCTGGCGCTGGCTCCAGAGCTGGCCCACAGCCCCTGCAAGGGGCTGCAGGAGGGCTACAGAGGAAACATTGCCTGGGCAAGACATGTTACATCAGAGAGAGGATCTGAGTGCAGGGGGTCAGGGTTGAGCTGAGGGCACAATCCTGGCTCAGGAGGCATGGGGACAGGGAATGATCACTCTGGTGGGCAGGGAAACAGACAGGACCCCAAAAAATGCCCAGAGATCAAGGCCTCGGGAGGTGTGGGGGTGATGGCCACAACATGTTTGTCTGGAGCTGGGGCCCACAGACTCACCTGGAAGGTATCTCTTGGGGCAATTGAGACAGACCTGGGAGCTGCTATCCTGCCAGCTGTGTCCCCAGGGTTGGGCACAGCACTCCTCTAGGCTTCCTGCTGAAGCATTAGCTGAGCCTGCCAGAGGCTGACACTGCCATGTGGCAAAGCAGTGGCCATCAGGGCTAGTGTCAGCAAGGGCTGTGGTGGGTGGAGAGAACCGGGCATGCTCAGGTGTCAGGATAGGGAAACCTAGGACTCCCTAAATCACAGATGGGGGTTAGGAACCACAGATTCAGGTCTGCCCAGGATCCCAGAAGGGACACCCCAAAATGCCTATGCTTACCATCAGTGCACTGTGTTCCCCCCCAGCCTGGGCAGCAAGCCCTCACTGTCCGGTTCTGGATGACAGGCTTGGTTTCAGGGGGTCTGCATGCAGAAAGCAGGGAGAAACCTTAGTGCCCAGCCCAGTGCTACTGCAGGGAAAGGCCTGGATATTTAGTCTGGTCAACTGCTCTCAGAGTGTATCAGGTGATCACATAATTTAACTCCTCTGGGCCTGAATTTCCCCAAAGGCAAAGTGGGAAGCACTGCACCTCTTCCTGTTCTGCCCCACCTAGCCCAATCTCATACTCTGTGCTCCCCCAAACCAACTAGGCCCTAGTTCCCATATTCCTGCTTGTGTCACGTCCTCCCACCATAGCAGGATGTCTACCTGGTACTCCTTTCCTGCCCCACAGGCAGCCCAGGCTCTGACTCTCACTCACTTGTAGATGGGACAGAGCCCAGGCGCTGGGGACTCAGAGAGCCCTGCACGGTCACTCCAGGGCTGATCCAGACGCCAGCCTAAGCGGCTATAATGATAGAGGCTGGTACAAGGCACCAGGTCCTCCTGCCGGGGAGCTACTTCCTCCTCCATGTGGATGATCTCTGTCCATTCACACCATCGCCTGTCCAGGATAGGAGGCCATAGCTACTACCACCGCCTCTTCTGTCCTCAGGAAGCCCTGGCCTCTGGCCCCACTTCTCCCACAAGAGCTAATTCCCAAGGGAGGTCCCTGAAAAGAGGAGGCTAAGGTTGAAGAGAAGCAGAGAGTCAAGTCTGGTGCCACACAGGGTCCCTGAGTATCAGCTAGAGGAACTGAGCTGGAAGGGTCCTGGTGGGCTGCTTACCCATTAGCCAGCACCCACAGCATCCCAAAGAAGACAGGAAGCAGCATGGTACCCCAGGCCACCCTCAGGCGACCTGGGGCTCAGGTTTGGGCAGTGTTGCCACAACAGAGAGGATGCCAGTCTGTCCAAGCCTGGGCCTTGGTAATAGAGAGGCTTTATCCTGGCCTCATGCCCATGGGCCACAGCTGTTCAGAAATGGATTGGACCTGCTGGCACCCTCCCCTCATAGGCCAGCTGGAAGTGGGCCCCTACTAGCCCTGGTATTGTGTGTCACTCATGGGGGAACCACATCCAGGCATTATGAGCCTCTGGGACTTCCACACAATGCAGCCACACTGCAAATTAACATGGGCCTCTAGGCAAAACACTTCCTTTGGGGCCTCTGTGACCAGTAAAAACTTCAGGGACTTCCCAGGGATGCACAGATGGGACTCAAGGACTCCATGAGTTTTTTGAAATTTTGTGTACACACATTTTTTTGGAGGACAGTTTCAAAATTTTATTAGATTCTCAAGGGGAGCCCCACCAAAATGTTAAGTTACTGGGCTAAATGATGGATGAAAATGACTTTATTATGGGGTTTTCCCTCTTCTTTTCCTGCTTCCTCTGTTCCCTTTTCCATCAGGCCATGCACACGGAAATTGATGACCAGGGGACCTGGAAGACAAGAGAACGTGTACCCCTTCCTCTGTGGGACCTGACATCTTAGGAAGGGTGATTCTGTGTGGCTGGTCCCTGTGAAAACTTTTCAGGGTTCCTGGGGTCCCCAGGGCATCAGGGATGACGACTGAGAGCATGATGAGAAGTAAGATGGGGAAAGGGGCTGAGCTGAGCCGGATGGAATAATCCTAGTGTCCGGCTGGGAGGGGGCAATGTCAGGCTCCACCGGAGAATCCTGGTCACATCCTGGTTACCAGCAGAGCTCCGAGGACACCAGGCTGGAATGTGGCCTGGATGTCAGACTTGGAGCCCTCCACCTCCTAAGCCTGATGTCCCATCCAACCTGAGTAGTCAAAGTTGGGCCAGTATCTCCTCTCCTGGGCACACAATAGGACCTGGACCTAAAACAGAGTCCCAGGAGTTGTGGGGAAGGACTGTCTTAGTCTCTCTTCCTCCAGGCCCCCTCATGCTCTCACTCTTGAACATGACCTCCTTCAGTGTCCTGCATGTGAGGATTCCACACCCCTCCCACAGCAGGTGTCAAACCCCACCCAGTGCACACATTCTGCTCCTGAGACACCTGCGGTCTAGTAAGCACTGGGATTTACAAGAGCTTACAAAGCTGAACCCGAGGGGACATCCCTCCCAGGGCTTCTCCAGGTCACCCAGAGCAACAGCCTCTCCCTCTAACCATTCACCCACAAAAGTCAGAGCACACCTGCTGTGTGCTAGAGCTTCGATGTGTCCAGGTGTCCCCATGGTTGTGATGGAGTAACTAACCAGCAGCACTGGTTCCATCCACAGGTGTTATTTCCTGCCTTCCCTTCTCAAGTCTCCCAGCTCTGGGTTGCGAGCTTCACTTGGACTGGAAAGAAAGGCAAGCCACAGCCGCCCCTGTGCCCTTTCCCTTACAGCGGCTGGAAGGAGGAAGTCAAAGCCCTTGGGAGTATGCAGAAAGACTGTGGGGAGGAGGCCCCACGTAACCGGCCAGGATTGGAACTCGAGCAAGTCAGGATCTGGGGCGATCCAGAGGTGGAGGTGCACCGGGGGAACGCCGGGAAGAAAGGGCTGAGACTGACTGCGACGCCGGCGGCACTGGCGGGCGAGACGCACTCTGCACCTTAGTCCGGAGTTTCCAGGGCAGCGCCCCTTCCCCAAGCCGCGCCCCGCCCTTGCAGTCTCCACCCCTAATCCCCTGCAGCCTTGAGGTTAGCCTCGCCTTCTCCGTTCACAGGGGACCCAGCCCCAAGCCTGCAGCTCCCCAGTTTCTGCCCGAAGGGCCCAGCTCGCATATCCCCTTCCACCTCCCAGGGCTCCTGTCCCAAGTCTCCGATCTGATCTCAGTGGTGGATCCGGCAGGATCCGGCTCGGATTTGAGTGGAAGCCGGGCCACGGTCTCCCTAGGACTGCCGACCCATAGCCACCAGCTGGAACCCGCGCTGTAGACGGCAGCGCGCACAACCACGATCCCCTCTCCAGCGCGCCCCTCCCCGTCCCCCAACTCCTTACCCTCCACCCCCACCCGGCAGCGCGCTCCACCTTTCCCAGCTCCTCCCCCCAGCACCCTCCTCCCGCCCTCCCTCCCTCCCCGCAGCCCGGGCGCCCTTCCTCCCCTCCCCGGATCCCACTTCCCTCCGTGTCCCCGGGCCTCGCGCCTCCCGACCACCACCTGCACACCTAGCGCCCCGAGCGCCCTCCTGGGACCCTCACCCTTGAAGGCCCCGGCCCCCGCCTCCGAAAGGAAGCCCCAGCTCTGCTGCTTCGGTCCCCGCCCCCTCGGGCGCCGCTGCCCGGCCTCTCTCCCCGCCGCGTGCCCTCCTCCTCCCGCGAAGTTTCGGGCTGTCAGTCCCTAGGTCTCGGGCCGTCCGCACCGGGCAGCAGGCAGCGGGCGCCATTGTGCGCGGAGCCGCGGACGCGAGCCCGGGCGCCTGGGTCCCCACGGGCAGCTGCCGGGAGACCGACCAGGTAGGAGCCAGGTGCGGGGCAGGTGCGGGCGGAGCCTCTCCGCCCCCTCGGGCGCCCGGCCCGCGGCCCGCGCGCAGGTGACAGTAGGGGAGGAGGAGGGGGTACGGCAGGGGGTCGCGGGGTCGAGCGCAGAGCCGGGGAACCCGAGATAGGCGGGGGCCGGGAGGTTCCAAGGCGGGCAGTGGGGAGGGGGGTGCAGAAGGGAGGAAGATGAGAAGGAAAAACGGGGCGCAGGGTCGCGCCGTTCAGCAGGGTGGGAGAGAAAGGGCTGACAGGTGACCGGAACCGGAGTGACCCCGAAAGACCGCGCGTGGGGACCTGGTCTCGAGGAAAACTTGAGAGGGGTAAAAAGTCCTCGGGGAGCAGAAATGGGGACGGGGTCCGGAGAGGGGGGTGTGCCGGCGAGAGGGGGGTTCCGAGGGGCGGCAGGGCGGGGAGGGGCAGGGCCCGCGGGAAGGTCCGGACTGCGCTAGGTCACTGGAGCCGCAGGCTGGAGGACCCGGGGAGCAATCTGGAAGGGGAGGGGAAGAGCAGGGGGGAGGGGAGCGAAGCTGGAGCCGGCTGTTGGGGGAGGCCGCGGAGGGAGAGGGAGAGCTGCAAGAGGGAAGAAGGACGGAGTGGGCAGAGGGGGGAGGAGAGGAGAAGGAAGGGAAACCGTAGTGAGAGGAGGGGGAGGGGAGAGGGGGAGGGAGAGTAGGGGAGGGGAAGGAAAGAGGAAGGCAGGGAGGAGAAGGGAGGGGGAGGGTAAAGGTAGGAGAGGAGAAGGGAAACCCAAGTGGGGGAGGGGGAAGGGAGACTTGCCGGGAGGGGGAGGGCGTGTGTCGAGGAGGAAGGAAAAGAGGAGGGGAAGGAAGGGAGAGAGTGCAGCTGGGGAGGGGGTGGAGCGGGGAGAGCCGCGGGCGGGCAGGGAAGGGCGCTGAGAGGGGGGAGGGGAGCGCAGCCGGGACCGCCCGCCGGGCGCAGGGTGGGGGGCGGAGGCCGACCCGGAGGGGCGGGGCAGGGGGCGGAGCTCCTAGCGGCTGCTGGATTCAGTGGGGAGGGCGGAAGGCAGGGGGGGATGGGGAGGGGCCGAGGGAAGCCAGCCTGGGAGAGGGGGAGGGGAGCCTACTGGGGGAAGGGCAGGGAGCTACAGGAGAGAACTGGGGAAGGGGACCAGAGACAAGGGTACTAGAGATGGGAGGTGGTTGTTTGTGTGAGGTGTGTGCAACAGCCTGGGGGGTGTCCCAACTCCGGGAGTCTTGTGGGGAGGAGGTGGTTTGGAGATAGGGGTTTAGGAAGAGGAAGCTAGAGTCATTGCCTACTTTGAACAAGGACTCTTCTTGGAGAACCCCCTCCAGCCCTAAAGTGACATTCACCTTGCCCTGGCTGGTTTCTATTTCACCAGCCCCTGCAGTGACAGCTGAAGGACCAAAGGGATGAAGTTTTCCACACCCTGCCCACCCCAGTGTCCCACCCTCCCCTCTCTGCCCAGAGAATCACATGGTTCCTGCATTCCCCAAGGCAAGGACACTGGGGTGCCTGAGGGAAGGTGCTGCAGATGGGCTAGGTAGGGCTGGCTCTGGTAGACCTGCCAGGCACTTTAAGACATGGCTTCTTGGGCCCTTCACCTTCTAAGGTCTCTGCTCTCATCTATACCTGGGGATATCAGGTAGCTCCTGGGCAGAGATCATAGGGCAGCCAGGGTGCAGGCAGGAGCTGGCAGGAAGAACCTGAAAAAGCTGTCTCCTCTCCTTAGGGTCTGTGGCCTGATCCCCAACAGGGGCTATTCCTGATTGTCATGAGAGAGACCCTGGAGGCGCTCAGCTCCCTGGGTGAGTCAGACCCTGAAGGAATGTGGAGGGGCCTTGGCACATATAGGGCAGAGTCCTTCCAGGTCCTGGGGTGTTGGAGTACCTGGAACACCGAAGTTGTGTCTGTCTGTGTGACCATGTACACCCACAGAGCACTGGGATTTAAGTGTATTTTCTTTACTCTATTTCTTCCTCCTCCAACTCGGAAGGCCTGAGTTGATATCAGTTAAACAGTGAATTTATGCTGACAGCTAGCCTCTGTGCTATGTCCTTTCCAAGCCGGTCCTCACCTCACCAGTTCTGGGTGGGGGTACCTTACTTGGACCCATCTTTCTGTCTGTGACAGGATTCTCTGTGGGACAGCCAGAGATGGCCCCCCAAAGTGAGCCTCGGGATGGGTCTCATAATGCCCAGGAGCAGATGTCTTCTGCCAGAGAAGAGAGAGCCTTGAGCACGCACCCAGGTGAGTCAGGTGGGGACCATGCACAGTGGTGCAGGGAGTAACCCTTTTGGTTTTCATTCCTGTCTTCCACCAAGTAGTTACTGAGCATGTACTATGTGCTGAGTACTAAACATTTGGGATATCTTAATGATCAAAGATCTCTACCTTCAGGGAGTTAAATACCAGAGTGCAGAGTCACCCAACAGTAAATGTAAAAATGAAAAAGGTTAGAAACTGTTAGATCTGTGTTGTGAGGGAAGGGACAAAGCACAGAGAGATTGCAGGCTGGGGGAGATGCATCGTAGGATTCTTTAGGGTACTGAGAGTAGGTTGGATTGGAAAGATTTGGAAGAGGTGGAAGGTAGCTAAGGGGATTCTCAGACAAGAGCTTCTGGAAGAGGGCAGCCAGGACTGGACACCTAAGGCAAGAGCATGCGTGCCTGGCCTTTTGATGTCCTGATTCTCAGCAATGATTTGCCTTGCAACTGGAGTCCATTTAGGGTCTAGGGGCCCACCTGGCTCCTGAGAAGCACAGGTGATCCCTTAGCTAAACCTCAGGCCACTACCTCAGAAGCACCTCTCAATCATAGCTCCCCCGTGCTACACACCCTTAGCTGCTGCCCTCTGGGAAGGAGCTTGAGCTTTTCCATGGAAGCTGGGCATTCAGCCTGCAGCTGTGATGTAAAACCAAGTCCTGTGGGTAGGGTAGGAGTGGTGCTTATGGTGTCCCTGCTTCCCAGTACCAATGGGGACCTTCATCTTCCTGTGATGCTTCCAGAGCCCTTCAGGTCCCCTCTTCCCTACCAGGACCCGAGGTCTGCCCAGGGGAAGGTGCCCTGACTGAACAAGCTGAGGCTCCCTGCAGAGGTGGCCAGATGTGCACCCCACAGAAGGCTGAACCTGTGGGCTCCTGCTCCGGTGAGTCTGCCTGTTCCTGCATCTACTGTGGGGTCAGGCCCCAGAGCTACTGTTTGCTGAGGCAGGTCCACCCCTTCCCTAAAGACAACCAACTTAGGCTCTTGCAGCCAGCACCAGTTCAGGCTCTGGCTCTTTTCTTCCATGCCCAAAGCAGCAGACCTGAAAAGCCACTCCCGAAAGAGAAAACACCTTGCCTCATACCCTGCTCTAAAGGCCCTGATTTCCCTCGTCATGTCCCCCCACTTAAATACACGGCTTTGCTCCCCTGAATCACAATGACCATGAAGATGAAGGCTGTTGATCAACCCTTTCACTGTTTACCCCATCCTGAAAAATCTCTGCTGATCCCAGGGGTACCATGTAGTCAACTCATCTCTTCCGTACCCAGGGCCATCACTTCACACTCACTTCCTCCCACCACCACCTTCCAGATCACCTTTTGCCTGAGTGATACCACTTCTCCAACACAACTTATTCAGTGACTACTATGTACAGGCTATGTTGGGCGTAGTGTGATTGGATTGGCCCTAGACCTGGTTTAAATACTAGCTGTACATTTAGAGTACCTGCTGAAAGCTCTGATAGGCTGGCTCCTCATCAGGAGCTGGTTTGTCTCTCTGTGGACCAGGATAATGGTAACTTCATGGTCCTGAAGGTGTGTGATAATGTACAGACATTGGCCCATATAGTGATGATCCTCATTTTTATTTTTTGTCAGACACAGAAAGACACATGAGTTACTAGATATGGACAGAATCAGAACAGACATCTGCTCTCTAGAAGCTGAAATCTAGTTGGATTAATATGAACCAGGACAAAGAACTGAAAACTATATGAAATAAACGGATAGATGCGCAGGTGTTCCTAGAAAGTGCTACAGGTTTATGGTAGGAGATCTGTGTGTATTGGATCTGTTAGAAACGTTTCTTTGTGCTGCATCTTGATGGAGGTGTAAACTCCAGCACTGAAGCGGGGTCAATGCAGCAAAGAAAAACATTCTAGGCTGAGAAAGACTTCGAAGCAGAAAAAGTGGCATGCACATGACTGGGTTGAAGGAGTAGCAGAGTAAAAGGGACGGGGCCACATCTGGGAAGAGTTGGATAGGTTTGGATGAGCCTCCGATACACCCTGCCTTATCCTATAATTGGGAGCTTTTGATGAAAGGCACAATGAAAATGCAGGTGACAGCAAAGTATGACAAACAATTATTTGGAATCAGTGGATGGATAGAGGATCTGGGAGGAGATAAAATTGTAGCAGTCTGTGGGGAATGTAGTCAAGGGTCAGGCTATGATAGACTTTTAGGGCCACACAGGAACTCAGATTATCTAGTTCAGTGTTTCTCAAGACAGACTGTGGGAGCTCTAAAGAAAGAGAACACAGCCAAGCATGGCGGTTTTTGCCTGTAATTGGGAGACTGAGGCAGGGAGATAGCAAGTTCAAAACAAGCCTGGGCAAGTTAGTGAGACCTGCTCAGTGGTAACACCTTCCCCAGCATATGCGAAGCTCTAAGTTTAACCCTCAGTTCAACAAAGGAACACACAAGTATCATGGCTCTGCCCACACCATAGAAATGTTTTGTGAAAGCTCCCCAGGAAATGGGGTACAGAATAGTCCACAGTGAGGCAGAGAGCAGCAGAAGCAGCAAAGGGAAGGTATCAAGATTCTGTTGGGAGAAGGAGGATGCAATCTTTCTCTCTCTCTGTTTTTTTTTTGTAATCAGGTCTCTAACTCAGAATCTTGCACTTCCCAGATAGGCCCTTTGTTGCTGAGCTATATCCCTGGCTGAGAAGCTGCATTCTTAACGTTACAGTTAAGGTCAGGATAGCACTACTAGGTGTACCTGAGGACTCCCCAAAACAGCAGGAAGGGAAATCGTTGCACACACAACATGCAGGAAAGGGCTTCAGGAGAAAGGCCCAGGAGGATCCATGCAAGCCTTGGATTTGGCCAGGCCCTGAAACCTGTGATGGGGGAGGGGCGGGGGATTCAGGCCCTGTGTAGCCAAAAAGCATGGCGGTGTGTGGGTTTAATAGACGCTTCTTGTTTTGAATGTTCAGGCGACGAGTGGATGATTCGGAAGGTGAAGGTGGAGGATGAGGATCAGGAAGCAGGCGAGGAGGTTGAATGGCCTCAGCATCTACCGTTACTTCCTAGCCCTTTTCCCGCACCTGACCTGGGGCACTTGGCGGCCTCTTATAAACTGGAGCCCGGAGCCCCAGGGACATTAGGTGGGCTGGCATTGCCCGGGTGGGTCCCAGAGAAGCCCTACGGCTGTGGAGAGTGCGAGCGGCGCTTCCGGGACCAGCTGACGCTGCGGCTACACCAGAGGTTGCACCGCGGCGAGGGCCCCTGTGCCTGCCCAGACTGCGGCCGCAGCTTCACGCAGCGAACTCACATGCTGCTACACCAGCGCAGCCACCGCGGCGAGCGCCCCTTCCCTTGCTCTGAGTGTGACAAGCGCTTTAGCAAGAAGGCGCACCTGACGCGCCATCTGCGCACGCACACTGGGGAGCGGCCCTACCCTTGTGCCGAGTGCGGCAAGCGCTTCAGCCAGAAGATACACCTAGGCTCGCACCAGAAGACTCACACCGGCGAGCGACCTTTCCCCTGTACTGAGTGCGAGAAGCGCTTTCGCAAGAAAACACACTTGATCCGGCACCAGCGTATCCACACTGGTGAGAGACCCTACCAGTGCGCGCAGTGTGCGCGCAGCTTCACGCACAAGCAGCACTTGGTGCGGCACCAGCGGGTGCACGACACCACCGCCAGGGCCCGACCCTCTTCAGAAGCACCCACTGTGTTCCATTCCCCCTCTACGTCCCCGACGCCCTCCCCTCCCGGGCCTAAGCCATTTGCCTGTTCCGACTGCGGCTTGAGTTTTGGCTGGAAAAAGAACCTTACCACGCACCAACGAATGCACCGCAGCGAGGGTCACCCCTTTGGGTGCGACAAGTGCGCCTTGGGTACCACCACGGACCCTGCCACCACTGAGTCTTTGTCCTGTGCCCCTGGTGGCCCAGGCTGCAGCCCTGGCACCGACATGGCCCCGCACAGCGTCCCCAGTGAGCGCTCCTTCTTCTACCCAGACTGCGGGCGCGGATTTGCCCACGGCCAGCACCTAGCTCGGCATCGGCGCGTGCACACAGGCGAGCGGCCCTTCGCCTGCGCACAGTGTGGCCGTCGCTTCGGCTCTCGGCCCAATCTTGTTGCCCACTCCAGGGCTCACAGTGGTGCCAGGCCTTTTGCCTGTGCCCAGTGTGGTCGGCGCTTTAGCCGCAAGTCACACCTGGGCCGCCATCAAGCTGTGCACACTGGAAGTCGCCCCCACTCTTGTGCCATCTGCGCCCGAAGCTTCAGCTCCAAGACCAACCTGGTCCGTCACCAGGCCATCCACACGGGCTCCCGCCCCTTCTCCTGCCCACAGTGCGGAAAGAGCTTCAGCCGCAAGACACACTTGGTGCGGCATCAGCGCATCCATGGCGAAGCCACCCTCCCACCCTCTGACGCAGACCTGGCAGCCCCAGCCTGGCCTGCTCCCACTGAGGTGGCACCAGCCCCTCTCTTCTGAGCCTGTTCTCACCGAGAGCCTTCTGTTGCTCAGATTTGAGAGCTGCATGCCCTGAGGGCCTGGTGATCCATCTACACTATGATGTGAACTCCTATGACCATTGGCTTCCCCTTGTGTCTCTGCAAAGCCCACCAAGCATCCCCAGCTCTGACTTGTAAGGCCGAAGGCACAGAGAACTATTGTGGGTGCCACGTGGAAAGACAGAACATGGCTGAGGCAGATGGGCTGGGAACCCATAGGGGGATGGAAAGAATTTTTACCTGTGTTCTGAGTGTCATTAAAGTTCAAATCCCCCAAGTCCTGGGGCTGTTAACTGATGGGAAAGGCCTGACTTTTCAATCCACTGGCCAACCTCCATTCACAAGAAGTGGCTCCTTCCCTCTCTGTCCTGGGCAAGTTGAACATGGCTGGTTGCTATTAATTGACTGCTTGTAATCAAAATGTAAGATGCTTAATTGCCAAACCTCTACCCTGGTTCAGAAAACGGACTTGGAAGAGACGTTTGTGAACATTCCATTTATGCCAGGAGTTGTCAACTAGAGCCAGAGGGAAGGCAGAGAGGGAACCTGCTACTCTGACCATAGCCATGGAGACAGCATGCCACCCTGGGCTCTGGGCTCTGTCCTGTCTGTCTGCAGCTTTCCCAAGAAGGCTTCAATACCAAAGCCTTGTGTGCTGTAAGTGGAGAGTACCTGCAGTAACACGTGTTCCAGGTGCTCTCCTGATGGAGGATGCTTGGTCCAGAAGTCCCTACAGCTGCCCTTGCCTGATGGGTTGTGGCAACTGGGGCTGGTTAGCAGGGCAGTGGGGATTTCCCGGGTTTTTAGAGGACAGATTTGGGGATTTGGAGAAATGGCATTCATTCCCCTGGGCCTGGGCTTTTTTCAGTAAGAATTGGTGTCAATGAGAGTGAAAGCCCGTTCCAAATGTGCATTACTAAAACAAAAAATAACCCTAGTGAATGTTTATTGGGTGCTTCCCCGCTTTACTGGGCACTGGAACAACTGGTAGTGAGACAGCAGGGACCCTGTCCTCAAGGCTCACAGCCAGTAGAGCATATACATAGTGACATCCATAGACTCGGGGGCCCAAGCCCCCAGTGAGGGAAGAGAGGCCAAGGACCTGGCCTGAGGCATGAAAGGCCCTTATTAGTTGTTATGAGTTCAAGAGTTTGAACTGTATCCGAGGGATGTGGCCCATGGTGGGTTTGGGCAGGGCAGGAAACTGGCCACTTCACAAATTTTAGATACGTGGCTGAGGCGAACATGATAGAGGCCAACACAATCACCAGTGTGCAGATGGCAATGACCGGGGCTGGCTGTGCTGGAGGACGTGGAGAAGTAAATTCAAGAGTGCTTACTAGACAGATAGATGTGTAGGACTTACTGTGTGGGAGTTGGGGGTTCGGTAGAGTTTTCTGGATTCCAGGAACTAGATGACAGTGGTGTTCCCCTAAGAAAGTTTTCACAGGAGTAGCTTTGTGCTAAGAGAATAGTTTTGGAGCTGCCATATTGGTGACCAGCATGGGACCCGTGAGAAGCAAGCTGTGCAGATGCAGAGTTCTGGGAGCCAGGCAGGTCTGAAAGCCGTGGGCTCACTGACAGAAGCTGAAATCACTGAAGAATTTCCCTCAATCACTGAAGAAGATTGAGAGGATGGGAATGGAGGTGTGGAGAATAGAAAGGATACTCACAAAGAGGCAACCAGGGAGCCAAGGTAAGAACAGAGTTTGAGGCTGGAGGGGGCAGTCCAGGGCCGCAGCAAGCTCACACATTCTCAGGATGTCCAAGCATCTTGCAGTAAGCAGTCATTCACTGTGACAGCAGTGTTAGGGTCACTGCAATAAAGTGAGACCGCGGTGGTGAATCCCAAAAGCAACAACCCAGAGCAAATAGAAGAACATGAGACCTGGAGATGGGTGAGGGATGGACATTGTATAGGAAGCAAGTTTTCTAGTTGGGCTGGGGGTACATGAATGCCGCTGAGTTATTGAATTTCATGGCTGAGAATGAGTGAGCAACTCCAGGTTAATGCTGATGTGACGAGCAAACAGGAACCGCTTTGTTCGCTTCTCTGTCCCTGCAGTATTTTAAATATCTTGCAATTTCACATAAAAATCTGGACTTCCATCACCTCTTGTAAAAAAAAAAAAAATGGGAAGATTTGACAACTAGTGTCTGGCCTGTCTGGACCAAGGGTTCTGTGTTCTCACTACTGCCCATTTTGTTCAACCCAGATTAGTTTACCTCTGAAGCCACTTACCTGGCCTCTGATCCTAGGATTCCTACTGAAAAGTAATTGCACAGATTTTTAAATTCAAACACATGAAAACTATGTTTATGTTCATTAAAATAATGCTTTCTCATCTCCAAACATTCTGGAATTCTTGTCACAGCACAGCTTTGGGACCATGTAGCATATTTGGTGAGACCTAACATGTGCCAGACATTTCCAGAATTTTGTATTCGCTGAGATTCTCTACGAGGCTTGGCTTTGTCCTTTGAGCTTGTTTGCAAAGAGTAGACTCTTTTGCTGTCAAGCCTGGTGGTGATCAAAAACAAAAATGTGTGCTCAAAAGATGCAGTTGGCTGTAGGGCTTTCCAAAGGCCGTTCTAAAGAGGAGTTTGAGACTCAGTCTGCGGTGGTCTCCTGAAAGCAGTATTTTCCCTCACATTGTGCCAGGTATGGCTATCTTGGCAAAACATCAAACTTTTTTACTTTAAAACCACATCCTGGAGAGTGACAATACTTGAAAGTAAAACAGTTTGCTATTTCTATATGCAGACATCTTTTCTTAATTAACTAATGTTTATTTGCTTTTTTCCGATCTTCCAAAAACACAGTTTTGCTATAGCTCATGAGTTTCTGTAGCATAGCCAGTATGTGCCAAGTCTGTGGGACAGAGATATGCCATTTGTCATAAAGGACTTACAGTCTGGTTGGAGATGAGATGTCCATGTGCCATGCAAGTAGAGAATGTCAGTTCTTGTGGCATTCTGGGGAATCTTTAGACTTGAAAGAACTGAGAAAGCTTTGGGGAGAAGGTGATGCTGGCTAAGTCTGTATTAGTAGAAAGCAGGAGGGAGGGAGAGAGGGGATCCTAGCCCCACCTCACCCACCACACATTGCTGCAGAACCCTCTGTCCCCTTGAGTCAGAGGCTCTGCTTATTTTCTTGATCTCCATGGGAACCTTTGCTTTCCAATCTTTTCTTGATTTTTAAAAAATAATTTGGTGGGGCTGGGGGTTTAGCTCAGCGGCATAAGCGCCTGCCTTGAAAGCTGGCAGTTAAGAGTTCGATCCCCGGTACTGATAAAAAAGAAAAAGACAAAAAATTTTGGTAACATATACATAGAATGAAATTTACCATTTCAGCTCTTTTAAGTATGCAATCCAGTAATCTTAAGTATACCCACAACACTGTGAAACCATCATCCAAATTTATTTCCAAAGAGTGATCATCCCAAATGGCAACTCTGTTCCCATCTTTTTATGTGATAATGCATTTAGATGAAGCTGGTGTGAAAGTCATGGAGGAGGCAGCCCAAGGCCTGTGTTGGTGTGTGGGCTGCTATGGACCCCACCTGGTGATCCTGAGACAGAGAAGGTGACCAGTGCAAACCTGCCACTTGCAACAGATTAGGAAACTGTCCCATTCCTTGCACATGAGAGCAATGAGGCCTTGTTCACATATCACCAAATGATACCATCCAGCAAATCTCTAGAGTCCAGTAGTTCCAGAAATCAAAAGCATCTTGGTGGTCAGACTTGATGCCAAGTCTTTCTTTGGGGTTTACTTTTACTAGTGTTCATATTTCTCTGTATTCTACTCTTAGTTCATTTCCTATTGCTACAACAACATCTAGGAGTAGATAATAACGTTTTATTTTTGAAGCATTCTCACTATGTCTTTCAGGCTGGCCTTGAACTCATAGCTCTCCTCATGTCTGAGCCTCCCAAGTGCAGGAATTATAGCCATGCCTGGCATAAAGAAGGTCATTTTGGTTCATGGCTGTAGATTCTAGGAAGTTCAAGATCAGATGCTGCCTCTCCGATGAGGCCCATGTGCTGCTTGCTAACATGTATAGGTCAGAAGGTCAAGTGGGCATGTACAAAGACCCAAGGGGAGACCTCGTCCTATAATAGCCTGGTAGTAGTCATCAAATCATGAAAGATGGAGAACTCACTTAATTAGAGCACAATAAAGGCACAAGCCACTGAATGCCTAAAACGTGGAGCAGAGTCCCACCTAACAGCGAGGACAGCATCTCTTTCTTGATTTGGACTTCAAGTCCACCCCCAAGGATCATCCAGCTCCTTAGCACACGAACCCCAGGTAACAGACAGCAATGTATTCATGGCCCCACCCCCGAGTTGCTGCTACCATCCCAGCTCTAGGAGGGATGTGGCAGTGGGTGATCCAGCGTGCTGTATTTGTAGTAATCCACATGGTGTATTGTATTGGAGGCTGTTCAAATGCCCAGAATGCCTTGGTGACCTAATCAGTAATACAGAGTGTTTGGAAGGGATAGAGTCAGGGGCTGGGGATTTAGCTCAGTGGCATAAGCGCTTGCCTGGCAAGTGCAAGGTCAAGAGTTTGATTCCTGATACCACAAGAAAAAAAACAAAAGAAAGAAAGGGGTAGAGTCAGAGCAGAGTGAAATGAGTGGACTTCAGTAGCATGTGATCCCAGTTTTACCGAAATTTGCCATCCTATAGTTCACAGGACATAAAATCCTTCAGGAAACCTGGCCTCCTGCATCTCCTCTCTCCCCGTCTGGGGGTTTGGACATCGAGAGCTACTGGTCAGTGCAAACTGCCAGAGATGGCTGCCAACCTTGAATCGGAAAGATTTTACCTGGATCTCAGTTTTACTGGCGCAGACTGGCATTTAATCTACCCCTCGTGAAGACAGGCTGAGTTTTCAAATCTACCAGGCTGTGTGCCAACTGTAGGGAAGAGACCAAAAGTTTTTGCCTCCATGAAGTTCATTGTTCAGAGGCAAGACAAGTATGTGACTCACCTAAGGGCCTGGAGTGCCAAGTGCTCTGGGAGACAGGAGGAGAGCGAGCCGTGGTCCTGAGCTGGAAGAGGCAGGAGTCCACATGTCTGGACCAGCATGGGGGTTGTGTGGGCCTAGGTATTGCATCCTGTTCTTCAGAAAAAAGGGTAGATGTGGGCTGGAGAGCTCAAGGGTGTTTTCTGGAGGGCGGAGGGCCTGGGTGCTGTTATGGGAACGAGCCAGGACGGAGGAACTTGGGAGAGACTCAAGACCACTGTGTGATGAGCCTTGAGCCCCAGGAGGCCATCTATTTGGAACTGCAATTAGGGATGGGTGGAATTATCTAACTGGGTCTCAGCCCAGAGGAAACTCTCCCCTGCAGGGACTATGAACTTGACCATTCTAGCTACTTCCTATAAATAGAATCCTGTAATATTTGTCTGCCTTGTTTCACTTAGTGTGAAGTCTTTGAGATCCACCCACATTGTGGCATGTGTCAGAATTTCCTTCTTTGATTGATTGAGTTTTAGTGTTGGAATTAAACCTAATTTCCTTCCTAAGGCTGAATAATATTGCTTGGTGTATCTATAATACTTTTTGTGTGCTCATTCATCTGTCCATGGATACTTCACGGCTGTTGGAAATAGTGCTGCTGAAAACAGGATCTACATATATCTGAGTTCCTGATTTAGCTTTTTTGGATATATACTGTTATGGATTAAAAACTGGTTGTCAACTTAACACTGGCTAAATTAAATTGGCACAGTTCTGAGCGTAGATGGCCCACCTGAGGAAAGTTGCCAGCATAACACGAGACGTGGAGAAGAAGAGCGTGGTGTTGTGGGTTCTCCTGAGTGTTGTTGTTTGGAGCTGTTGGGTCTCCTGGAGAAGCTTGTCATGGTTAGCTTCCCTGATAGGAATTCAGCCATTATTATTGGAGGAGCTTGGGACCTTGTTGCTGAGAGTGACTCTGGTTCACTTAGGGGGAGCTCTGGTCCTTACATTGAGCATCGCTTCCTGGTTGCAGAGGTGAAGATGTGTGCTGTTTAATCTCCAGGAGGTTTGTCACGCTGGCTTCCTGATATGTATTTGTCTGTTATCATCAGAGGAGCTCGGGACCTCACTGTCCCTGAGAATGACTGTGATCCTTTTCAGGGGAGCCCTGATACTTATTTTGAACATTGCTTCCTACCTCCAGTGTAGAATCCTCAACCTACTGGCACAAATCCTTCATCCTGCTGGCACAGGCTTTCTAACTTCCACTATTGACCTTTGGATCTTCCCAGTGCAGATCTATAAAACATGAGTCCTTGTCGTGGGCTTTAGATCTCCAGCTGAACTCGATGGAGGCATTGTCATGAGCTCTAGGTCTTCATCTGGACTCATGCAGGATATTACTGTGGGATCCAAGCCATCAGATGGATTTTCTAGCTCTTTAGTGTGTGGACAGATTTCCTGCACTTTCTTGTATTTAACCCTGAGTGACCATCATAAAATAATATTATAAATTCTGTGTCCTGCATGTATTTGTTCTTGCAACCCCTGACTACAACATATATGCAGAAATAGAATTTTCAGATCACATGGGTAACTCCATCTTTAACTCCACCATATTCTTTTCCATAGTGGCAATAACCATTTGACATTCTCATGGGTGGCAGTACAGTTCAAATTAGTCATCCCCCCATCTAGGGCTTTACTTTCTGTGATTTCATTACTGGAAGTTTCAGTAACCTAGAGTCAACCACAATCTAAAACACTAGATGAAAAATCTCAGAAATAAACAACTAATAACTTTTAAATTGTGTACTGTCCCTTGTGTGTGATGACATCTTATGCCATCTAGTCCTGTTACATCCATAACATGAACAGTGCTTTTGTTCAGAGCATCCCACCTGCCCGTGGGTCACTTCATATTCATCTCAGCTATCAAATCAACTGCTGTAGTGTTGCAGTGCTTGTGTTCAAGTAATTTTAAGAGACAGAGAGAAAGAGAGAGAGACCACATTCATATATAAATTTTATTACAAGGATCTATATATTTTTTTCAGTACCTGGAATTGAACTCAAGGCCTCATGCTTGTCAGGCAGGTGCTGTGCCAGTAAGCTATATCTAGGGCTCCTATGACACTGTATTATTATAATTGTTCTCTTTTATCACTTGTTAATGTCTTCCTGTGCCTAATTTATGAATTAAGCTGTGTCATAGGTAGGTATGTAGAGGAAAAAGCATAGTAGATATAAGATTCAGTAGTACCTATGGTTTCTGGTGCTCACTGAGGTCCATAAGAATGTACTCCATGGATAAGGGGGCATTACTGAGCCCTACGGCCTTAACAACACTCATTTTCTGTTTTTTTGTTATTTGTTTT